ATAAGGCAGTTCCTTGATTTGTCCAATCAATTGATTGAGATGGATCTCGGATAACTGTGGTGTCGCCATTTTTATCGCTTTTGAAGTTTTTGTATTGCAATATTGTCGCACGAAAATTCGTGGAGTTATTGACCGAATTGGATTTTTAATTAATTGTCTTTATATACAGTCGCACTGCACATAAATTCTTTTGCGGATTTCTTTTAGTCACTTTCGCTGATCAGGATAAACTAGTCGTATAGTATTATCCTTCTTTGTTGATCAGTACCGATAACTTGGTGTAAGGACCTTTTTAGAAATCCTACCGACTGCGCCAATTAAATGTTTGCACCATAAGTTTTCAATAAAAAAATTATCTTTATTTTTCTTATGTCCAACTGGTTACAAATATTCTTTATTTGAAGAACACCAACCTACTACTTGTAGATCTTAAACTGAACTCCACTCCTAACTCTGACTTCTTTTACGATCAAACCTCGGTTTTGGAGCTTTCGAGCTTTACTTGAGTGTGTTTATTCTAATTGAGTGTGTTTTATTGTTTAGGCTGAGAACTTTCCCGATTGGACTTTGGATTCTTGCTTTTGAATTTGTTTTTGTCTTTGGTCCCGAAATTTGAGTTTTACGATTGGGTTTGGGGATCTGAATTATGGGAACGTGCTGAATGCATGTTTCCCTCGGTCTGTTTAGTCTGAGGATTTTTGTTTATAAGTACTTTTCCATCCTCAATTATGTTTAGGTCTGATTTGGGCTAGGATCATGTTCGGTGCATTTGCCTATTTGAATCTAAGTCTCAAGGGTAAGTTCTGACAAATACTTAATGTGTATGTGTGAGTGTGTGGGTGTGTGGACATTTACATAGTTTATGTATAATGCTATGGATATGTCACTATATATATTTTACTATAAGTGTAGACTTCAGTCCACTGGTGGGTGCCGCATGCCTTAAGCGTGCTGAATAATTAGATATATTTATTGTCTAATAGGCTAAGATATGTAGGTATTATTTAAAATTTATTTCTCTTTTTCTGTTAAAACAAATTGTGGTCCTGAAAAGGACCGATTGTATACATAGTTAAGTACAGGCTGTACAAAAATAATTTTAACCGCCAAAGCCGTATAGAGTGCGTCCTTGTCTCTTCAGGGCATAAACAACATCCATGGCCGTCACGGTCTTCCTTTTGGCGTGTTCGGTGTAGGTGACAGCATCGCGAATTACGTTCTCCAAAAACACTTTTAGAACTCCACGAGTTTCCTCGTAGATAAGACCAGAGATGCGCTTCACACCGCCACGACGAGCCAAACGACGGATAGCTGGCTTCGTAATACCCTGGATGTTATCACGCAAGACTTTGCGATGACGCTTAGCGCCACCTTTTCCCAGACCTTTGCCACCTTTACCGCGTCCAGTCATTTTTCAGTTTTGTTTATTAACGATACGACACTGCACGATAGTCACTGAAGAACTAACTTAACGCAGAAGGAGCCACCGCTCTTTATACCGATTCAACGAGAATTCGAAGAGTTCGGAGCGATATGCTTTTCCCGCTCTTCGTAAACCCAATAGACGAAATGGCAGGTCGTTCTATCTCCCTCTTTTCAACCCTCGGCGTTTCTGGTATATAAAGAGGTAGCGAAACGGGCAGCACGTTTATTGTGTTATTAGAGGCGCGAAGAGAACAGTGAATTTGGAAATTGAAATGGCTCGTACAAAGCAGACTGCTCGTAAATCGACTGGTGGCAAGGCCCCACGCAAACAACTGGCTACAAAGGCCGCACGTAAAAGTGCGCCAGCCACCGGAGGAGTAAAGAAGCCCCATCGCTATCGCCCCGGAACTGTGGCTCTCCGTGAGATCCGTCGCTACCAGAAGAGTACTGAGCTGTTGATCCGTAAACTGCCATTCCAGCGGTTGGTGCGTGAAATAGCTCAGGATTTCAAGACAGATTTGCGCTTCCAGAGCTCTGCTGTGATGGCTTTGCAGGAAGCTAGCGAAGCCTATCTGGTTGGTCTGTTTGAAGATACCAATTTGTGCGCCATCCATGCTAAGCGTGTTACTATTATGCCCAAAGACATCCAGCTGGCCCGTCGTATCCGTGGAGAGCGCGCTTAAATTGAACAATTGTCAATTGGCAGCCCTTAAATTTAAACTAAAAAATCGGTCCTTTTCAGGACCACAAAGCTTTTTTTAACTGAGATTTGAATAACTATTTTGATTTTACAGAACTTATTTTTAGGTTTAAAAGGTTAAAATAGGTTAGGTTTAAATATTTTTTTTCGAACGCTAGGATATATATTATAACTAAAATAAATCCAAGCATTTAAAAGCATGTTTTTTTTATAAATAAGGAATTGTTTACAAAATAAACATTGAAATACACTGTTGTCATTATTTGGAAGATACATATATGAAGAACCAAAAATATGTCTGGTCTTGTGTGAGCAGCGGATCATCAAAATAATCATTTATTAATAATTTATAAATAATGTTATTATGATTTTTACAAAAGCGGCAAAGGGTCGAAGGGTCTTGTTATAAAAAGTTGAATTACATTTCATTTTTTTTTAATATACATATTGTCTATTGGAAACTAATTTATAAGTTGTATATTATTAAATAATATAGTAAATTGTGTATATATTGTCAAATAAAATTCATTAGTCCCAAGAACAAATTGTAGTTTATTTTTTGCGTTTTAATATGGTAACTAAAAGTTAAGTAAGAAAAGTTTATTGGTAATATGAACACATTCAGAATATAAATTACTAGCCTCAACGTATACCTTCGAGCTACCAGTGGAAAATATACAATCCATTTTTGAGACGAAAATGAATTTAGAATTTTTAAGATATGCAGAATGGGAAATAGATAAGATTTATTCTAATATTAAACATTTTAATTTACATTATTTTAGAAAAATAATATTTTTTAGTACGAAAACAGTTTCTTAATGTCAAATGAAAGTTCACATTTTATCCAGGAAAGGGTCATTTTAAAAGCTATATTTAAGCATGAATACTTCATAAAAATATAGTTACGTTTTGCATAGCTGGTAGTTGAAAGTTCAATTTAAGACTTTCAGTAGTAAATTAACAAAAAATACAACAATTTTATATTTTTAATGACGTTTTAATGCAAAATATTTAAGATATTAACGTAAACGTGCACTTTCGGGTACCCAAAAAAAAGTATCGAATCTATATACGGCAACTGAGAAAGGTTTTCCTCAAATTTTGAATATTTAAGATTCAAACGCAATTAAAACAAACATTAATTTTATTATCATAAGAACAAAATAATGAAAAATAAATAGTGTTCTTCTGCCACAAAAGCGAAGAAGACCGCAGCACCACCATCGCATCCGCCAACTCAACAAATGGTAGACGCTTCAATTAAGAATTTGAAGGAGCGTGGGGGCTCCTCGCTTCTAGCAATCAAGAAGTACATCACTGCCACATACAAGTGCGATGCTCAGAAACTGGCTCCTTTCATCAAGAAGTACCTGAAGTCTGCTGTGGCCAATGGTAAGCTGATCCAGACGAAGGGAAAGGGTGCTTCTGGTTCCTTTAAATTATCGGCTTCAGCCAAAAAGGAGCCCAAGCCGAAGCCTTCTTCTGTTGAGAAAAAACTAAAAGCAAGAAGGTATCGACCAAGAAGACCGGAGCCACGACTAAGAAGGCCGCGGGAGCTGCCGACAAGAAGCCGAAAACTAAAAAAGCCGTGGCTACCAAGAAGACAGCTGAAAAGAAGAAACCCGAGAAGGCCAAGGCAAAGGACGCTAAGAAGTCTGGTACCGTTAAGGCTAAAACAGTAGCAACAAAAGTGAAGCCATCATCGGCGAAACCAAAGGCAGCTAAAGCCCCAAAGGCTAAACCAGCTGCATCCGCTAAGCCCAAGAAGACGGTAAAGAAAGCACCAGCTCCTACTACCGCAAAGAAGCCGAAAGCTAAGACCACGGCAGCGAAAAAATAAATTGTGATAATGTGCATTATATTTGTACAGTTTCGCAATCGCAATTTTAGATTTCGATATCTAAAATTACATTAAACAAGCCCTTTTCAGGGCTACAATACATTTTTTAAAGAGAAAAAATATCAATTTTGCTTAGCTTGACATTTTAGAAGAGTATCTTAATCCTAATTGGATTCAAAATAGCAATCGTAATTTTGAAAATTGTATTAATATAAGAATATAATATATTATATAAATGCTAATACAGTATAAATATAAATTTCATCCATCCTAATTGGATTTAAAATAGCGATCATGAATTGGCTATTTATAATATAGTATATTAATACTAAAACAACATAAATTAAATTTCAGTTTCTTACAAAAACGATTTCAAACAATTAATTTATTTACTTTTATTGAAAAATGGGTGTCTTTGATGAAATAATGTTGTGGCCCTGAAAAGGGCCTTTTTCGATCATTCTGCCCATCAAGCGAGAAATCTACTTGGAGCTTGTATACTTGGTGACAGCCTTGGTTCCTTCACTGACGGCGTGCTTGGCCAACTCTCCAGGCAGGAGAAGGCGAACAGCCGTTTGGATTTCCCGACTGGTGATGGTCGAGCGCTTGTTGTAATGCGCCAGACGCGATGCCTCAGCAGCAATACGCTCAAAGATATCGTTCACGAAGCTGTTCATTATACTCATAGCTTTAGACGAAATTCCAGTGTCAGGGTGGACCTGCTTCAGAACCTTGTAGATGTAGATGGCATAGCTTTCCTTCCTCTTGCGCTTCTTCTTCTTATCGTTCTTGGTTATATTTTTCTGAGCTTTGCCAGCCTTCTTGGCTGCCTTTCCACTGGTTTTCGGCGGCATTATTACTTTAAAATTCACTTCACTTCCACTTATACCAAAGTTGGTGTTGGATCAGTTTTTAGTACTTTTATTCGAGCAGGGTTTTCAGGTCTGCTATTCAAAATGTTCATCAGAAACGACCTACCCCCAACGGAACGCAAAGGCAAACGCATAGGTATAAATTGGTGTTCCGAAGTTGTGTTCAATATTCGTGTGTGAAGTGAATAAACGTGAAGTAAAAAAATATGTCTGGCCGTGGCAAGGGTGGAAAAGTGAAGGGAAAGGCAAAGTCCCGATCGAATCGTGCTGGTCTTCAGTTTCCCGTTGGACGTATTCACCGTCTGCTCCGCAAAGGCAACTATGCTGAACGCGTTGGTGCCGGCGCTCCTGTTTATCTGGCTGCCGTTATGGAATACCTGGCAGCTGAAGTTCTCGAGTTAGCTGGCAATGCTGCCCGTGACAACAAGAAGACTAGGATCATTCCCCGTCATCTGCAGTTGGCCATTCGCAATGACGAGGAGTTGAACAAGCTGCTCTCTGGTGTCACCATTGCTCAGGGTGGCGTTCTGCCCAACATCCAGGCTGTCCTGTTGCCAAAGAAGACCGAGAAGAAGGCTTAAAGATTTAATTGCGGTCCTGTATCTTACCTGCTTGTACATAAACTCATATATAATCCCAAACGTCCTTTTCAGGACGACCAAACCATTTAAGAAGAATGCAAATTTTCATTAGAAATATTAGGCCAAGACAATAGTTTAAACAACAAAAAAATATTCTAAACAGATTTATTGGAGAAAAATGTATGTTTGTGGATACATTATGTATCTATGATAGAAATAAAAGTTGAAATTCCACTTACATATAAAATTCAAGAATTTCGTATTTATTATTTGCGTGAAGTGTGATTGAAAAAAATATATATATGAAGCTTCTTTTCTAGTAGTTTCTTTCTCTTTTTAAAATAAAACTTTTAGATTTAAGTCATATTGTGCGTTTTTATTGATTGTATAATACACATATATTAACGAATTGTATAAACTACAATATATATTTTACTATAAGTGTAGACTTCAGTCCACTGGTGGGTGCCGCATGGCTTAAGCGTGCTGAATAATTAGATATATTTATTGTCTAATAGGCTAAGATATGTAGGTATTATTTAAAATTTATTTCTCTTTTTCTGTTAAAACAAATTGTGGTCCTGAAAAGGACCGATTGTATACATAGTTAAGTACAGGCTGTACAAAAATAATTTTAACCGCCAAAGCCGTATAGAGTGCGTCCTTGTCTCTTCAGGGCATAAACAACATCCATGGCCGTCACGGTCTTCCTTTTGGCGTGTTCGGTGTAGGTGACAGCATCGCGAATTACGTTCTCCAAAAACACTTTTAGAACTCCACGAGTTTCCTCGTAGATAAGACCAGAGATGCGCTTCACACCGCCACGACGAGCCAAACGACGGATAGCTGGCTTCGTAATACCCTGGATGTTATCACGCAAGACTTTGCGATGACGCTTAGCGCCACCTTTTCCCAGACCTTTGCCACCTTTACCGCGTCCAGTCATTTTTCAGTTTTGTTTATTAACGATACGACACTGCACGATAGTCACTGAAGAACTAACTTAACGCGGAAGGAGCCACCGCTCTTTATACCGATTCAACGAGAATTCGAAGAGTTCGGAGCGATATGCTTTTCCCGCTCTTCGTAAACCCAATAGACGAAATGGCAGGTCGTTCTATCTCCCTCTATTCAACCCTCGGCGTTTCTGGTATATAAAGAGGTAGCGAAACGGGCAGCACGTTTATTGTGTTATTAGAGGCGCGAAGAGAACAGTGAATTTGGAAATTGAAATGGCTCGTACAAAGCAGACTGCTCGTAAATCGACTGGTGGCAAGGCCCCACGCAAACAACTGGCTACAAAGGCCGCACGTAAAAGTGCGCCAGCCACCGGAGGAGTAAAGAAGCCCCATCGCTATCGCCCCGGAACTGTGGCTCTCCGTGAGATCCGTCGCTACCAGAAGAGTACTGAGCTGTTGATCCGTAAACTGCCATTCCAGCGGTTGGTGCGTGAAATAGCTCAGGATTTCAAGACAGATTTGCGCTTCCAGAGCTCTGCTGTGATGGCTTTGCAGGAAGCTAGCGAAGCCTATCTGGTTGGTCTGTTTGAAGATACCAATTTGTGCGCCATCCATGCTAAGCGTGTTACTATTATGCCCAAAGACATCCAGCTGGCCCGTCGTATCCGTGGAGAGCGCGCTTAAATTGAACAATTGTCAATTGGCAGCCCTTAAATTTAAACTAAAAAATCGGTCCTTTTCAGGACCACAAAGCTTTTTTAACTGAGATTTGAATAACTATTTTGATTTTACAGAACTTATTTTTAGGTTTAAAAGGTTAAAATAGGTTAGGTTTAAATATTTTTTTCGAACGCTAGGATATATATTATAACTAAAATAAATCCAAGCATTTAAAAGCATGTTTTTTTTATAAATAAGGAATTGTTTACAAAATAAACATTGAAATACACTGTTGTCATTATTTGGAAGATACATATATGAAGAACCAAAAATATGTCTGGTCTTGTGTGAGCAGCGGATCATCAAAATAATCATTTATTAATAATTTATAAATAATGTTATTATGATTTTTACAAAAGCGGCAAAGGGTCGAAGGGTCTTGTTATAAAAAGTTGAATTACATTTCATTTTTTTTTAATATACATATTGTCTATTGGAAACTAATTTATAAGTTGTATATTATTAAATAATATAGTAAATTGTGTATATATTGTCAAATAAAATTCATTAGTCCCAAGAACAAATTGTAGTTTATTTTTTGCGTTTTAATATGGTAACTAAAAGTTAAGTAAGAAAAGTTTATTGGTAATATGAACACATTCAGAATATAAATTACTAGCCTCAACGTATACCTTCGAGCTACCAGTGGAAAATATACAATCCATTTTTGAGACGAAAATGAATTTAGAATTTTTAAGATATGCAGAATGGGAAATAGATAAGATTTATTCTAATATTAAACATTTTAATTTACATTATTTTAGAAAAATAATATTTTTTAGTACGAAAACAGTTTCTTAATGTCAAATGAAAGTTCACATTTTATCCAGGAAAGGGTCATTTTAAAAGCTATATTTAAGCATGAATACTTCATAAAAATATAGTTACGTTTTGCATAGCTGGTAGTTGAAAGTTCAATTTAAGACTTTCAGTAGTAAATTAACAAAAAATACAACAATTTTATATTTTTAATGACGTTTTAATGCAAAATATTTAAGATATTAACGTAAACGTGCACTTTCGGGTACCCAAAAAAAGTATCGAATCTATATACGGCAACTGAGAAAGGTTTTCCTCAAATTTTGAATATTTAAGATTCAAACGCAATTAAAACAAACATTAATTTTATTATCATAAGAACAAAATAATGAAAAATAATTACACCCTTTGAAAAAACATTTGTAACACAAATGAACTGTGCCAAACACATAGTCAAACTGCTCTCCTCCTCGATTCTCATCCGAACAAGGGACTTTGGATGTGGGTTCGCGGGCTATTTTTTGCATAAAAAAAGTTTATTTTTGTGAATAAAAATTTAAAGAATGTCTGATTCAGCAGTAGCTACATCCGCGTCTCCTGTGGCAGCTCCACCGGCGCCGGCTGAGAAGAAAGTAGCAGCCAAAAAGGCAACTGGATCTGCTGCCACAAAAGCGAAGAAGACCGCAGCACCACCATCGCATCCGCCAACTCAACAAATGGTAGACGCTTCAATTAAGAATTTGAAGGAGCGTGGGGGCTCCTCGCTTCTAGCAATCAAGAAGTACATCACTGCCACATACAAGTGCGATGCTCAGAAACTGGCTCCTTTCATCAAGAAGTACCTGAAGTCTGCTGTGGCCAATGGTAAGCTGATCCAGACGAAGGGAAAGGGTGCTTCTGGTTCCTTTAAATTATCGGCTTCAGCCAAAAAGGAGCCCAAGCCGAAGCCTTCTTCTGTTGAGAAAAAAACTAAAAGCAAGAAGGTATCGACCAAGAAGACCGGAGCCACGACTAAGAAGGCCGCGGGAGCTGCCGACAAGAAGCCGAAAACTAAAAAAGCCGTGGCTACCAAGAAGACAGCTGAAAAGAAGAAACCCGAGAAGGCCAAGGCAAAGGACGCTAAGAAGTCTGGTACCGTTAAGGCTAAAACAGTAGCAACAAAAGTGAAGCCATCATCGGCGAAACCAAAGGCAGCTAAAGCCCCAAAGGCTAAACCAGCTGCATCCGCTAAGCCCAAGAAGACGGTAAAGAAAGCACCAGCTCCTACTACCGCAAAGAAGCCGAAAGCTAAGACCACGGCAGCGAAAAAATAAATTGTGATAATGTGCATTATATTTGTACAGTTTCGCAATCGCAATTTTAGATTTCGATATCTAAAATTACATTAAACAAGCCCTTTTCAGGGCTACAATACATTTTTTAAAGAGAAAAAAATATCAATTTTGCTTAGCTTGACATTTTAGAAGAGTATCTTAATCCTAATTGGATTCAAAATAGCAATCGTAATTTTGAAAATTGTATTAATATAAGAATATAATATATTATATAAATGCTAATACAGTATAAATATAAATTTCATCCATCCTAATTGGATTTAAAATAGCGATCGCGAATTGGCTATTTATAATATAGTATATTAATACTAAAACAACATAAATTAAATTTCAGTTTCTTACAAAAACGATTTCAAACAATTAATTTATTTACTTTTATTGAAAAATGGGTGTCTTTGATGAAATAATGTTGTGGCCCTGAAAAGGGCCTTTTTTTCGATCATTCTGCCCATCAAGCGAGAAATCTACTTGGAGCTTGTATACTTGGTGACAGCCTTGGTTCCTTCACTGACGGCGTGCTTGGCCAACTCTCCAGGCAGGAGAAGGCGAACAGCCGTTTGGATTTCCCGACTGGTGATGGTCGAGCGCTTGTTGTAATGCGCCAGACGCGATGCCTCAGCAGCAATACGCTCAAAGATATCGTTCACGAAGCTGTTCATTATACTCATAGCTTTAGACGAAATTCCAGTGTCAGGGTGGACCTGCTTCAGAACCTTGTAGATGTAGATGGCATAGCTTTCCTTCCTCTTGCGCTTCTTCTTCTTATCGTTCTTGGTTATATTTTTCTGAGCTTTGCCAGCCTTCTTGGCTGCCTTTCCACTGGTTTTCGGCGGCATTATTACTTTAAAATTCACTTCACTTCCACTTATACCAAAGTTGGTGTTGGATCAGTTTTTAGTACTTTTATTCGAGCAGGGTTTTCAGGTCTGCTATTCAAAATGTTCATCAGAAACGACCTACCCCCAACGGAACGCAAAGGCAAACGCATAGGTATAAATTGGTGTTCCGAAGTTGTGTTCAATATTCGTGTGTGAAGTGAATAAACGTGAAGTAAAAAATATGTCTGGCCGTGGCAAGGGTGGAAAAGTGAAGGGAAAGGCAAAGTCCCGATCGAATCGTGCTGGTCTTCAGTTTCCCGTTGGACGTATTCACCGTCTGCTCCGCAAAGGCAACTATGCTGAACGCGTTGGTGCCGGCGCTCCTGTTTATCTGGCTGCCGTTATGGAATACCTGGCAGCTGAAGTTCTCGAGTTAGCTGGCAATGCTGCCCGTGACAACAAGAAGACTAGGATCATTCCCCGTCATCTGCAGTTGGCCATTCGCAATGACGAGGAGTTGAACAAGCTGCTCTCTGGTGTCACCATTGCTCAGGGTGGCGTTCTGCCCAACATCCAGGCTGTCCTGTTGCCAAAGAAGACCGAGAAGAAGGCTTAAAGATTTAATTGCGGTCCTGTATCTTACCTGCTTGTACATAAACTCATATATAAACCCAAACGTCCTTTTCAGGACGACCAAACCATTTAAGAAGAATGCAAATTTTCATTAGAAATATTAGGCCAAGACAATAGTTTAAACAACAAAAAAATATTCTAAACAGATTTATTGGAGAAAAATGTATGTTTGTGGATACATTATGTATCTATGATAGAAATAAAAGTTGAAATTCCACTTACATATAAAATACAAGAATTTCGTATTTATTATTTGCGTGAAGTGTGATTGAAAAAAATATATATATGAAGCTTCTTTTCTAGTAGTTTCTTTCTCTTTTTAAAATAAAACTTTTAGATTTAAGTCATATTGTGCGTTTTTATTGATTGTATAATACACATATATTAACGAATTGTATAAACTACAATATATATTTTACTATAAGTGTAGACTTCAGTCCACTGGTGGGTGCCGCATGGCTTAAGCGTGCTGAATAATTAGATATATTTATTGTCTAATAGGCTAAGATATGTAGGTATTATTTAAAATTTATTTCTCTTTTTCTGTTAAAACAAATTGTGGTCCTGAAAAGGACCGATTGTATACATAGTTAAGTACAGGCTGTACAAAAATAATTTTAACCGCCAAAGCCGTATAGAGTGCGTCCTTGTCTCTTCAGGGCATAAACAACATCCATGGCCGTCACGGTCTTCCTTTTGGCGTGTTCGGTGTAGGTGACAGCATCGCGAATTACGTTCTCCAAAAACACTTTTAGAACTCCACGAGTTTCCTCGTAGATAAGACCAGAGATGCGCTTCACACCGCCACGACGAGCCAAACGACGGATAGCTGGCTTCGTAATACCCTGGATGTTATCACGCAAGACTTTGCGATGACGCTTAGCGCCACCTTTTCCCAGACCTTTGCCACCTTTACCGCGTCCAGTCATTTTTCAGTTTTGTTTATTAACGATACGACACTGCACGATAGTCACTGAAGAACTAACTTAACGCGGAAGGAGCCACCGCTCTTTATACCGATTCAACGAGAATTCGAAGAGTTCGGAGCGATATGCTTTTCCCGCTCTTCGTAAACCCAATAGACGAAATGGCAGGTCGTTCTATCTCCCTCTATTCAACCCTCGGCGTTTCTGGTATATAAAGAGGTAGCGAAACGGGCAGCACGTTTATTGTGTTATTAGAGGCGCGAAGAGAACAGTGAATTTGGAAATTGAAATGGCTCGTACAAAGCAGACTGCTCGTAAATCGACTGGTGGCAAGGCCCCACGCAAACAACTGGCTACAAAGGCCGCACGTAAAAGTGCGCCAGCCACCGGAGGAGTAAAGAAGCCCCATCGCTATCGCCCCGGAACTGTGGCTCTCCGTGAGATCCGTCGCTACCAGAAGAGTACTGAGCTGTTGATCCGTAAACTGCCATTCCAGCGGTTGGTGCGTGAAATAGCTCAGGATTTCAAGACAGATTTGCGCTTCCAGAGCTCTGCTGTGATGGCTTTGCAGGAAGCTAGCGAAGCCTATCTGGTTGGTCTGTTTGAAGATACCAATTTGTGCGCCATCCATGCTAAGCGTGTTACTATTATGCCCAAAGACATCCAGCTGGCCCGTCGTATCCGTGGAGAGCGCGCTTAAATTGAACAATTGTCAATTGGCAGCCCTTAAATTTAAACTAAAAAATCGGTCCTTTTCAGGACCACAAAGCTTTTTTAACTGAGATTTGAATAACTATTTTGATTTTACAGAACTTATTTTTAGGTTTAAAAGGTTAAAATAGGTTAGGTTTAAATATTTTTTTTCGAACGCTAGGATATATATTATAACTAAAATAAATCCAAGCATTTAAAAGCATGTTTTTTTTTATAAATAAGGAATTGTTTACAAAATAAACATTGAAATACACTGTTGTCATTATTTGGAAGATACATATATGAAGAACCAAAAATATGTCTGGTCTTGTGTGAGCAGCGGATCATCAAAATAATCATTTATTAATAATTTATAAATAATGTTATTATGATTTTTACAAAAGCGGCAAAGGGTCGAAGGGTCTTGTTATAAAAAAAGTTGAATTACATTTCATTTTTTTTTTAATATACACATTGTCTATTGGAAACTAATTTATAAGTTGTATATTATTAAATAATATAGTAAATTGTGTATATATTGTCAAATGAAATTCATTAGTCCCAAGAACAAATTGTAGTTTATTTTTTGCGTTTTAATATGGTAACTAAAAGTTAAGTAAGAAAAGTTTATTGGTAATATGAACACATTCAGAATATAAATTACTAGCCTCAACGTATACCTTCGAGCTACCAGTGGAAAATATACAATCCATTTTTGAGACGAAAATGAATTTAGAATTTTTAAGATATGCTGAATGGGAAATAGATAAGATTTATTCTAATATTAAACATTTTAATTTATATTATTTTAGAAAAATAATATTTTTTAGTACGAAAACAGTTTCTTAATGTCAAATGAAAGTTCACATTTTATCCAGGAAAGGGTCATTTTAAAAGCTATATTTAAGTATGAATACTTCATAAAAATATAATTACGTTTTGCATAGCTGGTAGTTGAAAGTTCAATATAAGACTTTCAGTAGTAAATTAACAAAAAATACAACAATTTTATATTTTTAATGACGTTTTAATGCAAAATATTTAAGATATTAACGTAAACGTGCACTTTCGGGTACCCAAAAAAAAGTATCGAATCTATATACGGCAACTGAGAAAGGTTTTCCTCAAATTTTGAATATTTAAGATTCAAACGCAATTAAAAAAAACATTAATTTTATTATCATAAGAACAAAATAATGAAAAATAATTACACCCTTTGAAAAAACATTTGTAACACAAATGAACTGTGCCAAACACATAGTCAAACTGCTCTCCTCCTCGATTCTCATCCGAACAAGGGACTTTGGATGTGGGTTCGCGGGCTATTTTTTGCATAAAAAAAGTTTATTTTTGTGAATAAAAATTTAAAGAATGTCTGATTCAGCAGTAGCTACATCCGCGTCTCCTGTGGCAGCTCCACCGGCGCCGGCTGAGAAGAAAGTAGCAGCCAAAAAGGCAACTGGATCTGCTGCCACAAAAGCGAAGAAGACCGCAGCACCACCATCGCATCCGCCAACTCAACAAATGGTAGACGCTTCAATTAAGAATTTGAAGGAGCGTGGGGGCTCCTCGCTTCTAGCAATCAAGAAGTACATCACTGCCACATACAAGTGCGATGCTCAGAAACTGGCTCCTTTCATCAAGAAGTACCTGAAGACTGCTGTGGCCAATGGTAAGCTGATCCAGACGAAGGGAAAGGGTGCTTCTGGTTCCTTTAAATTATCGGCTTCAGCCAAAAAGGAGCCCAAGCCGAAGCCTTCTTCTGTTGAGAAAAAAACTAAAAGCAAGAAGGTATCGACCAAGAAGACCGGAGCCACCACTAAGAAGGCCGCGGGAGCTGCCGACAAGAAGCCGAAAACTAAAAAAGCCGTGGCTACCAAGAAGACAGCTGAAAAGAAGAAAACCGAGAAGGCCAAGGCAAAGGACGCTAAGAAGTCTGGTACCGTTAAGGCTAAAACAGTAGCAACAAAAGTGAAGCCATCATCGGCGAAACCAAAGGCAGCTAAAGCCCCAAAGGCTAAACCAGCTGCATCCGCTAAGCCCAAGAAGACGGTAAAGAAAGCACCAGCTCCTACTACCGCAAAGAAGCCGAAAGCTAAGACCACGGCAGCGAAAAAATAAATTGTGATAATGTGCATTATATTTGTACAGTTTCGCAATCGCAATTTTAGATTTCGATATCTAAAATTACATTAAACAAGCCCTTTTCAGGGCTACAATACATTTTTTAAAGAGAAAAAATATCAATTTTGCTTAGCTTGACATTTTAGAAGAGTATCTTAATCCTAATTGGATTCAAAATAGCAATCGTAATTTTGAAAATTGTATTAATATAAGAATATAATATATTATATAAATGCTAATACAGTATAAATATAAATTTCATCCATCCTAATTGGATTTAAAATAGCGATCATGAATTGGCTATTTATAATATAGTATATTAATACTAAAACAACATAAATTAAATTTCAGTTTCTTACAAAAACGATTTCAAACAATTAATTTATTTACTTTTATTGAAAAATGGGTGTCTTTGATGAAATAATGTTGTGGCCCTGAAAAGGGCCTTTTTCGATCATTCTGCCCATCAAGCGAGAAATCTACTTGGAGCTTGTATACTTGGTGACAGCCTTGGTTCCTTCACTGACGGCGTGCTTGGCCAACTCTCCAGGCAGGAGAAGGCGAACAGCCGTTTGGATTTCCCGACTGGTGATGGTCGAGCGCTTGTTGTAATGCGCCAGACGCGATGCCTCAGCAGCAATACGCTCAAAGATATCGTTCACGAAGCTGTTCATTATACTCATAGCTTTAGACGAAATTCCAGTGTCAGGGTGGACCTGCTTCAGAACCTTGTAGATGTAGATGGCATAGCTTTCCTTCCTCTTGCGCTTCTTCTTCTTATCGTTCTTGGTTATATTTTTCTGAGCTTTGCCAGCCTTCTTGGCTGCCTTTCCACTGGTTTTCGGCGGCATTATTACTTTAAAATTCACTTCACTTCCACTTATACCAAAGTTGGTGTTGGATCAGTTTTTAGTACTTTTATTCGAGCAGGGTTTTCAGGTCTGCTATTCAAAATGTTCATCAGAAACGACCTACCCCCAACGGAACGCAAAGGCAAACGCATAGGTATAAATTGGTGTTCCGAAGTTGTGTTCAATATTCGTGTGTGAAGTGAATAAACGTGAAGTAAAAAAATATGTCTGGCCGTGGCAAGGGTGGAAAAGTGAAGGGAAAGGCAAAGTCCCGATCGAATCGTGCTGGTCTTCAGTTTCCCGTTGGACGTATTCACCGTCTGCTCCGCAAAGGCAACTATGCTGAACGCGTTGGTGCCGGCGCTCCTGTTTATCTGGCTGCCGTTATGGAATACCTGGCAGCTGAAGTTCTCGAGTTAGCTGGCAATGCTGCCCGTGACAACAAGAAGACTAGGATCATTCCCCGTCATCTGCAGTTGGCCATTCGCAATGACGAGGAGTTGAACAAGCTGCTCTCTGGTGTCACCATTGCTCAGGGTGGCGTTCTGCCCAACATCCAGGCTGTCCTGTTGCCAAAGAAGACCGAGAAGAAGGCTTAAAGATTTAATTGCGGTCCTGTATCTTACCTGCTTGTACATAAACTCATATATAAACCCAAACGTCCTTTTCAGGACGACCAAACCATTTAAGAAGAATGCAAATTTTCATTAGAAATATTAGGCCAAGACAATAGTTTAAACAACAAAAAAATATTCTAAACAGATTTATTGGAGAAAAATGTATGTTTGTGGATACATTATGTATCTATGATAGAAATAAAAGTTGAAATTCCACTTACATATAAAATTCAAGAATTTCGTATTTATTATTTGCGTGAAGTGTGATTGAAAAATATATATATATGGAGCTTCTTTTCTAGTAGTTTCTTTCTCTTTTTAAAATAAAACTTTTAGATTTAAGTCATATTGTGCGTTTTTATTGATTGTATAATACACATATATTAACGAATTGTATAAAGTACAATATATATTTTACTATAAGTGTAGACTTCAGTCCACTGGTGGGTGCCGCATGCCTTAAGCGTGCTGAATAATTAGATATATTTATTGTCTAATAGGCTAAGATATGTAGGTATTATTTAAAATTTATTTCTCTTTTTCTGTTAAAACAAATTGTGGTCCTGAAAAGGACCGATTGTATACATAGTTAAGTACAGGCTGTACAAAAATAATTTTAACCGCCAAAGCCGTATAGAGTGCGTCCTTGTCTCTTCAGGGCATAAACAACATCCATGGCCGTCGCGGTCTTCCTTTTGGCGTGTTCGGTGTAGGTGACAGCATCGCGAATTACGTTCTCCAAAAACACTTTTAGAACTCCACGAGTTTCCTCGTAGATAAGACCAGAGATGCGCTTCACACCGCCACGACGAGCCAAACGACGGATAGCTGGCTTCGTAATACCCTGGATGTTATCACGCAAGACTTTGCGATGACGCTTAGCGCCACCTTTTCCCAGACCTTTGCCACCTTTACCGCGTCCAGTCATTTTTCAGTTTTGTTTATTAACACACTGCACGATAGTCACTGACAGTGGTGCCACTTTTTTCTGAGCAAAAAAAGCTGGATCAACGAAAAAAAAAAAGCTAAAAAAAGCGGAACACCAAAGAAAAAAAGTTAAGAAAAAAACTGACTGAGTGGAACCTCAGTTCCACTTAACATAAAATATATGGGTAATTCTCTAACGGATATCATTACAAAGAAACCAAAAAAAAACAATAATGTACAAAAATTAAGATCTATATTATATTTAAGATGTCGTCAATATTATCATCATCATCAGTTGGATAAAATTTCTTGTCTTCAATTGTAGATAGGCAGCTGGGTGGTATATTATAGTTAAAACAGCACATATTGTGTCGACGCAGCCCGTACCTTAAATTTTAAGTAAATTAATTTATAATTTTAAGATACAAATTAAAATATGGACCTTATACTCAGTATAGCGTTTAACGTTTCAACGCTCATGTTATTTCGAATTTTCGTTTTTATTAAATGTACTTGGCTGAACACCCGCTCGACGTCGGCATTCGACCAAGGCAGGACTGCATTTGCAGAGCAACTGAAGCCAATTCCTGAAAACGGCAGTTTCCGCCAGAATCCCGATATTTAAGAACTTCAGCCCAGAACTTAACAGTATCATCGACATTTTCCCACTCTACCATGGTTATGTCGTTGTACAGTCGTTCAATTTTATCTATATTAGGAGTACCAAAATACTCAAGGATTGGAGAGATTTGTTTCTTTTTGATTTTTAAAATATTTTCAACAGAGAATGCATCAAAAAGTTAACAAAAAAAAAAAAGCTGCGTAAATTTGCTCAAAAAGCCAGAATTCCCGCTGCCCGCTGTTTTCATATTTTTCCCGCAATCACGCTTCAAAAAAACCCAGATCTGACGGGAAAAAAGCGGAAATGACACCACTGGTCACTGAAGAACTAACTTACCGTGGAAGGAGCCACCGCTCTTTATACCGATTCAGAGAGAATTCGAAGAGTTCGGAGCGATATGCATTTCCCGCTCTTCGTAAACAATAATAATGGCGGCTGCGGGAACACGGGAAAATGATAATGGCCAGTATTGGCGAATCAGGGTCAGAAAACTTCGGGACTTGATTCCTCAAAATCTGTGCTTTAATGGGACAGGTACCATTCGAATGGGCTAAAAATTAAAAAATAGCTTTCTCGTGGTATTCCGTGCATAATCCTCTTTAAAAAAAGCTAGGGGGGGCATTCAAATTCCATAACGGCTGTCACCGTGTTAGGTAGCGCAGAAATATGTGATGCTGTTAATGGCCAGTGTTGGTGAATCAGGGTCTGAAATTTCCGGGACTTGATTTCTTTAAATCTGTGAGAGCGATTTAAATAAAAATAGTCTTATAATGTTCTGTATAAAATAAGCTTTTCAACGGTATACCGTGCATAATGTCTCATCCTCTGTGAAGGACCTAATAAGTCTAACAGAGGCCATAAAGTATTTTTAAACTAGTTCAATGAACTTTTTGTGGACTAGTTCCGGTTCACTAGTTGGCGCTGCTCTTATTAGTTCAAATGATATGGGAAACTGTAATTCGATTTTCTCAAAATCTGTGGGAGCGATTTGTATGATTGGTCCATACATACTTGAAAAAGTCCTACATCGACTCCACTACCGTGCATATTGGCGCATCCTCTTGGAGCTTCACAATTTTAAAAACAATTTTTTGGGGTCATTTTTGTATGGGCGGTTAGCCGGTAGGGAGCGATTTTAATGAAATTTTCAGGATATATTCTCAAAAAAATGGGCTATAAGCTGGTGCATCGCGCTTATTGGCGCATTCTCTTATTTCTGAGATAATGCTCAATACAGTGAAGGGGCAATTTTTCAAACCCAATTTTAAGCTACTTAAAGAGTGTAGAACCCGCTCAAAGTAAGAAAAAACAATAGTTTATTCAATTAACAATTCTTAACAATTCTAGTGTTTATTTCATTAAATTTAGTGGCTGAATACGGAAATAATTGAAAAACAAAATATTCGTTGCTGTGTTCCAATTCCACCGTTCCACTTCGACGCTAACTGAGCGACGCTAATTTGACGGGCATCGTTTATTTGGAAATTGAAATGGCTCGTACAAAGCAGACAGCTCGTAAATCGACTGGTGGCAAGTAGGGTTGTTGGTTTTTGAAAAAATATCGTATTGATGATATTTGCTGTGAAAAAAATATCAATTGATAATATTAAGAAATATCACCAAAAAAAAAAAACGATATATCGAGTATTTTTGATATTTTTTATGGTCAGCTAAAATTGAAAAAAGGTTAATTGGTCAGCTAAATTGAAAAAGGCCATGAACTGCAAATAAGAGCTATTTTTGATTTAAAAAGTGAATTGAAAAACAACAAATATTTATACCCACTCTCAAGCAACTTTTATTTACGATCTTTGAAATAAAAAATAACAAAATTATTAAGGACATTGTATTCAAATTTATTTATAAAAAAACATAATACATAAAAAAAAGTTTTATAAAACTTAATTAATTCATGGAATATGTACTAAATAATGCTAATTACTTAATTCTCTTATTTAATGCTCCTAATTACTCCTAATTACAAAACAAATCTTTCTTCAATAATTTAAAAAAAACTCTTTCGGTTATATGCTGGTCTGTCATTCGACTACGGGAGTCACAGACAACACATTTAATGGCAGAAGCCAACCGTTCAGATGGAACCGAACTTCCAGGCGTGATAAGATAACTTAATGCCAATTTCTGGCTTAAGAGTGACCAAACATAAAATATCGGAAATACCAACTCAAAAATATTATTATCGACTATTTTTGCCCAAAAAATATTTCGATAATAATATTTTTTTTAAGAGAAAATATATCGATATATTGATATTTTGATATATTTCCGACATCCCTAGTGTGAAATTTCAGTAAGACTAGTTTATTTATTTTGTTTTGTGCACGTTTAAAGGTGAGTTTCTATCGGACGGTCTGTTCATAATTGAAAAGGTTCTCTAAAAATGTCGGAAATAGCAAGAGCCATCCATCTCATCTACAAAATTTAGAATACTTGCGGCACCCGAACGGAAAGTTGTTTACATTTTTTCGTACGCATACCCTGCCATAGAGATTGTTTGTTTTTACATAAAACTTGCAACGGGGTACTGATTTAACTCTTAACATCAGAGCACCGATTTAATTGATTATTTAATTATTATTTCGAATCGTAATTTTTTGAATTTTTAAAGTAAAATATGCTCAGACTTACTCTAATTCGGGTGCAATTGAAATACAAATCCATAATTTATACATAAATATAATATTAAACACGTTTAAAAATAATATTTTACTAGGGATAAAATAAAATTCAAGAATTTACATACATACATATATATATATTTTATAGGGTCGGAAATGATTCTTTCGCTATGTTACATACATTCACACGGCTACAATATACCCTCGTACAGGGTAAAAAAATTCAATTGCACCCCGGCAATGCACGCATAAAAAGTCAGTGAACTGGATGGTGAAATAATTGAAACTTTGTATACCAGTTAGTTTAAATATCTACAATTAGGGCATTCCAAATCGGCCACTTATATTCTTCCGCCTAGCGCCGAAAACCGCAGCCTAGAAGTATGCAACAAAATATTGTGTTAAAGCGGTGCGCGACCCAAAAAAGGTGAATTTTTAGAATTTTGTTTGTTGCGAAGGGAACTTAAACTGTTTTTTGACCATTATATCCTATTTAAGTGAAAGACTTAAGGGGAGGGTAAGGTCAAATCATGCGAAAAAAGCCATGTTTTTGTGATTTTTTTCCTGACGACACAGTTAAAATTTATTTATTCAACCAACGGTATATTAAAGTATGACATTTGAAGAATGTTCTATTAAATTTTTACAAAAAAATATTTAAAAATATGGCAATGGTAGAAATTGTCCGGACGTGTCGCAAAAAAAAGTTGAATTGCGGTGCCTCTCATAACTCGGTGCTGGATCATTTGTAATCAAAAAATGAAAATTCACTCGTTAGATAATAGTTCGCCCCAGGTAACGCTGTAAAGGTTTTTTGAAAATTGCAATTTCTTAATTTTTTCGAAGACTTTGAAGTGAAAAACTCAATTTTTTGGGAAAAAATCGGGTAATTTGTCATTGCCAAATCAAAATTATGAACAAAAAAAAAAAAAAAACTCGACAGCGTTACCTCGTAAAATATGTACAGAAATAGTGTTAAAAATTTCAAAAGGATCGGTGCAGTAGTTTTGAAGTTATGAGGGGCACCGACTTTGAAAACGTGAGTTGTGGGAATAACGCTTTAAAGTTTTAAACAAAAAAAAATCCAGTGTATAACTAATAACTTCGTCAATTTTGCTTTAATTGACTTGAAATTTTGACACAATATTCTTCAGATATTATGCATTCAATTTAAAAAATAAAAAAAAAAATGAAAAAAAAAAAAAAAATTTAATACCTTACCCTCCCCTTAAGCTTATTTTAAGATCATGTGAAAATATTTTATAATTTCACTTCTGTAGCCGTTGTAAGAAACGTTTGAAAAAAGGTGTTTTGCGGTGATCCAAAGCTAGGATTAGTAAAGATTTTTATAAATTTTCATTGCTGACAAAATTTTCTAACTTTAAAAACAAAACAATATATTAATAACTTATTTCATATTTTTATGCCCTTGCTGAGGGTATTATAATTTTGGTCAAAAGTGTGCAATGCAGTGAACTGCCATATATCTGATTGATCGGAAATGGTATAACTTTAGTGTTCTTTGAGTTAGGGAGTTCGGATTTTGCATGAGTGCCTTTTTTGGCAAAATAATACGACCTACCAAATTTTATACCTACTAATCCTATAGCTGCCATATAACTGAACGATCGGAATGGTATGTGGTACTTTTGAAGATAGAAGCTTGGGACTTTTTTCTAGATTTTTTATTGTAATTAATTGGTTTTATTATGATATTCTCAAAAGGATCGGCCAAATATATCCAAAGTTTGAGATATATATCCGATTTTAACTGCAAGGGTATATCCATGATACAATTATACAAGGTAGTCTCGTCGGCAAAAGCTTTCGTCAGTGCGTGTTCGTTTTTCGATGTGGAAGGTTGTCTGCGGACAAATATTTTCTTTCATTAACCCTTGTGCAAAATGACTTTTTTCAAGTTGTTGAATTCAATAAAATAATTTAAGAACTAGAATATATATTTTATATATATAGTTTTATATATAAAAAGTATATATATATATATATATATATATATATATAACATTACTATTAGCCGTTAAAAATGTTAATATTAATTTAAATATTTAATATTATTATTTTAAAATTAGAATATATTTTAGAATTTAAAACTTAAGCAAACGAATATTTGTACACAAAGAAAAACAACGCATAATTTCTAATTCAAAATTATTAAAATTAAATTATATCACAAATCAAACTTTTATTTTATAACTGGTAACTTTAATCCCCTTTCATCGTGTAAGGGTTTATGCACAAATTCATTGTCGTCTCGCTCACACTACTATGCTGAGACCCTTTCACTCGCACTCATTGTTATGCTTTTGCTTTTGCCAACGAGACTACCTTGTATAATTGTATCATGGGAATATCAACTTCGGGTCCGCCCGAAGTTATCTTTTTTTTCTTGTTTTAATATATTCAAGAAAATTGTGTAATTGATTGTAATTGAAATCGAGATCACCGACTTCAGAAAAACGGGCGGTCCTTTTGTGAAACTGTGACATGGGAATACAAGTTACTGGATAATTTGAAAATATTTATCGGATTGAGCTTACATTTTTAAAGAACAGTTGCAATGCACTTTTAAATTAAATAATAAGAATAAAATATATATTTGGCTTTTTAAAAATCCTAACTGAGAATATCGCCTTAAAAGTAATATCTTCGAAAGAGTTCAGTTTAAAAGTAACCTTTATGAGAAAAAGGGTTTGGGAGCCCTGGGTACGTTACTCGAATAACATACTTTGGGTATCAAAACTCTGGTTTGAAACCAAACATTATTTGTGTACTCTTCAAGGAGTGACTTGGCTACGAAGGCACCTCCATTGCACAACCTTAAACATCACCCACAAATGGAAAAAGATTCAGGTTTCATTATGTTTTTTAATGTTCAAAGTAAATGCCAAGTAAATGATTATAAATAAGTGCTTGTGGTCATGACTGTCAACTTAAAGTAAATACAGTTGTGGTCAGGCTTATGGTTGGGTAAACCAGATGAGTTGTGGCAACAGCTTATGTCCTAAATATATAAATAGGAGTGCTTAAATTCAGGTTGAGCAACGTTAATCGGTAGACTTTTGGTACGGGCCTCATTTCAGCTCCACAATTAATACTAGCTAGTGAAGGACGCGGGCGCGTCTTTCGACCTCTGGGGCGCTCAATTGCTCGCCTCGTCCGTGTCTACGTCGGATATATCTTTGAGCTTGGTGGGACCGGCGTTGCCGTTTTTGTTGCTACTGCCGCTGTTGTTGTTGCGCTCGTTGTCCGCCGCCGCCTGCTGGAAGTTCTCTTGAAGTGCCTTGGGGTCCACGACCAGGATGGGCGTGCACCCGTCCATAAGGTGTTCGCTCTGGCTCTGGTACTGCTCCCGGGAGATGCTTCGCGTGAAGGAGAATCGCAGGGACTTGGTGCGGGTCAGCTTCTTCTTGATGGGCGGTTTGCCGGCCACTGTAGCCATGGGCTCCGAGCTGGTTCGCTCCGTTCCCTCGGGCGTGGTGGGGGCCGAGCTGATCTCCAGCTGGTGGTCGCGCAGGATTTCCTCTGCCATGCTCTTTATCTGACTCCACGCGTCCAGGATGTCCTTTTCCGTGGCGTGCTCGTAAGTGACACAGAAGCGGATGACGTAGCGTCCGTTGAATTTGGCTGGCGTCATGTGCATCTTGCCAGAGTGGTTGATCTGGGCCAATAACATGTGGTTGGGCTCGTCGCCGGTTCTGAAAATGATTCCAAATAAAATGACAATTAAGTCGCGATCCTCTAAAGAATAAAGCCTTTGACTTACCGCATTCGGAAGCAGACGAGTCCTAGGTGGACGTCGTTTCGCACCTCGAACCGCTCGTCCTTGCGCACCAGCATCTCGAATTTCTTGGCCAGAGCCATGTGGTTGCGGATGTACTCCTGCAGGCCCTTCACTCCGTAGGTGCGGAATACGAACCAGAGCTTGAGGGCTCGGAAGCGGCGGCTTAGCGGAATGCCGTAGTGCCGGTAGTCCACTCCGTTCAGGTGTTCGTGCCGGAGGTAGAGGGGATTCACGTTCAGGGCGCTCTTCAGGGTCATCACATCGCGCACCCACAGGGCGGAGGCGTCAAAGTTGGTCAGCAGCAGCTTGTTAGGGTTTGTGTTGAAGGAGTCGGCGTACTCAAGGCCGGCGGAGAAGACCCGCATCTCGGGCAGAATGAATGAGTTTCCGGCGTAGGCCCCGTCCACGTGCAGCCAGATGCTGGACACCTGGCGGCAAACTTTACCGATCTCTGTGATGTCGTCGAAGGCACAGCCGCCGGTGGTGCCGACGGTGGCCACCACGAAGAAGGGCGTCAGGCCGGCGTTGACGTCGTTCTGGATCGCCTGGCGGAGCAGGTCCACGCGCATACGTCCCCTCTCGTCGGCATCGATGATGCGCAGCTTGACCAGCGCCATCTTGGTGGCCTTCTCCACGGAGGAGTGCGCCTCCCGGCTGGCGTAGGCAATCAGGCTGGGCAGGAAGACACTGTCGTGCACGCTGGTCTGGCCCTTTAGCTCACTGATGGCTCGGGCGCGGGCGGTGATGAGGGAAACCAGGACGCACTCGGAGGCGGAACCCTGGAGGGCACCCCCGCCCGTGCTGCCCGGCGCATCCGAGACGAAGGCCTTGGGCAGGCCGAGGGCCTTGGCGTACCAGTTCATCACAATCGTCTCCAGCTCGGCGGCGGCCGGGCAGCTGGCCCAGCTGAAACCGATGGACCCGATGGCGCTGCTCAGCATGTCCCCGAGCACCGAGGGGAACGAGTTGCCCGAGGGGAAGTAGGCGAAGAACTTGGGGTGGTTCCAGTGCACCACGCCGGGCATGATCTTCTGCTCGAAGTCCTCGAGCACGTCCTTGAACGACTCGGGCGACTGGGGGGCGTCGGCTGGAAGATGGGAAAAACACACACGGCGGTCGGTTAGTGGGCTGCGCCTTAGGCGTTTCTTTTATCACCTATTAACGGGGCTTGGGGTGGCGGTGTGGCAGTCGGAGGCGGGGGCGGGGGCGGTGGCGGGGGGCAGTATTTATGGCCCGTCTGTTGTTTTTGGCAGTGAGTAGAAAGATCAACAAGTAAGTCTATACGCAAGGTGTGTGTTTGCGTATGCATAATTAATTGATTTGTTTAGTTGAACTCTGGATTGCGGCGTCCATTCCGGCGTAAATATTTAAGTTAGCCAACTGCGCGGAATTCGACTAAAATTCGCCAGCAAAAATCTTCTTTCCAGCCTGCCAACTTTGTCAGAGGTCGAAGAGGAGAGCGAGGGCTGCTGAGTGTGCCCCAATTATGCCAGTACGTGCCCCTGTCCCTGCCCCTGCCTCTGCTACTACCACTGCCACCCACGCACAACAGTGCGGGGTACTCGAATCCGTGGGCTGGGTATTTTCGAATAGTTTACACTCGCACATTATTCACATGATCCCCGAGCGGGCACAGCAATTAGTCAACATGATTTAACAATATTTTCGAGGGGCTCCGAGTTGCTCATGCTCGGCGTTTTCTAATTATTTTGTGCGAAGCGAAATATTTTCGGATTCATTGCTAATTTGTTTGGCCAAATTAGTGTATAACATTTATCACTTGGGCTATAATTAAAGTTGTTCCCCCAAACTAGGTAGAATCTGAGCAAAAGTCTGGGAGCGATTGGATATCAGAAAGCCCCCTAGGTGGCTGGGGTTGTACTGCCGATTAATGGACATCGAGTACCCCAGTACATGATTAAAGACCCCCTTTAAGCACTTGGCTTGCTCACCTGGAAGCAGCTTCTTGAGGTAACCCGGATCCAAGGTGGGGGCAACGTCGCGCTCCTCGATGTTTGTGCCATACTCGCATATGTAGTCGATCACTTCCTTGCCGTACTTGCGAAACTCTTCGACATTCATTTTGTCCAATTGGCACCTTTTGTTTGTGTTCTCGCTAACAGGGGTTTCACTTTGTTTGAGGCGTTCCTCTTCAGGGTCTCTAGACTTTGGCACTGTCTCACTCACAATCTGGCACTATTCCACTCCCGCATTAACGTTCGGATGGCTTGCTGCAGGTTCAGCTTCCTTGACGCGAATGACTTGGCCAGTGCGCCCCGTTGGCTTTTATATGGACCGCTCCAGCACCGCCGCGACTGGCCCGGTCTCTGGCTCTCTCTCTTTCGATCGCGGGCTCTCGCCTCCTCTGTCCCACACCTGCGAGGTGCTCGGTGATCGGTACTCGGGGCTCGGTGCTCATTGACGTGTTGTATTGTCTCGTGATGGCACTCGAATTACTGGCCCGGAGACTTGGACTTCGCGTCCAACAGTAGCAGCGGTGTCGGCGTCGGCGATCGGGTGTCTGGGAAACCCGCTTCGATCATTATGGCCCCTTGGCTCAGTCCGTTTCCGATTCCGGAGGCAGTGATTGTGAAGTCCCTGGTTGGAAAGGGTTTGTAGTTTTTTTCTCATAATTACATAGTGTGAACGAAAGACTGAAATTATTTTAATTAAATGATCATTAGGATTGTATTAGCAGGTAGTTTCAAAGACAAAGTTTCCGGTTGGTAATCAAAAATAAGCTCAGCATTTCATTGCTTCCAAAAAAACCCTCCAAACTGTGCAACAACCCTTTTCTAATTTGTGTTTTTCGTGGGATTCGAATATTCCACCTTTAGGATTTGCGATCTTAACTAGTTTTGTTCTTCAGCGTATTATCTTTTTTTTTTTATCAATTATCTCTTCTGCGCCGAAGCAGCCTTTAATTTATCGATATTTAAACAGGCTTGGAGCGGTGCCGAACTAGAAACATACTTTTCGATGGGGCTTTCGGGGAATTTTTAGACAATTGCCGACTCTTGCAAATCAGGCACGTGGAACGAGTGTGCAAAGAGAATACCTCGTTGCCAGTAATCCCTTGTTTGAAAACTTTCCAGTGGGCACTTCGAGGGGAAATACACGGGACTCCGAAAAGGTGATAGGCAATTGTCCAAATATTGGGCCAATCCGCTAACTATGACAGGGTCGGACGAACGACGAGTCCCTGGTACCAGAGGGAACTATGACGTAGTTGCGATGAACGCCAGTGCTTTCATGGAATCTCCTGCTACGCTATGTGCTAGGAGGAACACGAAAACAAAAGTATCAAAATAAACAAACTCGCCCCCTGGGTCTCGCCCATCTGTTCGGCTGGCCAGCGAGTGGGTGGGGGCGCGAGTGGGTGTTGCTGGGGGAGGCTGGAGGTGGCAGGGCATCAATCAATGAATGGGGTTCGTTGCGGGGTCAGCTGGGAGATAATTGTCCCCTAGCGGTTATCTAACGACGCTCTCTAGTGACTAACTATAAAGCACACATTCCAGCCTCCCAATCCATCAGACTTCTCGGTTCCCACAGTCTCCCCGTTAATTTTTACCCAACCGAATGGCACAGTGGAATCCCTCATATGATGTTTTAAATTAAGTGTCGGTTTTAACAGTTGGTTCACGAAATGGGCGTGGCACACCCCTAACAAATAGGATTTGCAATTTTTGAATTCCCAGACATTTATCTCTAAAGTACTCTAATACGCTACTAATCTTTAATTAAAGCAGTATAGCTCGGTTTAAAGTCTACACTTTAGGCCATCAATTAATTTAACAAGAACGATACAATATACAATAACTATAATACTAACAGATAAAATAAACACAGTGAATACAGAATGAATAGTCACGATACAATAATAGTTATTGTATTCTGGAATTATACTTGCTACACTTAGATATAGATATACTCTTATTCCCTGCCACTTTCGTTCAGATGAATAAACTGTGAAATTTTATGGCAAAACCATTAAAACCGATACTTCAGGCCAATCCTTGTTTTGTGTGTTTATGCACTTCTAGCTTTCACACCCACCTTAGAGGCTATTATAGCACCTACTTTCGATTATACTATATCTATGTTTGTATTCCTCATAAGACTCTAAAGTATCAAGTACTTTTTAAGCAAACCTGTAATGCGTAAAAAAATTCGAATACCTTTTTAAATAGTTTGATTTTGAACAACGATTGGACTCACAGTCTTATGGCTCTGATTCTCTTCTAAGGGTTACTGGGCTAACAAAATATACTTTAAACTCCAGTTAATTCTAGTTAAGTGCACCAGCAAGGGTACCCCCTGTAGCGAACATCGGTGATTCATCCGAAGCACGCGCCGCCTTCGAGCCACTCTCGGAAGAGCAGAGTCCGCCTCGAGAGATCCGCAGCTTCGCAGATTGCAAGACAGAGAACGCCCGAGCACCGTGACTCGACGTATTTCTGTGCTCCTCTTTCGGGGCTCGAGGTCCGCCTAAACTTTCATTCACAGTACCAGCCACCGCCGATGACGTCGTGCGTCTAAATATAAAAGCATATTCAGTTTACGCGGCCACACTTCAAAACGCCGAGGGCCGTTGCCATCATCCGTCGAACCCATCCGTCCATCCGCCTTCGGGGCGGCGAGCGGCATCTTCCACTGGGTCTTGGTCTGGCTCTGGGTCTTGGGGTACGTGAGTCCGGGGAAGTGTGACTGTAGCGGGGCTAACACGTTTCTTGTCTACCCATTAATTGCCGAAACTCCCATGACAGCTGGATACAGTGGAGCTCCTCTGGCATGACCCGCTTGGTAGGATTATGGTGGAATACTAACTTGGTTTAAGGACCTACGGAGTACCTGGCTGGCACCTATTTCACAATCTGTGATATTTGAAAAGTCCAGAAGCGAACGTGACAGACATTTGAGTGAAAAAAGCCGTTTCGGATGTTACCTTTCGACTAATTTTATGTCGCAAAGGCCGTTGATGCTCAAGTGGCCAAGCAGTTTGGACATAAAAAACTCTGACCAAAATTTGCATATTCGGCGTTCGATTTGGCGTAGCACGCGCTTGACAACAGCTGACGGATATGGCATATGAATTTTTCATGGGCCGGGAGCTTCTATATTTATTTTCGTTTATTTTGGCAATTTCGTGTGTTTTGGTTTTCGCCGAATCATACCTCAGGCATCCCATTCATTCTGAATCGGCAGAGCATGCTAATTTTTGTCGTCATTGTTTAAATCCGAAGATACAGCGGCTCTGATTGATTTGCTTACGAGAGTGCCAAAGGTAGGGTTTGTTTGTTTTATTTCGGCCGCTACTGGCGCTATCTTGATGGATCCGGATTGCCATTAGGAATTCGGGCCATTATAACAAGAATTCCCCGAACTAATCAGATAAAATACAACGATTATGGCCATTCACACCTCATGAACTAATTCAGAAAACGAGGCATTGGAAGCCTCATCTAATGTGTCGAGCCTCACAGTTCAGATCGAATGCTCTCCCTTATATTTGTTAAACCTAATCCGACTGCGATGCGCACTTTCTTCTGGTAATTCCGCCCAAACTTGAGGTTGCTGTCCCTAAACTGACTCCCCCCAGGTACGTCCTCTGTTGCAGTTCCTGGGGCGCTGCTCTGAAGGCCACGCCGGCGACCGGGGCTGCCCATGGCCCGGTGCTGCAAGAGGCCTACAACGAGGTCGTGCGGAATCTGATCAAGAACTGGGAGTCGCCGGTGGTGTACCTCAGGGACCGGGGCTTCCTGCCCAGGGACTACGAGGACACGTCCAAGATCAAGCCGAACCTGGACGCTCTGATGCAGCGCATGGAGCGGGGCACACGAAGCCAGCCCTCTGCCCAACGGATCAGTATCGGGATACGGCCCACGGAGATTCGGGACGGGCCGTCGAGAAACGAGAGAGGTCTCAAGAGGGGCTATGCGCTTCTCAATGCGGACAAGAACGCGGCACCAGACGGCAAGCCTCCCAAGGACGATGACCAGGAGACGCAGCTTCTGGCGATGAAGAGCCGCCTGGAGCATATGCAGCCCCTAAACTCCAAGCACAACCTGCCAGAGCCCAAGAGACAGAGCCCGACCGCCAAGTCCATGAAGCCACTGTCCACTGGCCGAACCTACGACGAGATGCTGCAGCAGATGATCGACCGGACGAACCCCGTGGCCAAGCACGCTAATCGGACCAGCAGTCTGGCGCAGGTGATGCAATCTTTGCACGGAAGTGCCAAGGTGCCGGACAAGCTTCTGGGACTGGGCTCTGTGGGCCTGAACGTCTACACTGGGGTCAGTCCGCTGGAGAGGGAAATCCCGTACCTGGCAGCGAAGTCCAAGGGGGGCAAGGAGAAAGAGCCAAGGGATAAGTGGGAATCGGGGCTGGCAGCGCCCAACTACCTGAACTGGGACATGAAGAACGGGCGCCTCGACCATTACTCATCGATCGAGAAGGATGCCTATCTGAATCAGTTGGTCCGAACGTTTGGCCAGAAGCTGATATCCAAGGAGATCCAGTCGAAGGGGGACCCCCAACTGCCCGTTTCCTAGAACTGCTCCCTTTTCTTTGTTCAAAGATCGACCCCAACTGAGACCCAAGTTACCATTCCTTTCTGGCTTTGCTGTTTCCAAGAAATTTTCGACGTCATACCCGTGGCATCCGAGGGTGTAATGTGTTTCTGGCTGTTTACCTTTCGCAGAGAAATCCCAGGATTTCTGTTTACCGCACACATCTTTTATTGGCTAATTGTCGTGACTTAGATTTAGAACCCGACTGATTCACTGGCCGACCACATGCTGTATCTAAGAAAACAGCATTAAACGCTTCCGGATTCCCATTTCGGATGGAGAAATTATGGCACACCGTTTCCGATGGTATTGAAATAATATTTATTGCATTTCATTAACAAGAAGGTTATTCATCGATATTGCTGCCACGAACTGGGGTAATGTCGCGCGTTGCGTCGTAAATTGGTCTAGAATTCAACTAGGCACCCGGATAAGGAGGCGCTAATACTGTGCTATACATGTGAATATGGGCATATCTGCGGGATGGGTCTAGTTGGGGGTGTCCCGCGAGCTGGACGCCTTGCGCACCACCATCGGCGACCGCCGGGGCGACTTCTGCTCCTGCTGCTGTTGCTGGACATTCACGTAGTCCTGCTCGTTCTCCGGCGAGGGAGAGGAGCCAGCCCCGGAGTTCCGTCGCGAAGACGATGTCCGCACGTTGGTGTCCAAGTGACGAAAGCTGAAAAGTTGCAAAAGTAGTTTCAGGTTAAAGGTGTGCTTATGACAACTCGGATGAGGTGTCATAGAGATTTGTGAAACCCCAAACCCAACATGATTAATGCTTAAGGCATGGCTTGGGTTGCCACTTGCTCTTAAAATTCAATTCCTTAATCTTGCATTTCCAAATACCCACCGTAGGGACACGTTGCTGCCCTTGTCCTCGTTGTTGCCGTAAAAGAGGAAAGCCAGCGGCCAAGATATCCACGAGTTGTGGTCCACGGAACTCTGAGTCCGAATGATCGGGGCACTGCCGCGACTCACCACCGGCGACGGCAGCTCCATGGACAGCTTCGGGGTGCCGGCCTTGTTGATGGCCGGGTTGTAGATCTTCGGGTCACTGACCATGCGAACGAAGAAGGACCTCTTCTGGGCCAGCGTGTCCTGCTTCTTGCGGTTCATGATCTCGGACAGCTCGTCATGCTGCTCCTTCTCCAAGAGCTCGTTGGCAAAGTCCACGATGGTGTCCCAGGCGTAGTCGATGTCCTCGGCAGTCGCATTCTGGGCCACGGCGCAGAAACGGATTATGTATCGATCGTTCACACTGGCCGGAACCATGTGCAGCTTCCCCGACTCGTTGATGATGCTTAGAAGTTTTTCGTTGAGCTTGTCGCTGCCCACTAGTCTGAAGCACACCAGGCCAAGCTAGGAGTTTGGGAAAGTATGTGTTATATAGGGAGAGGAAGGTAGAAGGTTCTTTCGACATGCTATAAAGATCGTCAATGGGTAGCTAAACTGGCAAATCTGGGTCGAGTAGTTATAAAACTGGTTATGAGGTGAATTCTTCAAGACAGTTTCACTATGAGGCAGATCTATACCCATGCAAAGGGCAGATCTATAGATCTGAGGCAGATCTATACCCATTCAAGAAATAAAGGAGACGTCTTTGACCCCCTTAGTTTCAGGACATGCATTCTGTATCAAGATTCCCTCCCTAATGTTTGTCTGCCTCTCTCTACACCAGTCTCTTCTAGACTGTCAGACCTCTCTCCACACCAGCCTCGTCTAGACTGTCAGTTCACTTATTAACTCTGAACTGTACCTTCATCGCTCCTTTTCCTTCAATATCTACATTTAATATTATATACTTTATATAGAAATCACCATTAAGGTGCAGGGCTAAATAAAATCGACCTGGCGCCTTCCTGTCTAGATTCTTCAGTTGGCTTTCATCTCTGATTAGTGACTTTACCAAATAAATTTGTTATTAGCAAAAGTCTTGGTTAATCATCTTGAAATTTTCAGAATATATGACGCATTTTTACCGAAATGGAAATAATCTAGGTATGTTAAAAACATGAATTTGAAACCCCTTATTTGATAGAAAAAGAATGAAATTTGCAGGCAAATATAACTTTTTGTATCTCAATAAAATAAGTACTGATTTTAAAACATTTTGACTTGCAAAATGCGACCATATACTGTAAAAAACCAATTTTATAAAAATGGACTGCACCCGCACCCAGCTCTTAAGTGAAAGTGCGATATTTCACTTTACTTGAGATTGTAATTAAATCGTAATGAAAGGCTGGCACTCTACCAGCTATACTTCAATTATTAAAAATTATTAAAGAATGAATGTTTCTATGAATAGCTGGCTGCTCTGCTACGAATATTAAGTTAACTAACAATACTTTTTAATAAAGAATGATTATATCACAAATAGAATTTCCCGAAATCCGCCACCGAAGCGCATCGATCGCCCAATTGAGTCGGGCACGCTTACGTCCGTCGAGCTAGCCACATCTGTCAGCTGCCGACGCAGTGAATCACTGCTCGACTCGGACTCGGACTCTGAGCAGTTTTCTATGGCAATTATGCCAAAACACTTCAAGTGCCGGAGCAGAAAGAAATCAATTTTTTGCGCCAGTTTCGCTGAGGAATTTGGCGTGTAGTTGCGCACGTTTGCTACGGCTGTGAACAAGTTCACGTCTTAGTGGCCAAGGCCGCTCGGGGTTCGGGGTTCGGGGCTCGGACAGTGTTTGGGCCAGATATTTGCGTCACTCGCCAATAGGTTTTCAAGTTATGGATTGCCCTATAATGGGCACGCCCACAGTGCCCACCACTCGCCTCAATGAAAATCCCACAAAGAGCTTTGAACTCCGAGCATGATTAATTGCTGGAATCCATCGAGTCCGACTCAATGGAGTCCAGCGGACAACAAAGGCGGCCAAATCGGAGAAATGAAACCCAGTGTAACTCACCTTGACTTGGTTACAGATCTCGAACCGTTTGTCTTTGAGCACCAGCTCCTCGAACCGCTTGGCCAGCTTGATATGGTGACGTATGTAGTGCTGTAGTCCGGAAATCCCATAAGATCGCAGCACAAACCTGCAAAGACCACAATAATATTCAAAAATATTCGCGTTGGTTCTTGCGAGTCGTTTTGTAATACAATTAGCAACGAGTGTTTGTATACTCCGATGTAGACCCATCTCATTTGGGGCTCTGGAATGGACTCGGAGCCCGGAATGTTTTTACAACTAAATCGCAAGCAAACACTTCAGGCAGACAAACAAGCAACCTGCGTCGTCCTCATCGCCACTCCAGGGCAATCCAAAATCAATTCAAAATTTGACAATAGTCAACACACTCGTTCACACTTGGCTGTCGAGGGTCTTGAGGTCTTCGGGTCTGCGGGTCTCTGGGGCCCGCAACTGTCATTAGCTACATACCACAGTTTCAGCGATCGGAACCGGCGGCTGAGTGGAACTCCCCAATGACGATAGTCGATGGCCGCATCCGAGTAGCCGTGCTTGAGGTACAGCGGATCCACCACCAGGGCTGATGTCAGGCGGATGCGGTCCCGCACCCACAGGGTCGAGCAGTCGAAGTTGGTCAGCAGCCATTTGTTGGGGTTCGTGTTGAATGAGTCGGCGTATTCGATGCCCTGATAGCACGGGATGAGATGAAAACATGTCACTTTAGACTTTAGGGATTTAAAGTAAAAGAACTCTAAAGATACTACGCTTTAAGAATACCTTATGTACAAACTCAATTATGACCGATTCGGGGCATTCCCGATTTTATTTTCTCACTCTTGGAACGTGGTGAGAAGAGCCCGACAGAATCAGACTACCAGCTCGTTAGGTCGTTCTTTATAATCTGATTCTGTAGATCTTTCGACGTGACTGGACTATAATAGCTCCAGCACTTAATAGCTAAAAACTATATATTTTTAGCTCTAAAAAGGTCATGCTATTTGTGATTCTATTCTATAAATATGAAATAAAAGCGAAATAAATGTAACAATCACCTTCAAGAGCGGCTTCAGCTCCGGGCAGATAAAGCTGTTGCCCGCATAGGCGGCATCCACGTGAAGCCAGACTCCGGGGAAGCGCTGCAGCTGCTTGCCAATCTCCGGCAGATTGTCGAACGCACAGGAGCCGGTGGTGCCCAGCGTGGTGGAGACGAAGAACGGCACCAGGCCCTGCAGCTCATCCTCCTCCATAGCCTCGTTGATGGTCTGGCCGCGCAGGCTGGCGTTTTCGTCCGGCTCCAGGATGCGCAGCTTGACAAAGCAGATCATGGCCGCCTTCTCCACGCAGCTATGCGCCTCCTTGGAGCAGTAGGCCATCAGCTTGGACAGCAGGTGGCCCTCCTCCACGAACGGATGCTGCGCCTTCAGGCGCTTCAGGGCCTGTGCCCTGGCGGCTAGCATCGTGACCAGGACGCACTCCGAGGCGGAAGTCTGGTTCCCACAAAACCAGGATCGTAGGTGGTGAAAATTTCCGAAATTAAAATTAATTTTCGAGTGGGTTTAAGGGAGTAATGTTAAGAAAGTTAGATAACAGCAAAATTGTATTTCCATTTAATGGATTTAAAGTTTCTCAACCCCCCAACTTTCAGAAGTCAATTCAATTTATTTTTCGAATAGCCGACCATTTCTTTAAAAATATAGTATTTCCATAAAAAAGTTCAAATGGGTTAAAAAGGGCTTGATTGAAAAAAATAATATAAGCTATCCCAACTGGAACATTTTTAGGTTGCAAATTCGGAAAATCAATTTATATTTTTGAGTTTTTTTTTTATAGGAACTTCTGTGTGACGGACTGTGCCGATATTTTAGCTATTACTAAATTCCATGCTATTACTAATGTTATCCTAATTACCAATGATAAATCTCCTTAGACCACGTATACGATATCCCCATACGTATTTATTATAGTACCATACCATGAAGATATTTAATCAATACTTTCGTCAATAAGTTAGGAGCTTTTAATATCATTTTTTTTCAAAAAGTTATAGTCTTCTACTAAAATTGCGAAGATTTAAGGAAGCAAGCTTTTAAGAGATTTGTTTTTAACGTGGAACCTGTCCAAATGTGTAATCCCTCAAGCAAATCCTTCCTATTGTAATTGAAAAATCAAAGTCTACAGCTTTAGGATCATTAGCCTTCTAGTTTTAGTTTTTTTTTTAAATTTTTGATGGTAGTGGGAGGTGGTAGTTAAAAAATCATGGTACTAATTGGTATACGTAACGTCTACATGGTCCAAGGAGATAGGCAGCCAAATATCCAGAAAATTTAATAAATAGCATGAAATCGTGAATAAAGTAATATGTTTTATCAAAAAAACAATAAAAATCAAAATTAGGTCTTTCTTTTCGAGCCTTATAACTTTGACTTAATTCTTTAGGTTGAATAAATAAACTGTATCTAAAATAAAAAATGTATAATTCAAAAATGTGGTTTTTCACTGTTTACTTTTATTTTTATTAGGATATTTCCACCAAAGCATTTTCAAGGTGTTTAAGCTTCGATTCCCCCAAATTAAAAATATTTCTAAATTTGGCCGGTGCTTGTGAAATTTTTATATGAAATAACTCTCGAGATCATTTGGTTTAGCGCGGAAATAATTACGTTTACATTGAATAAGTACTCTGATAAGGTTATCAGAGTAGTGGTGGAAAGGCAACATTTTTACACTCTAAGGTGAGAGAATAAAGTGCTGCTGTTAGGGTCATTACAATCCTTATCAGCATCGGAGGTTTGTTTTCCACAGCTGGCAGTCAAGTCACTCTCTAGCCTTTTGAAGATTATTTTATGGGGAATCGGGAAAGGGTAAATTACCTGGATGACCCCTCCGCCAGTGCTGCCCTCCTTTAGGGCCAGAAAGTGGTCCGGCAGCCCGATGGCCTTGCCCAGCCAGTCGAGGACTATTGTCTCTAGCTCGGTGCAGGCGGGACTGGCCGCCCAGGAGAAGCCAATGCAGCCGATGCCGTCGCCCAGCATATCGCCCAGGATCGAGGGAAAGGAGTTGCCCGCCGGGAAGTAGGCGTGGAAACGGGGGTGCTGCCAGTGGGTCACCCCGGGCATGATTTTGTCCTCGACGTCGGCCATGATCCGGTCCCAGTCCTCGGGCTCCTGAGGCGCCTCAGCTGCGGAAGATGGAGAGGGGAGTGAGTGGGCTCCACAGCAGACCAACCTGTGTGGCAACCAGCTTACTTGGCAACAGATGCCGCAGATAGCCCGGCTCCACGCTGGGCGTGACTCGGCGCTCGTTCAGCGTCTCCAGATAGTTGCAGATGTACTCGACCATTTCCATGCCACGTTTCCGAAACTCGGTGCTATCCATCTCTAATCGCTTTTCCGATCGCTCTCCTGCCGGGATTTGTTTTCTTTTTCTGGCTGCGTGTTGGTGGGGAGATTCAGATTTGGAAAATTTATCAATGAATCAGCCAAGTGGGCGATGCCATTTCGATTTAGCCAAATAAGTTCAAAAATAAACTCGGTGAACCGTCGGCGATCGCAGCAGTGTCTGCGGAAACTTTCCATTTTCGATAATTGGCACAAAAATCATAAATAGTTTGTATTTAAAAGCTCTGTGACTTCATGCACTTGCCCTTAACAATAAACTAAATGAACTTATATCCCTTTTGCACTTGCACACTCGACACAGTGGCCTTAGTAGACCCATTACATAAGATTTCTCGGAAGGGCTGCTGCTAAAAAATGGACTAATTGTTTATGAGCTCCCGCTGCGGTCCAGATTCCATTTGTTTTCTTTTATAGATTGGTCTGATTAACACGCTTCGCATTGAACTTGATGTATTTCATTTTGAAATCCTAAATGGGGGCTATTTGCGCTCGGATTTACGCGATTTCTCGCCTTTGATTTCAACTTGTAAACAAAGTCGTTCCGCCGTTGTTTATGGTGCGGTGGCGTTAACTTTTTTATGGCCTTGTAAAGCCCATCTGATGTCCCACACAAAAGTTCACTAATTGCGGATGGACAGTGGACTGTGGCCACCGGGCACTTACTTGCGACTTGGCTTGCACTCCGAACCGCGACTGAGAACCGTTGGCCACGGCCTGCGAAACCTGAATGATCCTGGCTCTGCGGCCCGGCCACAAGCTAAGCTCGGTCGCCAGCTCCCTCGGCTCGGGCTGCCTTGGCACTTCTAATGAATGCATACTTGAGCGGCTGGGGTGGGGGCTGGGGCGCATAAATGGAATTTTTGCGACCCTCATTCATGGCTCGGAGCCGGGGAGTGGGCGCTGAGAACCCTTCGAGGTGGTGCGTGCGGAAATGCTGCCGCACAAGGCGGAGCTAGAAATTAAGCAATGCCAACTCTGCGTATACTTAATATTGCGTATACGCACAAAAAATTGAGTTTCGAACAGTTAAGATCTAATTTTCGCTGGAAATTAAACTGAGTTTGAGAGCTGCTGTCTCTGGCTTGTTAGCTGCAGTTAACTCGAAGTACGTGGTGTCATAAACACTCGACACATTACAGTGACAGGACCTCCTCCCTCTAGTACAGGCATCGAAGCGTTTTATTAATAACTTCCGCACCAAATTGAATTATTGTTCCGAACGTACTTGATAGGAATGGTGGCGATGCCAGATGATAATGATGACGATGACGGCGCTGGGCGATGACGTTGTCAATGGGCCCGGACCCCGAAGTCGGGGCTCGAAGTCATGGGCCAAGGCATGGGCACAAATAGAAGGAATTTCAACGCATTCCTTTCGGAACATTCCGACCCGTTTCCCTTTTCCCGTCTCGCCATCTCGTGTTCTTGTCTCTGCTGCTCTGCTGCTGCATCCGGGCCTGTATGGGACACGTGGCTCCATGTTCTTTCCTCGCCACTATCCCACCATGACACCATGCCATTCCGCAGTCGGCAAAGTCTGATTTGCCCCTTGGCTTTATTGTTGCTGGAGGAAAGTTCATTAATAAACTTTCGTTGCTGCTGTCGAATTCAGCAGCTGCAGATGGGGGCCCCCACCACCGGCCTCTAAAGTGTTGTTCGGGCCCAGCTTCAACAAGTGGCATCATGCCCTGCGGTTATCATCCCTGTTCCGGTGCCCGATGCCCTATGCCCGGCGCCCTCCTTTCGCCGACACTGCCAGGGTTCTATTTAATGGGAAAACGCTGGGACAAGCGCCACTGCAGCCGCGTTCACTTAATTGCTGTAGAACTGCTTTTTTATTGACTTTTACTTGAACTCCTCCGGAAGAGCATTTCGAAGGCAAGGGTCCCTTTGTTTGCCGTACTTATTAGCCAAAGTCAAAGTCTAAATGGAAATTATGTCAGGCGGGGATGTGGGTCAAAGACGGGTCTAATGAAAATTTTGAAACCCCTCACTCTATGAAGGTAATCCCCCCAAGCCAAGTAATCCCCAAACCGAAAGGTAAATATATTCAGTGGTTATCTGGAATTTCAAGGACTTCTATCTTGAACTGCGAAGGTAGTTCGGAAGTCGGGGTAGCCGGCTGGCAAGTGGTCTGTTCTAAGCATTTTTTCCCTGCCCTTGGTCTCTCGCCTCATAAACCAAGCAATTATTCAATTTGCACGGACTGTGCCCGGGCAATAACTGCTCCGGACAGTTTACGAGAAGTGCTCGGATGTTAAGTTGGTTGTCGAGATTCTGGGGCAACCAGATGGGGCACTATCTGGTCCCATCATTGGTTCAAGGTTATTGCTGAAGGGCCTCGCCAAGATTATATTTCTGATGGAGACCCGCAATCCTACAAATATTTGCAGATTCGTCACCAAGGCCCAAGATGATGAACTACCGCAAGGCTCAGAACGTGGAGCAGGAGCTGAACAAAAGCGACCTGCCCTTCGAGGACTGCCTGCCGAACTCCCAGAAGGATTTCCTGTGGATGCATGTACGATTCCCGATAGGATTCTATCAAAATCTCCTGACCACTTTTTCGATTTAAGGTGAAGGGCGGCACTGACGTGAGCAATGTGATTGGGTTCGCCCAGGCGGCGCTCAACAAAGGCGAGCACCGAATCGTGGTGTGGAGCGGCTCCGGGGGCGGAGTCGGCAAAACGATATCCTGCGCCGAGGTCCTCAAGCGGAGCCACCCCCTCTTCCAGGTGACGCGAATGGCCTACACCAGGTGAGCGGCTCGTAAGCATTCGTCAAATTTTAAGTACATTCTTAGAGAAATCCATATAGCGTGGAGGAGCACTGGAAGCCGCTGATGGAAGGGCTCGAGGATCTCGTTGTCAACCGACAGATACCCACCCTGCACATCCTTATGAGCCTGGACGAGCTGCCGGACAGTATAGACGGGTGAGAGCCATAATCCCGTGCCCCAAAGCGTATTATCTTTTTTTAAACCCACATTTTCCCACAGACTGCAGAAGCCCAACACACAGACTGATTTTTGGGAGGACGACGAGTCGCGGCCTCAGCAGCAGCGCCGCCAGCCGGAACAGAAGCCGCAGGGTCCTGGCGGACGTCAGAACAAGCGACCCAGGCCCGGTCGCAATAAGCCCGCCCAGCAGGGAAAGCCTGTTCCGGAGGGGAATCAGGCCACAAGCTAATGCCAAGGTTGATTTGTAAGGATATGCAAATAAAGACGAGTTTATCAAAAGCACGTTCGGTGTTGGAGTAATTGAGGCAATTAAAGATTAGCTCTATCAAGATAGGCGATTGCTCGGTACACATGGTTCTCTGAGCAAACACAATGCGTTAATCTAGGTACAGGGGGCTCTCTCCTTTGACGATAACCCTTTGGAATTCAAGGGTGTGCTAGCATGATTGGGGTTTAAAAGTTAATCTTGGAAAAGTTTAAAAAAAGAATAAATAAACTGTTATCTAAATACATGTTTATTATAAATAAACATTATAAATTTATAAATTAAAAATTATATCATTATCATTATTACATTATCATTTATAAATTTTATTCATATTGTTTTATAGTTTTTTAAAATCGTTTTTTATTAAAATTCTAAGGGATTTATTGACAAAATTGGAGTTTATTTCCTTTTTTTTCATATGTAGGATTAAAATTAATATTGGCTTCAAGCTAGTAGGAAATAAAGTATAATCAACTAGTTCTTTAACCTATTTTAAGAATAGCTGCATGAAAAAGTCTTCCTAAAATAATTATTGCTTAAAAATTGTATTATTTGTCCATCAGTCGGGGTCCTACTGTAACTTTATTTGTGTTTGCCTGGAACACAAAACACTTACAGAGGCTGCACAAATCTAATCTCCGGGATTTCAGTGTCGCCTATTGCCGCCAATGGGTCTTGATATGGGGCAGTGTGAAAAATGCTGCGCCTGGGACGAGTTCTGCGATCGGAGGCACTGCGTCAACTGCGCCATCTGAGCAGCAAGCCTGGAGGCGATGTGCTGCCCCAGAGCTGCGATGTGCTGATTATCGGCGGGGGTGGCATGGGCGCCTCCTCGGCCTTTTGGCTCAAGTCCCGAGCACAGCAGCTGGGCAGGAGTCTCAAGGTTCTGGTGGTGGAACGAGACTCTGGGGTAAGTGGTTGGATATTGAAAATATTTCATGGATATCGCTGCTATATATTCTCTTAGTACACCAGTGCCTCCACGGTGCTCTCTGTGGGCGGAGTAAGGCAGCAGTTCTCCCTAGCGGAGAACATCCAGATGTCGCTGTACGGATACGATTTCATAGTCAACAGCCAGAAGCACTTGGGGGACGTGGACGTCTGCTACCAGCCGAACGGATACCTTATCCTGGCCTCCGACAAGGGAGCAGACATCCTGGCCCAGAACTCGAAGCTACAGAACGAGTTGGGGGCACGCAACGAACTGCTCGGCCAGGAGGCGCTGCGAAGACGGTTCCCCTGGCTGTCCACGACAGACGTTGAGCTCGGATGCCATGGACTGGATAAGGAGGGATGGTTCGATCCGTGGGCGCTGCTCATGGGCTACAAGCGACAAGCCCGTACCCTCGGAGCAAACTTCGCCAACGGCGAGGTGGTGAGCTTCGAGTGGAACAGTTCTGGAGCCCTGTCCGGAGCCGTGGTAGATTCTGGGGACGGAGTGCAGCGCACTGTGAAATTCGACACCTGCGTCCTGGCTGCGGGAGCCCATTCGGGTCAGGTGGCTCGTCTGGCGAACATTGGAAACCCCGAAGCCAAGGATGATACTTTGCGAGTGGCTCTCCCTGTCGAGCCCAGGAAGCGGTATGTGTATGTGTTCAGCACTCAAGGACGAAACTGTCCGGGCATGGCCACGCCGCTGACCGTCGATCCAGACGGCACCTACTTCCGACGTGATGGCCTCTGCGGGAACTTCCTTGCCGGTCGCAGTCCCAATGACGACGAGGAGCCGGACTGCTCCACCTTGGACGTGGACCACGGCTACTTCGAGACGGATGTGTGGCCAACGCTCGCCAACCGAGTGCCGGCATTCGAGTCCGTGAAGGTCCAGAGCAGCTGGGCTGGTTACTATGACCACAACACCTTTGACGCCAACGGCGTCATCGGAAGGCACCCGCACTACTCAAATCTCTTCATAGCGGCGGGTTTTAGCGGTCACGGAATCCAGCAGACTCCGGCCGTGGGGCGAGCCATCTCCGAGCTGATCCTGGACGGAAGGTTCTCCACCATCGACCTGTCCCGCCTTGGCTTCGAGCGGCTGGTGAAAAACCAGCCCATGTTCGAGGTCAACATCGTGTAGGCGCGAGATTTGATTGGAGTGTCGTGTCCTGCACTTATATATAAGAACCCGATTCAGTGTGTATGTACTTGTTTTATTGCAATTTCGGTTGTATGTATATATAGTAATATTGTAAAGTTCACACACGTGTTAGTCATTACAGCTGGTTGGAGTCTTTGCTGCCTGGCTAGGGTTCAGTGGTCCTGGTATGCTTCAGCCACACAAAAAGTCAAGTGTCTACATATAATTTATTTAAAATAAGACGTTAAACATAATCGTAATATAACTGCGGAATAATTGCTGACTCGAGGTCAGATAAGGGCTGGGGGACGAAGGAGCCTGCTTATCTGGGTCAACTTTCTAACTATGCGGCCCAGGAGCTGCTTCGGAGCCGAGTTGCTTTGTCTGTTGACCGATCTGCGAGCTACAGCTAAAATAAATAAATGTTCGGCGAATGAGTGCGGCTCCGCGTATTCCGTGTTCTATGAGGTTTTGCACAGATGCGGGATAACTTGGGCCTAGGCCTCGCTCTCTCCGGGGGCAGCGTTTTCGCCCACGTTGATGGGAACGATCAGGTTCTCCTTCGACATTAGATTATATTTTGTGACGAAATGCGTAAATCGGTGGCATAGATACGTCTCGGCCTCGAATTCGTCGAAGATGCGCCGGTGGTGGAAATAGGCATGCGAGAAGATGCGATACACGCGCCGGCAAACGGAGCCCAGCTTGCTCACCGACGACTCCTTGATGGACACCCTACCGATTAAAAAGGTAAATTAATACGCGTCCTGTGGGGAAATAGGGCATTCGATGACCGGCTTACCTGCTTGGAAAGTATTTGTTGCTGTTCAGCAGACAAGCGGCTCCGTCTAGCGTGTGACGCGTGTAGTCTATAGCCGGGCACTCCTTGGGAGTCTTGTGTGCCGCACACAAGAAGATCCACTGGTCAGTGGCTGTCATCTGCGTACATGTCGACGGAGAGCACTCCTTTTGCAGTCGCACGGCCAGTCCGTTCAGTTCCATGCAGAATTGACGCAGATGCTCGTACTTCCACACCCCCTCGTCCTGGGCCTCGGGCATTGTCAGGATGAGCTCCACATTGCTCGGGTCCCGCTTGATTAGCTGCTGGATGTACTGTTGCACCGCCAGCGTGCTGTCCATCTCCTCCAGGGGTTCATCGGGCCAGCGACAGAAGTCCTAAGAGCAAACAAAGAAGTCTCAAAAAATGGAGTCCCAATGACTGCCTGCCAGATGCTCACCTTGGCTTTCGTGCCGGGTCGGTTCCTACGCAATATGGTCGAGCCGTCAGCCATCTTCATGTTTCCCTGCTGCTTCCCGCTGATATCCACTACGCCAGTGCCCACGCCTTAGTCGAGAAATCAGAAAATCGCTAGCAGGCTGCGATGAGATTTAATTTAGCCGAAACACAAATTCCTGCAGAACCACAATGCCCTGTTTGGGGCTACTGAATTCCGGATTCCGCTTTCTGCTCGCTGAAGGATCTATTTCTTCTTACACATAGCTCGGCTGAGCAACGTAAATCAAAAAAACACTCGCTTTGAGAAAATTTCTGACAAAATTCTGCATACATACATATGCGTATCGATTTAGAGGTGGAGAAACATCGATGCACCGATAATTAATAAAATGTCGATAACATCGAGGCTCGATGGCGATAGTCTTTATTTTTGGAACCTAATTTAACCAAACTAAGTCCTGTTGGCTAGAAAAAAATGGCTTCAACAAAATGTTTTCGTTTTCTAAAACCATTAATTTCTCTTTCCAAAAGTTAAGTCGCGGTATCCGTCCGGTACATAATTCCTAACCGGTTCGCGAAGTGTGACCAAACGTCTTCGAATTCGGAGGTGGCCATTCGGAGTTTCGGATTAGGTACTCAAAATCAGCAAAACAAAAGAGATAAACAAACTAGCGCTGCCACCGTCGTATTAACTGGCTTATTAACGTACTCAAAACGGCTAGATTTTACCAAGAAAGTACAAAACTCAAGGTTATAGTATGCACTTTTTTAAAATGAATCAAATAATGAGATATAAATATTCAATTGGTTTCTTTCTTTTGTACCAATATGGATAATCTACTTTTTTTAAAGCCAATAATCAAAGTATAATATGTTATATATAGCATACAATTAAAAAAAAATCCAAAAAAAGCAATATAATTTTGTGACATAGCCGAAAAATGGGCTCCGGCTAAATCAGATGGTTTTCAGTTTTCACCTCTAAATATAGCTAAATTTAACGAGAAAATAGCCAAGTCGGCAACACTGCAAAAGAGCCAGTCATCGAACAGATTGAAAAACTTACAAGAATTGCGTATTAGTTGCAAATTACAAGAAAAAAGTTGTTCCAACCAAAGACTTGCCACAACCAACTGACTGCAAACATGTCCTACGCTTACTTGTTCAAATACATCATCATCGGAGACACTGGTGAGTGCTGGGCCGCGAATTTTCAAGGAGCTTAGAAAAGTGTGCCACAGAGCACAGAAATGGGCGAAATTAGACAACAAACAAAGACGAAGGCTATGGCGAAGACCCCTTTGTGTTCAAAGCGCCCCGGCAGCAATACCCTATGGCCTGGCTACGATCAGTCACACGCCCCAGTCGGTGGCTCCGTGTATCCCTGTACTTCGTTGGTCAAAGGAAAAATCAATAAAACAACAACGTATACAGGCGGGCGAGCGGTCGGGTGGTTACTGCGCTGCCAGATAACAGGGAGTTTGGGGGCGTGGGGGGCAGCCCACTCAGTTGAACCCTCGCCTGACTGAGTCAGCCACCCCCTGTATGTCTGCGGTGGGGGGACTCTGCCACAAGTCAACACCCCGTCCGGGTAGTTATCAGTCGCCAGTTTTTCGGGATGCCAACAGCTGTTGGCTGTTTACCCCTTTTTAAAAGCGATTTCTTAGAGCGTGACCGCCTCTGCGGCTGTAGTGCGATTTTGTTTTAATTCGTTTCGGGTAAACTTTCCCTTTTGCAACTAAATTTTGGCTTCTTCCTGACAGGCGTGGGCAAGTCATGTCTGCTGCTGCAGTTCACGGACAAGCGCTTCCAGCCAGTGCACGATCTGACCATTGGCGTGGAGTTTGGAGCCCGCATGATTACAATAGACGGCAAACAGATTAAGCTACAGATTTGGGACACGGCAGGCCAGGAGGCTTTCAGGTGCGCAAATACTTTCTAATTTTAGTTTCAATTACGCAAACTGACACGTAATATTTCTGTTGACAGGTCCATCACACGATCCTACTACCGCGGGGCTGCTGGCGCACTGCTGGTCTACGACATCACGCGGCGGGAGACCTTTAACCACCTGACCACCTGGCTGGAGGACGCGCGCCAGCATTCCAACTCGAATATGGTTATCATGTTGATCGGCAACAAGAGCGACCTGGACTCGAGGCGTGAAGTAAAGAAAGAGGAGGGCGAGGCCTTCGCCCGTGAGCACGGACTGGTCTTCATGGAAACCTCTGCGCGTACGGCGGCAAACGTGGAGGAGGCGTTTATTAACACGGCTAAGGAGATTTACGAGAAGATTCAGGAGGGTGTCTTCGACATTAACAATGAGGTAAGTCCCCGAATAGGTCAAAACAGTTGAAACGCCTTCTAAATCGAACTTCCCTAGGCAAACGGTATCAAGATCGGCCAGCAGCACTCGCCCACAAACCCGTCGCTGCCAGGAGCTGGAGGAGCAGCCGGCGCAGCAAACAGCGGATGCTGCTAGGAGTAAACGGCAGGTGCCCGGCCGCAGCCCTGGGTTTAACGTAGCCGCTTCTGTAAAAGCTACTTTAGTGACTAACTAGTAGACGGTAGTGGGAGAGACGGATTTCTTGATTTCTATTTCAACAGTAACTAACCACGTAAACATAGCAACCACTAAACTAGCAAACGAACACTAAGCGTAATGTTAAACTCATTAAGATCAGACAACTACAGCATCTCCAACACAACAAATTGTTCAGCTACGTTTTTATTAACTAAAAGAACCCGAGAGGATTGAGAACAGAAATAAACCAAAACCTTAACTTGTATATGTGAATGTGTCGTGCGTGATTTTTAAATTTTGTAAACTCCACCAGGACATGTAAGCGTTTTATGTATGTATTTTGTGTATATTGCGATTAGGTTGCTAGTTACTTTGTTCAAAGACCGATAGTTTTACACTAGGATCTTGACGGAATAATGTTTAATACAAAAACCAAACTTAACCATGTGAATTTTCAATGTGATTCGTTTTCAGTGAGGCCTCAGCCGAACAGGCAAGCAGCAGTTCAGCGCCACGCCCCGTTTTTCACTGGGCATCTGCTCCTCCTCAACCTCCATATACATACATAGCTGCATATATGCATATTATAGTAACTTTTTCTCTGAACGCATTTGCCTTGTCCCTGTTTTGTTGTGCAACCGGCTTATGTCTTTATATATAAATTTATTACGAAGAGTTCGCAAAATATACAAACGTGAGCTGAAACGCGATTATATAATTTACACATACAACAAGCATCAACAATGGAACACGTAAATGCTGCGATTCTATGATCAATTTAGTATTTTACGAAGATTATATATTAAAATAAATGGGAAAGCTAAGACAAACGAAGATACAATTGTAAACGTAAATCAAATTATTTATAATATTTGTATTTGCCCAAAAACAATGCAAAATAATAATATACATAATAAATATTTGAAACCAACTGGCGATGTTGCTTACCAATAACCTGCAGGGTATTATAGTGAAAAGGGTCAATGGAGTGAAAAAATAAATATAGTACTTGAATATGCTTTAATTTCAAAAAATTTATTATTTCATTATATATTTCAGTAGATAATTGTTCAATAGATGTCTTGTAAATAATATAGTATTGTGTTTCAGTTTCTTATATCGCTTATGTACATAATCCTAATGTGTTAAGAACCAACAGCTACTCTGTGTGTAAATCTGGCTACGAGTGGGGCTTCACAAATAGCTCCCAAAAGTGAAATGTGCTTACGATTTAAAGGCTTTTGTGGCTAACCATACTCTAATATGATGTCTGTGTGCTTCTTGGCGAGTTTTAATTCGGTATTCATAAAGGTTTATGTATTTTCTGTGATAATACTTGAACTTGATACACTTCATATCGATTGAATATTTGAGAGCCTTGTGGTCTCTTCGGTTTGGTGATTTATTTTAACAAATTTGTGCCAAATCGCAAGAACGGGTTATTTTCAAAACACTTGTTATCTATGCATATCTATCTGTAGTGGATCAATTGATTGCGTAATTTGGAAACTATTCGGATCTTGATCCTTAAAAAAGAAATGCGCCAAAGACTTTATTGTAAGTATTGTAAGGGCGATTGAAAATTGTCGCTTGTTATTGCATACGTTGCTTAGATTGTTTATTGTATTACTTTAGTCAATATTCGTACGAAATATGTAAGGCAATTAAACTATTCTTCTAAGTTCTCGATTTGTAAAGAAGACAATTGAGGGGACCCGTTTGCACCTGGCAGTGATGCACTGCATTGATATTGATTGAAATTGAACAGTTTGCTACGTGTGACTACAAGATGCGATTAGTAATTGCCCTAGTGCGGTAACTATTCACTATACTAGTATGTATATGTGTAGAAACTTAGCTACAGTCTACGAATACCTCGTAGAGTATAAGTATAGGCTTAGGTCTAGGCGGTCTTAGGAGATAGGCTTAGTATCAGTTACGATTCTGCTCTGATTTTATGGCTGCAACACCATTTGACATAAGAAACTCGGTAACATTTAATGCTAGTCCACTATTAAGCTACAAGTCAAGTGTGTGGTGCCCCGGCCTCCAGGCCTCCGGCAACCGTATAGTGTACTAAGTAACTCTGTAACCTAGTGTAAAAGTTGAGCTTTTTTAGTCTCTGAGACATCACTATCACTCTCCCTAGGTGCTTTCTTCTCGCAGAACTCGATCATGTACGAGCACACGCCGGAGAGTGCTATAAATATGCCCGCATAGTAGAAGACGTCGTCCCACCTGCAAGTAGACGGGGGATTAATGGTCACGTTCCAGCCCGAGCTTGGGGCCACTCACCTGTTTATGGTCTCGTAAATGACGCCCGCAATGGGCGGGCCCGCAATCATGCCCACTCCCTGCACCAGGAGTACCAGGCCGTAGGCACACGTGAAGTCGTCCAGGTCGACGATGCTGACCAGGATGCTGGGGGTGAACGAAAAGGAGCTGGCGAACGTGAAGCCGAAGATGACGCACATGCACATCAGTCCGTTGTAGCTCTGAATCAGCATGGGCATGAAGAACACCGAGGCTCCGCAAACTGGGGGAAGAACTGGGTTAGTAGTGGTTCGCTTACACAGCCCCATCCCGGCCCCTACTCACCCAACATGCAGAGGGAGTAGCATATGTTGATGTTCATCCAGGGGAGGTCGCCCAGATAGCCCAGTCCGATCATGCCCACCGTTTGGGCAATGCCCACGGCCGATATCAGGACGGCACTCACGCTCACATCGTAGTTGTACTGCCTCATAAACTCGGGAAGGTACAGATAGGGTATGATGAACCTGCGGAGGGGCAGGGGCAGATTAGAACCCTTGTCTGAAATCGCTTTCAACCAGTTTCCTTATCGAGCCAATAAACCACTTAAATCCTGGGTACACACCCCGATAAACCATGATCTCGACCGTGAGTCGACTTCTAATTAGTATTTCCCTTAGTTTATATTTTACGCGATAGGACAAGCACTTGGTTTGTAATATAAGAAACAGCTGCCAGCTGCAATCGGAGAAATTTTCTGGCAAATGTTCAACTTGCAGTCACTTTCATCGATTTGGTTTAAATGGCCAATAGTTTCCAGTCATTTCTGGCTTTATTTGGTATTACCTAATCTACAATAGGCCTATTATTCACTTACCAAATGAAGAGAAACAGCGTGGAGAGATTGAAGAGCGCGAACTTGGCGTCCAGGAAAAGGGAAAAGTCAAAGATAGACTTCATGGTGTCTACGAAGTTGTCATACCATGTCTGCAGGGAAGTGAAGTTCAAGTTTTAGTTTCCATTAGTTTAAGCTTTCTATTAAGATAGTCAGTATTACTATTATATATTTTTTTTGAAGAAACTAAAAAAGCTAAAGCCGAGATTATTGTTTTTTAAAACTTTTGTGATGTTGAATGTTTAATAAAATTAAAATAACTTTTAATAGACTAAAAATGAGTACTGATTATGATAGTTCAGTTTGGTCAGAAATAATAACAATTCGATTCATTAATTCAAAAGTATTGAAAATGATTTCTATTTTAATTTTTTTTAAAGTATTATATATAGTTTCTATTTGTAGGGTGTTTGGAATCATCTCTCCAGGAAGAGAAACTACCTATACCTATACATTCAAGGTTTTAAGCTCCTCATTTTTTGGGAACTTCCATAACCATACCTTGTCATGAAATATGAATGCATATAGTTTAGAAACTAATAAACTTAAATTTTTTTCAGCTGAATATTTCAATTTTTTTGACTTTAACATCTAACCAATAGAAAATGAAAAGAATTACTATAAATAAATTTCAAATATTCAACTACTTTAACAATCTGTACTTTTGTTAAATTGAAATTAAATAAATTAAGTAGAATATATGTATATTAAATAATCCCCTTCTAGGCACCTAATGTATATAGCTACAAAGCACAGAGTCCAAATACTGAATACAAATAATTCAGTATTTAAAGTCCAATTAAATAATAGATATGAATATCACCATGACACAATAGCATCATGAACCAAACAATAGAAAGTCATCTGGAAGACAAAATTCAATGGGGAGTAAAATCCGGAATCAAATTTGGCTTCGGGATCGCCCTTGTTCGGACACAGTACGGAAGAGGTTGGCCTCTTATCGGACGAGAAGCCATGGCCGGGTGGTCCTACGGCTGGGATGGCGAAGCAGCTGATAACCGGACTGGCAGACGTAATATTAACCAGCTGGGGCTGTCGCCAAGTCGAGCCACCAGCTGATAAGGGCGGGGCAAGGGGCAAGAGGCAACTGGTACTCACATCTTCCTCCTCCTTGGCGATGGTGGTCATGGAGTTGCGGTAGATGTTGGGGCAGGAGGAGGCCCGCAGCCGGTAGCGGTGCGTGTTCAGCATGGCCCCGCGGTAGTGGATCGAGTTGCGGTGGATGCGCATGTCCTTCAGGAAGTTCGAGTTGCGGATCGAAATGTTGCGCCGCAGATTGGAGCGGTGGTTGCTGGGCTTCTTGGAGCGCGACAGGCGGCGGATGCCGGTGATGCTGTCCAGTCGAGCACGTCGCAGAGCCAGCTCGCTGTTGACCGGCGGCTCCAGCTCCTGCTCCGGGATGGCGATGACAGTGGGTCCGGTCCGCCTGCCTTCCGGGTCCAGCAAGGCGAAGGTCTCGTCCTTCGAGTAGTAGCAGTGCATGTCCTCGCTGAGGATGTCCACCGAGTTGTGGCGCAGGCCGTTCACTTTCAGGTTGCAGATCGAGGGCGTGGCGTGCTTGGCCATGAAGAGATTTTCGTTCAGCGAGAACCGGGAGCTGGCGTGCTTCTGGGTGAGGTAGCCCTCGTCCGAGGAGCGCAGGGATCCAAGGGGAGTGCCTGCACCGCCGGAGCGCTTCTCCGACGGCGACAGCGTCTCAATGGAAGCCAGGTAGGACTTTTTGGCGGCGTCGGCGGCTTCCTGGGCTATTCCGCCCATCAGGGTGTCGTCTGGCGAGCCGATAACGGCAGTGGACGCGGGATAGGCGCCCGCCCCCGAAGACATGGACAGGAGGTTCTCGCGCGAGGGTGCCTCGGCGCCGTCCTTGTGCCGCAGGGAGCGCCGGCTCAGGCTCTTCACCTCGCAGATGCTGTCCAGTTCGTGGGTGCTCAGGAAGGTGGGGAGGAAGATCTCGCTCCGGTAGCGCTTGAGGCCCGAGTCCAGGGGGTCGTCGATCTGCTGGTTGGCCTCGGTGTTGTTCTTCGTCACCAGCGAGTCCAGCACGGCCTCCTTGGTGATGCCAGTGTCCAACAGCTTTTTGATCTCCTCCAGGCAGACGCTCGAGTTGGAGAAGGTGGTGACGCTCTGCGATCGGCTCTCCAGCCGGTTCTCCTCGATCAGCCAGTCGGGGTCGCGCATCAGGGCGCCGCACACGCAGGCGTTCAGCATGGTGCCGCCCAGGATGAGAGTGGCTCCCCGCCAGCCGTAGGACTCGATCAGGTAGGAGGTTAGCCGGGCGTACACGAAGGTGCCAATGCCCGTACCCGAGGCCCCGATGCCGGTGGCGAAGGTGCGCTTCTTGTCGAACCAGAAGGCGATGGAGACCACAGCGGTCACGTAGCCGATGCCCAGGCCCAGGCCTGAGATGATTCCGAACGTCACCATGAGCATCTCGATGGAGTTGCAGAAGGAAGAGAGGGCGAACCCGAAGGCGGAGACCACGCCGCCGATAATGGTCATTTTCCGGCAGCCGTACTTGTCCACCAGGTTGGACCAGATGGGGCCCATCAGGAGGGGCACGGAGAAGAACAGCGACGAGATCCAGGCGGTCTTCGTGGTGGACTCCCCGAAGTACTCCAGCAGCTGGACGTTGATCAGGCCGAACGAGAAGCTCAGCCCGTCGGCGATGAGCGACACCACCAGCGAGGCGAACACCACCACCCACCCGTAGCCGCCGTCGGGCATCTTGGGCGTCTTCTTCTCCGTGGAGCTGGAGTCGATGGAGTCCCCGGACTCGTTCGAGATCAGCCGCTTGCGCTTCTTCACCTGCCCGCTGCCGTTCATCAGGCAGGTGAGCGTTCCGTCGCCGTCCATGGCGATGATGCTGCTCCGCACCACCCGGCTGTGCCCGGCCTCGTCGGCCAGCTCCTCCACGGACAGATTGCAGAAGGTGACCTCCGGGAAGAGGTCGTGCTTGATGGCCTTGTTGAGGGGTGTGTTTGCGGGCGCCGGGGTCAGGGCCAGCGGCTGGTAGGCGCTCCCGCCGTTGTGAGGGCCCCCGTCACCATGGTTGTGGGCTTGGGTGTGGTTGTGGTTGTTGTTGTTGTTGACCGCCTCGCAACTGTTGTTGTTGGAGGCGTGGGCACTCGAGGCTGGCTTGGCCATGGTGGCCCTGCTACTGGATGTGGGTTGGAGGATATATAGGGGATATGCTCTATAAAAAACTTTTATAAAATTTGCACTCTAGTCCAAGCGATTATTGGAAATGAACACAGTTTGCATTAGATCTCGTAGTGGTGTCTAAATGGGCGCCACGTCCTCGGGGTCCTTGAGGCTGCAGTGCGAACCTGGGAACCTGCTGAAGGAGAGAGAAGGCCCGAGCGGGTGTTAGACAGTTTTCACTTTCCCCTCGACGCCATTTCCCAGTCCTAATAAGAAAAGTTAGTCTAACTTTGTTCCAAGTCTATAACTACTGGTGTGTTGCATCCACCACCACCCCACCCAGTTGTCCGATTGGTCACTTCAGTGGCAACAACAAGAACTGTTGGTAAACATTCCGTTTATAAAATCGCGCAGAAACTGTCTTTGTCGGTTGGCGCTTCCCCCATTTGACTCTCGAATCGCCTTCAACTTGACCTCGGGAATCCGCCTGAGATCCCAAATCTCTGAGAGCACTCTGGGAGCGCGAGACTTGTTTTCATTTTGGTGGCAAGCAAAGTGCGTCAAACGAGCGCCGTGCCGAGCAGTCGGCCGCTAGGCAGCTGACCAGCTGATGTCCTAATAATACTGGGAATCGACAAAATAATAATATTTGTGTGCAACCGAAAGTCTGTGGTTAAAATTAGAAAGCCATATATGCTGTATTGGGGCGTACATGGCCGACCGAGTGGTAATTTTCCATCAGTCGCTTCAAAGCCAATTACCAACTGACGCAAACCGAAATGTCCCCCTGGGAAATGGGTCATCTCGGGGCTTGTAGAAGTTGAAGCTCCACCATCCCTCGCCCAGTTGGAACTTACCTTTCCGTCTACCATCCAGTCGGGGTCACCCGCCCGTCCGACAACAGATTGGAAAAAAAACCGAACCGACCTGCTACCGCTTAGGATTTCACTTGCACACTTTTCACAATTTGAGCACTGCCGCCGCCAATTAATTCACCATAATTGCACAGATCTTCAGTTATATTTAGCTCGCTCAGAGTGCGATTCAAGGGTTTATTCAGCGTGGCGGTCTTGTTGAGAATTCTTAGGCGGGGGTCGCGGGGCGTGTAGTGCAGGAACACCTTGTCGGACTTGCCGCTGTTGTTGTAAGTACGGGGATTGTTGTTCTGGCTGTTGTCGAACGAGGCGGTCGGTTTGCTGGCACGGTAGGATGACTTGCACCGAGAGTCATTCATTAAGAACGCTAGGGGGAGTATCACAGGCCAACGGAGAATATGTTGAGCGATGGTCGTTGACAACTGGAGGCAGTTGTAGTTGCTGTTGCTGTTGCTAATGCAGTTGGTGTTGTAGCAGTAGATGCTGCCGGAGAGGGGTTTACACCTTGGCAGCCACATGCGGTAGTCTGTCGTCGCGGTGACCGATCACTTTTGATGCCAATGAGTCGCGGCGGCTTCTCGCTTGCCCACACGGCGTCCCACGAACGCGACTTTCAACGAAAAATAACGAAAACAAACCGGAGCGGACACCTCGGACGCGACGGTCGTCGGATTCCAAGTGGAGCTAGCTCTTCCGGGAGACGCTCAGCTGCTTCTCCCTGACCACTGACTCGCTTCAACGCGTGTCAAGTGCGCGGCGCGTGGTGCGGCGGCGGACGGGCAAACATATCGACGGAGGAAACGGGCCGGCCAACGTGGCGTATGATTGATTCGGGGCTCTCCGGTGGTGCAACTCAATCGCTGCTCGTCGCTCCCGGCTGGATAATGATTTATGGCCTCTGTCCTCGCTTAGGGGGCGTCGGTGCGAGCTCTGCAATGGAGACAGAAATAGAGATTCGCTTGATAAATGACATAAACTGGCCAGTAAGCAGAGCTGGAGGGCAGGGGGCTAGCCTAAACATGGCATGGAATTCGAGACACAATTTCGCTCTGAAAAGCCCCACAAAGCGCAGCATCGAATACCTTTCAGCCGCTTGATTGTCAAACAATGCAAACCACACACACGGGCCCAGTGTGCGAGATGTCCGAGTGATTTATTTTGAGAGACCGGTTCCAACCGCCCGCAGAGGCCGCCGGAGTCTGTGAATAAACAAGCCTTAATGACCCAAGTTAAATGCCTTCCTTATCAAATACTGCCGATGCTCAAAGTATCACCTCCAAGCCAATAAAATGTAACTACCCATAGTTAAACCATTGCTAATCTTAAGCCCCCGAACGTGTTTCTCAGACTTGCTCTGAAGTATTTCAAATCCATTTGGCCTGGTTTTAAGCTAATTATTATGGGTCTTCTTTGCTTCACGGCTGAACGTGGATTCACATTTAAAAACAAGTGTGTTTGGGACACGTGTGTGGCTTGTGTTTCGCTTTACAAGTTTTGCAAGAGGCCTAAGCCGAGACGTTTATTCAGAATGAAAGGGGAGTCTGCAGGTGAAGCAGTACCGGGCCCCGTACCAGGTGCTGTTCCTGAATGTGAAATACAGAGTTCCTATTGCATTGTTCTGCCCAAATGGCCAAGTTTATTGCTCGATAGGCCGACCACGCGATTAGAAACCTCGTGCACTGCAGCTCTCCGGCGGAGAACCAAGTAAACAAGGCACTGAGATTCCACTTCCACCTCGGCACTGTCTGGTCTCCGCCGGAGCTAGGGCTAGACAACGAAACTGTCGCTTATCAGAAATCAAATTCGGATCGCGATTATCTGGCACGACGAGTATATGGGAGGCGATTTCCGACTTATCTTTACAGTATAATTGGCAGAAAATGCTTTTATGTCCGCGATAAGCTCGCAATAGGGTTTACATTGTTGAGATGCCCGAAAACGCCCCGCTCACGTGATCCGCTCGCCCTTCCCATCACTCACTTGTGTCTGACCTCGACCTCCCTGGGGCCACAAGTTGGCGTGACGGTGCTCCACTCTTCAGTGGATGTCGGCCGGGAATCGTGTGGTCTTCAGAATTAAATAAATCATAAACATAGACACGCTTAATCAAAGTCCAAGTCCGCACTCTGCGCCTGTTTCTAGGCACTTGTTCTCGTACTTCCCGCACTTTCACTTTCTTGAACAAATCTGACTGCAAACTTTGGGCTACATCTCCTCAGTCCGTGTTTACCCAACAGGCCAGAAAGACAAAGAAACTCGTGGGCCCCGACTTGTAAACATCTCGTCTCGAGGGTTCACGATTTCCGGACTGCGATGCGAACGAGGATGGGGCTCGGATTCGGACTCGGTCGCGGACTCAAACTCGTACTCGGATTTGAAGAACAGTCCCGCAGGCCGTCGAAAGCCCGACTAAGCCTCGCACGCTGCCTCTGGGGAACGGAATGGAACGGAGCCGACCAGAGTGGGATGGAACACGACAAGGCTGCTCGGCGTGGCGTCTGTAATCGCGGCAATCGCTGCCTTAATCTAATAAATTTCTTATCAAAGAGCGTCGTTGCCCACAGTACTCATTACTGCATCTGTGTGGGGAGGGGCCCTCACGCACGCTCCCCACGCGCTGGCGGCTGTCAGCTTGCCAATGTTTTGTGACGCCATCTACCCTGCTCGCCCTCCCGGCGCTACTGGCAGTGGTCAGATTTAAATTCGGACACTCTTACACTACCATATACCCAATATACTGCCACTCTTGGCCAGCAGTATAATTGGATTAGAGCCCAGTATTGGTAAAGACGTGTACTTCAAACTTTCTGTACTGCCGACGATTGATACGCCCATTAGTAGTACACTCCGAAAGCCCTTCCCAAGGCCCCTCCTCGGGGCGCACTATTTGTTTCCAAAAAGGCCCTCAGTTATACGACATCTACATGATATTGTCGCACAATATCGAGCCATAAAGCTTTATAGATTAGTTGGCGTGGAAGCGGACGGTCGGTCATGGCTCTATCGATTCGAGGAACTGATCCCAAACATGGTTAGTACGCTAAGTGCTCATAGTTATCTAGACCACAAGGCCTGGGAGATAGTAACAAACTAACTGAGATATGATATTCAGGATCAGACCAAGATCGGTTTAAGAATTGTTTCTTATATTCAGAGGATATTTTCATCAAAATTTCCTAATTAGTCACAATTTATGTTACTTTTAGAACGTTTTAGGTATAATTTTACTTTAATTTAAATGCCCAAGTAAGTTGGAAAATTTGTTTTAAAGCAAACTTTAACCCACCGCACCTAAAATATTTAAGAGCCCCTCGAGTGCTGATAACGCATCTAAAAAAAGACTACTGACCATATTTCAACCCGATTGGCTATGGAAATGTTCTATCGTTATCAGTCATGGTTAACTTTGATTTAACAGTCGATTTCAGTCAGAAAGTCTTTTGTGGCAAGCAGAGCAGAAAAAAGGAAAATAATAATAAGAATTGAGATGGTCTTCGAGTCTAGAAATTTGAGAAAACCTATTAATTTTTCATAATTTTATAGTTTGGATGTTCATATACATAATATAACTCTATGTTCAAGAAGATTTTAAATTATTTTCGAAGTTATGGACGACCGGAACTTTTTACTGAAATTATTTTTTTCCGATGCCTGCTTTAAACTTGGCATGAATGTTCCTCAAATTTCTTCTTAAAATAAACTCACTGAAATTGAAAACTGAAATTACTATTTCTACTAATAAAAAAAATGTGCCATAGCTACACCCCTTGAATAATTGAAAATTCATATTAGATTTATATATTATATTTCTAAACGTATTATGCCTACTCTTCAAATATAAATAAACAAATTCAAGCGAAATTGGTGATCAAAATATCAAATGCTTATGTTTATGCATTTTTTTTTAAATTCTTGGAATATCTCCCAATAGAGCTCCGAAGTATAGGGAAAATAAACAAAATATATTGATCGCAAGACACAAAAGCCAATGGGTAAGTCGCGTACCGGATACTATACTATAATCTATAAAACATAGTATCTAAGATAATCGTATAAAAACCCTGTTGTCACTTTATGATTACTCGAAATAATCTATGAATAATTAGCACTTTCTAAGCCAATACTTCTATGGCCAATCATGCAGATAAGTGAATACTTTCCACGTCGTTCCTGGGGCCCATAAATTCTTGCACCTAATTGTGAGGTAATTGTTTTGTGGGCTCTTGGAGTTGCGCGATAACTTTTACGATCGTCTTCTACTACGAGGGCGAGGGGCTTCGTTTGATGCTGACCTAGGCTAGACAATAGGGGGTTTTAGTCTGATTGCTATATGGCCGGTTCTAAAACCTAAATAGAAACCGGGAAAACCTTTGGGGAAGTGCGCATTGGCTGGGGGCCAAGGTCGTCATAGACGGATTGTCAAAAAGTTAAAGCCAACGCGGGGATTGACGTAGTGCAGCCCCGCTTGCGGCTATCATGTTTTAATTGAAAGAGTTGAGCAAATCAATAAAGCCATATGGAGGGGGAGGAGGCAAGGACAAGTCACTCACCTTGAACCGAATTGGTTCTGAGCGTCCCCAATATTCCCCATTGTTCTGGGTCTTTAAAAGGGGTCTGTCAGATGCTTTTATCTTTCAAAATATTATATTAATAAAAGGAGAAATCGGACAGAGCAAAGATGGCTTAATTTAGTTCAAAATATGAGCTTTATTCCTCATATTTCAATTGATGTCACTGCCTAGGGCCATCGCCATCAATTACTTTATTACTTTTTGAAATTAATAGTGGGCGCTCTAGGCCGCCACTGAGGCAAGAGATTTATGTCAGTGGTTAATTGATATGTGGTTTTAACGTTTTGTAAAGCCATAATGCTTTAAAGGTATCGTAATAGAGTAGTTTATATAAAATTCTTGCTATTAAATGGTTTAAGCTTTTAAAGGCATGCCCAGTCTTTAAGTACAAGCACTACAAATTATCAAAAAAAAACCTTCAAGTCTTTCAAGGAAAGTGTTACAAAGAGGTCCTTCCCAGCTGCACTTCCAAGTGCACAAACACAAAGAGGTGTCACTCTAGTTGTCGCCATATTCGGGCTTCTTTCATGTTTTATATTTACCTTTCCGCCGGACCTGAACCCACGGCAGAAAGGCAACAAAAAACTGTCCGGATCTCAAAAGTTATGAGGCGCATTTGCACAAAAACCAAATGGCGGTTGCACTTTCCCCATAAACTATACTAGTATGCAAAATGGTCGTTTCTTTTCGGTGGAGGTTTTGTGCATTAAACCTGGCTGGCTTTGGGGTATCGTATCGATTTTTTGTCCCACGGTTTTATGATTAGCTGCTCCCCGGCGCATTCAAGTTATGAGGTAGTTTTTATTAAAATTTTTCAATGAAAACAAAGGAGTTTTTATTTTTATATAAGGAGGGTTACAAGAAGCTCCCCAAGGAGTAGGTCTTTTTTTTATAGTTATAGGGCAGCAAAGGGATATCTTACATGTCCCAGGTCCTCATAAAATGTATTACTATTCTTAATATTCTAATGATAGGTCCAGTTAAAAACTATTCCCAACTATTCCCAGTATTGACGGTTTATATTGCACGTAACAAGCATTTAAATATAATACTAGTAGTGTAATAATAATAAATTAATATAATACTATTAAATACTCATACTAAATACATCACACTTTGATAAATAGTGACTAATATAACTAACAGGACACACTGATTTTTAAAAATCTTCTGGCAGAACTAATAGTAAGTAGAAAAAAACCAATTATAAAACGCCATTTCTGGATCGCATTCTTTGGCACATTAGTTGTGGCTTTGAATGGAAAAAAAACACAAAAACCGGATGAAGACAAGAGCTTTGTTTACTCCTCTTGGCGAGGGGTCACCCCTCCCTTTTCGGGGGCTTTGAAAAGGGCAATTTGGCTCAGGACGGACATGCCGCTGTGCGTGTAAACAACTTCAAGGCTGAAGCCTTTTGAGCCTTTTTGCTTTTGTAGTTCGTGCTCCCAACTCTCCGTATGGACTCCCCCAGTGGCCCCAAACAGTTGGATGTGAAATGCAATATTCGAGAATGCAAATTAGGAAATTAAATAGCGCAGCCAAGTGTCGGATGTAGAAGCCAGAGAGTAATGCATTCAGAATGGAAATTGAGGAGCTGGTTCTAACTGAGCATTAGTTGGAGAATAATTAAGGGCATCTGGATGAATGACACTATTCCCACAGTACTTTGGAATAACCTGAATTATAATTCAGATGCCAGCTGCAAATCAAATTCTGGAGTGCGGCTAAAGGTCACCTCTGGCAAGGACTCCACAAGGCTTTCATGCGAGCACGAGGGCCGAGGAAAATTTGGCATTTAGCAGCTCGGCACGCAGTCTGCGACCTCGAGGGAGGGCCGATCATGTGACAGTTGCAAGTAAGTGGACTTTGGCTGCCCGTAATTGCTCCACTTACGCGCCAATGTATCCGCCGACGATAGCTCGGGTTGGTGGGCTCTTTGTTTAGTTGTTTACGCTTCGAAAGGCTGCCCAATAATCAATTTAACACAATTCTGCCAACACTTGCACTTCCTGGAGCTGGTCTGTTGCTTCTCCTTTTGCGTCTCAAAATAAACTGCCTCAAGACGGGCCTCGAAAGAGTGATGCAACCCTCCTATACCCTGCTATATCCCCCGTCTCCCTCGCACACACTTCCTCTCCCGCTCGCTCTTCTGGCTGTTGGTGCAGCTCGACTTGAAATTTCAGAGCGAGTGGAGTTCCCACCACTCCGCTGCTTAGAATGGAAAATTTCCAGTTGACATAATAGATTCCGTCGCATGTTGCAGAGGGTATCGGAAGGGAGGTGGTGATTCATCTTTCCGATCCAGAAGATCCATGAATAAAGAGCTCTTTGGAGGGTAAGCTGCCTAGAATAAACAATCCGACTTATCGTTTTTAATTACTCGGAAAAAGAAACCATTGAAACAATTTTTCAATAAAAATTGGGTCTTGGATGAACTCCACAAAGTCTGACGGACATAAAATTTTGGGAAGTTTGAATTTTGTACCAATTAATGTTTACAAAAAAATATTTTGATGTCTAAAAACCGGATGTTAACCAATATCTGAAATAATTCTTAACCAAATAAATATAATACATTACAATAAAAAAAATAATTCCTAATAATTCTTCTTAAAAACATTACCTTATAATGTAAAATGCGACAATTTATACATTTCTGAAATGCTTTAGAAACAATATTTTGAGTTCTAAGAAGCGGACATTTAAGTATGTCAGGTTCCTGAAACTAAGAAATATTTTATTAAAATATTTGGAAAAGATTTTGTAAAAATTGCTCCCCACGTGGTAAGTTTCATATCAATTCCCAATATCATACTTATTTACTATCACTATTTCTCCTATTATTTAAATAAAACAAAAGAGTAAGTTAATTTTGGATAAGTGTTTGAAATATAAAGTTTATTTCCGTTTAAAATAAACCGAATTCGGAAATCTATCTGTAAATCTGTTCATATCGATGACATTTGTTAGGTATTTATTCAAAACAATCTATTCATGTGTAACAGAGTTTTTACTAAAGTGTTTTTACTTTTTAGGGTTTTGTTGCATTAATTCCTCTCTACGTATGAAGCCAAACTGATTGGAGGTGGAACACATTAAAACTATAGTTTAAAGAGTGCAGTGTTGAACAAACTAAAGAAAACATTAAAATAATTAAATAAAATAAAATAGTAACACTTACTGTAATTATTTAAATGTATGGGCATTCATAAAATCTCGTGATTCCTTTTAATAAAACCAGATTATAACTACCAAGACTATCTTAGAGTTTAAGTGTAATTTTCGACACAATATTGTAGGTTCCTATAAAGATGCTGTTTATTTTCTGTCCATAACAAAGGTTTTACGTCTATTTAAATATATTTTATATTTTATATATTTATATAAAATATATTTTATATTTTATATATTTATATAAAATATATTTTATTTTATATATAATTTTTTTATATTTATTATATTACCGACTTATTTATGAATAATCATCTAGTCACTACAGGGAATCATAGCTTAAAGGTATTTTTGAAAAATGGCTTTTTTGAAGTAGAAATATTTGACATTAGAAGGGGAATAATTAGTGCCAAGTTGAAGATTTAACCAACTTTTATTAATTCCGTTTTTGCATGCTGAATGTGAAGGGGTGGCACCTCAACGGTATGCAAATGGGTTTCTAATCAGTTCTGTGAAATATTGCCTTTTTTGCAACTGAGCTAATACTTCAAGCGTCACTTTTTGCATGTCTGAATTTTATTAATGGTGATATTTAAAAGCCATAATTTATACTACTTCCAGACCAAATAATAGCGTTATACCGCTTGATGAGAGGTAACTAAATTAATATTTGCATTTCTTTCCGCGTAGAGACGGTTTGGCTTCGGATAAGATAAGAATTTCTGATTCCGAAGAGTTCACGTGACTGCAGATTTATTCTCTCGAGGAATGAGCTTGATGTGCTGCGACCCTTGGCCCTAGACCAATTTATAAATTTAATAAAGTCGTTCCGTGCTAATGTGGAAGGCCCGATAATGAAGCGTCTTTATAGCAATTACCATTATTAGCACAATTGTGCGAGCAAACATGCGCTGCGGTGTGAAAACCTGTTCCCGGAACGCAGCCATCAGCTGTTGTAGCGGCGGAGCTCGCTGCTGACACACATTATCCGCCGGATCGGATAAATGGAATAATAATAAAAGAGCAAAGGTCTTACCGGTTCCATCAGCTGCTCGGCAGTTGTTTTCGATTGCAACACCAATCGCGAACTTTTCGAGCAGTTTGAGGTCAATGGCTTGCCGCCGAGTGTCTAAGCACTTGGCGGCTCGGGGGGCCGTAGATATGTAGCCAGTTTGGGCCCAAGGACGACGTTTAAGAGAACGGTTCTCGGTTACAGCAAATCAAATTTGCACAGCGATTCAAGAGCCGAGGCCCAAAGCCGAAAATCATTGAAATAACATTCAAACATACGTACGTACACAGTGGAAAATATTTTGCGACAGAGTTCGACTGTGTGTGTATGCGGGTCTTTAGAAAGTTTCGCCGATGGGAGGGGCAACAGGCGTTTATTTTCGAGTTGGGTTTCACTCATAAGGGTTTGGCGGCCCTGCTCGGCCATGGAAATTTCCCCCCAAAACGGAGCAGTTGTTTCTCCCCGTGCAGCCGCAACTACTGGGTCGCCAGGACCTGCCAGGACAAAGGCAATAAAACCGAAATGACTCGCACAGCAAAATGGCGGCGCGTGTGTGGCAAGCGAAATGGCACATCCTCTGCGGCATCTCATCTCGCTTTAGCTCCAGGCTCAGCTTGAGCTCCAGTGTCCTTCAGCTCCACCCTGCCCCCTTTCCGACCCAATTACGTAAATGGGGCAGTCGCGCAAGGCAGCGCTTGAACTTGAGGGCGCCTCGCCCGAATGCCCGTTTAAACCCATTCAGTATTCCAGTGTAGACTCTGCATAATGCCGCGATATGGTCTTTGTCTGACTTATCAGTCCCCCGTTGAGTCACTCACACGTAATGCCAACTGCATGAACAAATAATTCGAACAATAAACAGACTATTGGCCAGCATAAGTCGCAACATTCGATTCGGCGATCACGTCAATGGCTAAAGCTTCGATCTATAAATAGCAGCCATTCTTCATAGGAGAGGACAGTTCGAGAAATATGTTAACTCATTGCAGCCCAAAATAAATCCCAAAACAAACAATATATGTACTTATCATAGCGTTTGTTTCGACTGTGTGGGAACTACGCATTTCTCGTGGGCCAGGCCGGGCCAGGCCGTGCCATGCCAGACCAGGCCAGTTTATAAATAATTTTCATAAACCCAACAAGGCCAACAAAAGTCGATCGGGCTCTCACCTGAAATTTCAGAACTTCGAATTCGTGGTTGAGTTACAACTCGCGCTGTAACTGTGCTCTTGGTCCCTTGGCGTGTTAGCAGCTTACATCGTAGGCTCGGCAGATCGGAGGCGGCTCTTCCAAACCAGACCAGCTGTCTTCTAGTCTTCTGCGGCGATGCGGGGCAGCGCTCTGCTTCAATTTGTTTGCCGCTGGTGCTCGAATTTGAATAATCCGTCCGATGGAAGCACTCGCACAGTGGAACGAGCGTACGGCCTCTGAATTTCAATGCACTGCTGGCTAAAGCTCAAATGGGGCGGTCTGATGGCTGGGGGTGGGCTGGGCTGGCACGGCGATTGCACAACTGCGGGTCTCCGCCGGAAAGTTATTATCTTCTCAAAATTATTCCTCGGTAGCGCCCACTGTGCGCGAGTTTCGATTTTTTCCGCACCAAACTTTCGGGGGGAGCGGGGCAATGACAACACCACCCAACGGCACAAGTTCAGCTGAAAATGTGGGGCGGCCGGAGGTCGGAGTAAACAAATGGGGAGCGTTCCACACACGGTCGGATAAATCCAATCCGGAAACAAAGAGTTTCCAAAACAGTGCTTGTTCAGGAAACGGAGGAGCTCTCTGGATGCGCCCGCTTTGGGTTTAATTGACGCGAATGAACAACGACTCGGCTACCAAGAAGGGTTAAATATTCAGAAAAATCGAATTTTCCACCACGCACACCGCTAACACTGCACTACCATCCGCACTCCAATCGGAACATCAATTGGAACCCAATTGGAACGTCGCTACAGCAGCGCTGTTAGGTTAACGGCTGTCGCCAGCGCTGCCAGACTTGGTTAGTTTAGTTCTGTTAAGGTTTTGAAACTAAACAAAAGAACATATTAATTAATATGTTTGCAGGGTCTACAAAGAATAGATCCAAAAAAACAAAGAAACATTTTTCGACAATCGTTCTAAATATTGTTCAATATTTTCTTAAAAACTCTGGTAGCGCTATATGACAAACAAGTGCTGTAATACAGTGCTGTTGGCGCAGCCAATGTTAAGCTTCGTTAAGATATTTGAAATTTCAAACTTATCGTTAAAAACATCGTTATTGTAACGTAATGTTTTCAGTTTTCGTTCATTTTATTTTATTTTCATTACCGTTCAATATTTTTGAAATTCCAAATCTAAAATTTGTACCATTTATGCTTATTTTGTGGAAAATAACCTTTTTAAACATAATAAATTGAAATTTTAAGTAATAACATTTATTGATTTGTTTATTGGTATTAATACCATGATATGTAAGCCCTGTCAAACATAATTACATACAAATTTGATGGATCAGTCATTTTAATAACCCTATTTATAACGGATAGCCAAGACAAAATAAGAAGAATTATTTTTAGAAATTTTTAACAGTTCCTGGGTAGAATATAATCAAGTGCTAAAACAACCATTTCGACATACTTCTCAGTCGCCAGTATAGCTACTTACAGTATAGCTATAACCAACTTTTTAAGATGAAAATTAAAACATTAAGTTTAAAAGTTATGGATTTTCAGCAAACAATTTTTATTGCATACTTGTGCGCTTCTGAGGGGTAGTCCTATTAGTTGTCCAAATTTTCAAATTGTCCTATTTGGTTCAATTTCGTTTTGTAGTGTTATTTTGTTGACATCCAAGGATTTTCCAAAAACAACAACACTACAACGAGATTTCGGTTTTGGGGGCGGGAGTGGACGTGGGAAAATTTTGACACAAACTTGATCTGCGCAATCATCGTATAGTAGATTCAAGGTCCAAATCGGATAGTTCAATCTCTTATAGTCTTCAAGATCCACGCGTTCAAAATTTTTGCCCGTTTATATAGTGTATATATATAATGGTATATATATATATGTATATATATATATATGTATACATATACATATGTATATGGGTATATCCTATAGCTCTATCTCATATAGTCTTTGAGATAAAACAGACGGACATGGCTATATCGACTCGGTTGTTGATGCTGATCGAAATTATAAGACAATAAGGACACTTTATTGTCTTTGTCATTTTTTGTCGATTTTTTACTGTTATTTTATATTTAAGGTTATAAAATATATAGAGGTAATTTAACTTTTTCGAGCCACCGTTCTTGGGGTCGTCATCCTGCTCCTCTTCTGGATGTTGCCCCCGGAGAACTTGAGTCAAAATTAATGATTTTTCGGAATCCAATTATATTTTTTATTCGAATCGTACAACGGAACGTTAGTTGTTGTCGCCTCTTTTTGACACTTCTTCCCAAAATGTAAACGTGGGGAGAAGCTTTATAGCTATGTTGGTGGAAAAAGCCTTTTTAAATATCAAATGGTATTTAAACATTGTTATCATTTTATTCAGTCGTACAACTAATAAATTTATCAAGGTATTAACAAGTAATAATAGATAATACTGGGGCTGGCAGGTGTCTAGGGGTGGAGCCAATGCAAGGTGCTAGGAACAAGTCAGACTGTCATCGCCCTCTGCCTCGTCAGCTGCAAAAATCAAAACAACGATGTAAGAGTCAAAGTCACGGAAGGATAAGCTGCAGCAGGAATTCGTCTTTGTACTTACACAGTATTTGCAATCCGAACATCAGGGCGAATCCCGCCACAGTGGCAAGCAGCGACAGCCATCTGGTGTGGTTTTCCGTGAGTATCTCGAAGAAGACCACGTACAAAAGGGTCCCACAGGCGTTTCCCTGCAGGATACCCGAGGGCAGACTGGGGTGGCCGGGTGCCACTTGGTGACTGATGCCCAGACCCACGCCGATGCCGATGGGCGTCACTATTGAAAAGGTTACCAGGTAGACGACGGCCAGGGAGCCTCGGGTGCGGGCCACCAGGAGCTCCATTCCCACGCAGAAGGCCAGCACTAATTTGTGGGCTGCCACAGCCCCGAACATGAACCAGACTGTGCTCACGGAGCCCTCTAGTCCAATGGCCATGCCCTCAAAGAGCTCGTGCAGGGAGAGGGCCAGGATGATGCCCAGACCTCGTGCCGAAGATCCCTCTTCCGCAAGCGGCGGCATATGAGAGTGGCCGTGATGATCCTCCGGCTTGTGCTCTGGAATTGCTTCAGCCGGAGTCTCGCACTTGGCCCGGAGCAGGATGCTTTGCCGCGGGCTGCGTCCCCTCTCGAAGGCAACGCTGACCAGGGACTCCTTTCGGCTGAGCTTCTGCTGCTGGCGGTGCACAAAGCCCGACATCGTCACGTCGAGAGCGTACATCAAAAAGAATCCTGTGCAGAGCAGCATCTCGGGCAGGGCAAAGGGCGTCTGGGCAAGAGACTTGCATTGCTGCAACTGTCCAACCACCTCGATCACCTCGGGCAGCATGTGGACGAACGTGGTGCAGATGAGCACCCCGCCGCCAAAGAAGAGCATGCAGCGCACGGCCGTCGAGGCACGGGTCTCCTCCGGACTCTTCTTGGTCCACTCGAAGCAGCGGTTTAGGACGTAGGGCAGGCTTCCGCAGAGCACTGTGATCACAAGGAGCACCACCATGGCGACAATTTTGGCCACGAGAAGCGCCTGGTGCTCGGAGCCCGAAGACTGCTCTCTAGCGAAATTCTGTACGACGTCCATGCTTCCTTCCAGACCTACGACCGGCGACTGAGCTACCCAACGACTGGCCCATCGACTCGACATTGCAGGCTATATATCAAAGGGGTCTGATTGAAATCGGATCGCTGATTGATACGCCGGTAGACGGGTAGGAGAGCCCCAGGCCGCCGGTTGTCGAGCTCCGTCAAAAAATAGATTCAGTTATCTCCGATGGACAGGTGGCTGTCACCTTGCCTGATAACGGAACCATAATAAAGGGTCCCCGCGAATTATTCATTGATTGAAAAGATGTGGGATGGGGATTTCGGAAGTAATGTTGTGGGCTTTGGAATCGGACCATTTAATATCTTTATTTTTAAAAGGGATCAACCGAATATTAAGTTTAGAAAACTCTGCTTTTACTTAATATAACCTTTATAATAATACTTATTTTTAAAAATTATTATATTTTTTAAAAGCGGACAGGTTATTTTGGTTTAATAAATATATTTCTAAATTATTTCCATTAACCAACAACAATGAGGGTTTATATCCTAAGAAGCTTATTTAACGGACTCCTAAAACGTAGCAGACTTTTTCAGGATAAACGGGAAAATATAATGTCTTGATTGATCTACTGGGGACACACAAAGTGGCTCTTTCCCTTGGCTTCTCCAACTGAAATTGAGATATCGAGAGATTACAGAACTGAAGTTTTTGACATTCAAAGGTCTTACTTGCTATTTGAAGGCCAAACATAAGGACAAATCCAGCCAGTGAGGAGAAAAGCACCCGCAAGCCGGCGTGACCCTTGGCCACAATCTCGAAGAACACCACGTAGATCAAGGTGCCGCAGGCCAGGCCCTGGAGGATTCCAGAAACAGTACTCGGTTGATTCGCCGCCGAGGACTCGCTGACGGCGATCCCGATTCCCACACCAATCGGGGTAACTATGGAAAAAACCAACAGGTAGACGATTGCCAGAATCCATTGGGTGTGGGCCATCATGATCTCCATGCCAATGCAGAAGGCCAGCACGAGCTTGTGCACCGAAATGGCGCCTGTCATGAACCAGACTGTGCTCACGGTCATCTCCAGGCCGATGGCCATGCCGCCGAACAGTTCATGCAGCGACAGGGCCACTATGATGCCCAAGCCCCTGAGCCAGTTGGGATCCTCCGGTTCCTCGACATCCTCCTCCCCGCTCTCCAAGGCCTCCTCCCGCTTCCTCCGCTGACGTCGCCGAATCACAAAGTGCATCGTCTCCTCGATGCAGTACATCAGGTAGAAGCCGGTGCAGAGCAGCACCTCGGGGAGTCCAAAAGGAGTGGGGGCCAGCATCCGGCAGTCCTGCAGGGCACCCACCACCGACACCACCTCCGGCAGCATGTGGATGAAGGTGGTGGCTATCAGCACACCACCGCCGAAGTTGAGCAGGCACAGCACCACCTTGAACTCGCGGGCGTTGCTGCTGGGGCGCTGCGTCCACTTGTAGAAGCGGTCCAGGAGGTAGGGGATGAAGCAAAAGATCAGGGTGACCAGCAGCAGCACCACGATGGCCACTATTTTGGCCACCATTAGCCGGTGGGGTTCCATGGCGAGCAAACTAGCTGCCCCTCGGATATTTTTGACCTTTTATAGTAGGCCCTCATATCTGGTTGTAGATATCAGCTACTTAGCAAATACGAACTCGTCTTAACTCGTATTAGGGGCTCCTCCGTTGTTTACAGTTAAGTTTTAGGGCAAAATTTCAGGGCGATATCTCCCCCAGGTCTAGACAACATTCCTACTGGCCAAATCGGTCAGCCTTATCGCATTCCTGCCGCTAGCAACACTTTGTTTTCGCGAATTAGGCTGTCAGTGGAAGTTTTCGGCCTGAAAATTCAGTGCAAATCAATTTTTGTTGCCAGCCCCGTTTCTGGCTAATTAAAGCGCTATCCGTGGGCGGTCGTATTTCTCCCTGATATCTTTGGAATTGAGTTGTCATTACCAAATGCTTTGCACCGCGAACGGTTGGAGCCTACGCACCTTAGTGGAGGATTCGCAAGGTGTCCTAATAATCCCCACAAGAAGCTAACCAACATGTACTGTAAAAATTATTATTGGCATTTATTACACAATATTATGGCATTTAAATGTAACTTTAAAGTAATTACTATGACTTGAGAGTTTTTGTTTTATTTGATTTTTCACGGAGTACGGGTGCGAAGACAAATGAATTCAGTTGTGATGTGGATATGAACACGAGTATGGATATATATGGAAGTATAGAGTTTGTCAAGCTCAGAAGATCTTTCAAAACAACGGGTCGTCATTGACTTGGGGCAGCCGGGAGTCCGAGGACTTCGGAGCCACCTCGGAGGCCCAAGTGCAGTCGTTTGAGTCGGCGTCTAATTTAGACGATTGCGAGATTGGTCGATGTACAGTGTGATGCGTATGAGGTGGTGATTTCGATGATCGGTTCTAGTTCGGTTCGCTCGGTTGCCTTGCTCTCTCCACAAAACCCCTCCATGGTAGTTGATGGCAGTTCACCACATTGGCTACTGGCTTCCAGCATCCTCCTCAGTGCTCTCAGGGCTGGGCCGTTCACGACTGCTTCGGGTGCTGGACGGGCGGCGGAGGCGCCGGCTTGAAGCACTGCAGCAGGAACGCCGTGTAGATGACGAAGGCCACCGCCAGGGCGATCAGGGCGTACATGAAGATGTTCAGCTCCGGCTGCCTGAATCGGTTCTTGCGCAGCCACTCGAGCACCTCGTCCTCGGAGAGGAGATCACCTAAAAATGTCGAGTTGGAATGTTAGTATAGTTAGCACCTCCACTGATCGTCGACCTACCTCTGTATATGCTCGGGAAGCGACGTCGGAAGTAGACCATTGCTGGCAGCTTGGTGACTCCCCATTTCTTGGCGTAGCGGGAGTCGGCCATCTTCACGAAGGTTATGTCCAGATTATCAGTCTCGCTGTCAATGTTCTCAAGCTTCTCCAGGGCTGCAGTGCTGTCGGGCTGGTTGTGTTCATCTGGCGAAAGGTGAGTAATTCCCGAATAATAGACTTTCAATAGGAAGTGTACCCGACTTACAGAAAAACACGGAAAGGAACTCGTTCTCCTCGAGCAGTTTGTCGAGCATTTTACGGTTGACTTCTTCGATTTCGTTTTTGATTTCGAAAACGTCCTGGGAGGTCAGCCATGTGATAACCTTGTCGTGTTGGTGCATGTCTCCGTCATAAAGGACGGGAACTTGTTTTCTAAAAAACACCAACATATTGAAAACTGTTTAGGAACTCCTACGTGAACCCATTACCGGAAGTATACCAGGGACGGTATATTGACAATTTCGTATTTCTTGGCCGCCTCGATGCTGGCTATCTTCACAAAGTCTATGCCAAACATGTCGGCTTCGCCATCGATCTCCTCCAGCTCCTCCAAAATCTCCTCGCATTCCGCGCAGTCATCGTCGTCTAAAGGATGTCATTAATTAGTTAGTCATAAAAGGTTTTCCATCCCAGTGATGATTTAGGACTTACAGAAGAACACCACCAACAGGGTGGACTCGGCCATCAGCCTGTCCAGCATCCGCTCGTTGACCTCCTCGATTTCATCGGCCAGCTCCCGGTTGTCGTCATCGATGAGCCACTCCAGGACGGACTGTTCATTCTGGAGGTCGCCCTCAAAGAGCAAAGGATTGCCATTGCTGCGGAAGGAAACAGTTTATGAAAGGCACTACTTTCCAGAGACCAGATACCCACCGGAAATAAACCAGAGCTGGGAAGGTCTTTATCGAGTATCGTTTCGCCAGCTGCGGGTCCTGGATTTTGACCATGTGGATGCCGAATACATCGCATTCGTCGTCGATCAGCTCGAGGCCCTCGAGGATCTGGTCGCAGATGTTGCAGTTGATTTTGTCTGCCGGGAACAAGAACTTGGTTAGCCAGAGCGCCAGTGGAGGTCTACGGATTTAGTGGTAAGCTAGACAACTGGATAGCGGTTGTGTGAGAGGCCAAGAAAACGCCGTAAAATAAGGTATTCGCGTCCAAACTAAATTAAACTGCATAGCGCGGATTAAACGGCGAAGAACAGAGCCCAAGTGGCCAAATTTAGTTTGGTCGTAATACGGTGTAAGCCTGGTTTAGTGCAGTTCGGGTTAGAGCTCAGTCGAACATGCGCAGCCTGAGCCTGGAGCTGGTAAGTTTGCGCACACGGAATACGGAAGGAATACCTTGTTTTTCGATACGTTTTCTTTTACGTGAGATGTAGCTTTGAACGAATTGGCTGGATGGGTGTTTTGTGGTGGCGGTCAGGTTGCTTTCTTTGAGACTGGAGGGGGAGCAGAAACTGCGGCAGAAAGCTGGCTGGCTGGCTGGCTTTCCCTTCCGCTCAGGCGGCACTGAGGGCGGTTCAATGGGGATTGCGGATTCGGATTCGGTTCGAGTCACGTATGAGTGGATTGTGTTCAATGCAGTTTTAAGGCGGGGAAACAATGTGATTATGTGAGGGATACAGTGGTAAGGTCGATCTTCGACTGGCATAAGGCTACTCACAGAAGTACACGGCCAGGTACTGGGTCTCCTCTACCATGGTCTCCAGCATTTGACGCGTGATGAGCTCGATGCGGTCCTCGGTCTTTTGGGTGATCAGCCACTGCAGCACCTCCTCCTCCTCGCTGAGCTCGCCTGAAAGAGACAACCTGCGTGAGACACCTGGATAGAAGGGTTTAAGGACCTTGTCGTACCCTCGAACACGTTGGGTATTCCTCCCTCAAAGTAAACCAGCGCCGGGTACTCGTGGACGCCGTAGCCGTCGGCCACCGAGAAGTCCCTGGTCTTCACGAAGGTTATGCCGTGCTTGTCGCAGTCGTCGTCTATGTTCTCCAGCTCCTCCAGGACCTTGGTGCACTGCTCGCATCCGTCCGCATCTGGATGTCGAGATGGGGTGGGGGAGAGCACACTTTACTGAATGGGCACTGTACAGGGGGCATGTCGGGGAACTACGGCAAGCACTATCCAAGAACTAAACTTACGCAATACACATACAAAGCATACTAAACAAACACTGGGCTTATGCGATGTCCAATTCATGAATTCGCGGCTTATCATTATTGTCTGTAGAGACAAAGGATAATGCTGCTGATTCATAAATCCGATCTCATAACCTCATTAAAATGAGTAGAAGGGGTAATATCTAGGGGATCACAGCTTAATTTGAAATCACAAATGGGGTTTCGGGGTTTCGGTGCGAGACATATAGAAGATAGAAAGAGCCAGAAAGAGCGACAGTGAGAAAGAGACAGATAGAGAGTTTCGGTTCTGATTCAAGATGGCGCTACAGTGGGTACAAAATGTATATTCGGTAGAGTTTTTGGTGGGGTGGTGATGCGTGTGCTTGTGGATTCTGGTGGTGCTGGGTTACATGGTTAAACATTCTCGGACTCATTCCAGGTTGACGAGCTCAATGCAGAAAGGTGCGCTACCATCTTCGTGTTTGCCAGCCGATGCCTCCGGTGGTGCAGCTGCGTCTGCAGCAGCTGGCGCCTCCCCAGCGCCCGGCGACCCGTCCAGCGCCCCGCCAGCGGCCGCCTCGGAAGGATCTACCTCGCTGCCGAAGGCGGCAGCCGCACCGGCGGCTCCGCCCTCCTGCTGGTGCTGCTCCCGCTCCTTTTTCATCCGCGCCTTGCGCGCCGCTTTCGAATTGCAAATGTCGCACTTAGTCTTGTTCCCTATGTTTGGGTTTCGATTTGTGTTCGGTTCGGTTTCGTATTTCAGAGAGCAGAGTCGCAGATAGAAATATAAATAAAGTCTTGATTGGTTAGATACACAGAGCGCTAATTAGGCTTAGACTAGAGTGACGTCTCACTGGTTAACTACAGTTACACACAGACTGCTGCAAACTTTTTGCGCAAAAGCGTGACCTTCAATGCCATACAGTACCTCCTCGACAAATGGGACACAGTGTTAGACTATCAATTTCAATGAAATATTAACATGAAAAACATACTATTTTATAATTTTTTTATATCACAAACATCTGAGTACACTATAGTCTGATATGGATATAAAAGGATACATGGATATACTTTTTGTGGACACACGGACAGACGGACAAGGTGAGATAGACAAAGCTAGCCATACTGAAAAGGGAGAATAGGAGACAAGCCCGTTTATCCCGGCGGTGTTTCCTTCGTATCTTCTTAAACAAATATATACAAATACAAAACAAATATAAAACTTCCAATATTCTTAGAGAAACATATGGTAATACTTGGAAAATGAATTTTAAAACAAAAATCTTAAAGATACTTTCAACATGGACATGGTACTTTGCATGGATTGATGTCACCAAACCGCTTGCAGCATTGAATACCTTAAACCTCGCATAGTTTATATAGAATATCGTCGGTTAGGTTAGTTATCGTCGGAAACCTCGCCTTGCTGGAAACTTACAGAAGTACACGGCTATGGAGCCAGACTCTTCAATCAATTGAACGAGCCTCTCGCCTTCGAGATCTTCGATGACATCTCCACTTGGATCCTTTTGCGTGATCAACCAAGTGAGGATCTGTTCTTCTTCGTAAAGATCACCTGGAATTGGAACCTCAATTAGAAACCGCACTTTTTAGGATGCCTTGGCAGCCATACCGGCGTAGATAACAGGCTCCTTGGATGTGGGTTTGAAGAAGACAATGGCCGGCAGGGCAAAGACGCCGTACTCCTTGGCCATTTGCTTGTCGTCGATTTTCACAAAGTCAATGCCAGCCTTGTCGGCCTCGTCGTCAATGTGCTCCACCTCGGCCAGGACCCGAGGACACTGTTTGCACTCGTCGCTGTCTGGGGGGTAGAGAGGCGACACAAGGATTATGATAAGTCTGTGAGAAGTCCACCAAGCAGAACCTACAGAATATCACCGCCACGTAGTCAGAGTTCTTGCGAATCTTCTCGAACATCTTGCGGTTGACCTGCTCGATGTGGTCGGTCATCTCCATGTTGGCAGGACTGGTCAGCCAGTCGAGGACCTCCTCCTCGTCGTCTATGTCCCCGTCGTAGTTAATGTACTTGCCCTTGCGGAAGTAGGTCAGGCCGGGCGGGTTCCTGAATCCGTACTTCTTGGCCATCAGCTTGTCGTGCATCTTCACAATATAAATGCCATATTCGGCAGCCTCATCGTCGATTAGTTCGATGTGCCGCAGCACTCGTGGCGAGTCGGGGTCGTCCTCCTTGTCTGAAAATGAATTGGAGGTCTCCTCCGCATTAATACTCTGCAGTTATGTAGGCTTTAGCTCATTTGGCTGGAGTTGTTTGGGCAGTTACAGTTTTTAGTGGGCGCGAATTATAGATATAGATAAATGTATAGCTCCTAGAATCCTTAGCCTTTACCTACTAAGAGTGTGGCGGCCAATATACTTACAAAACACAACCGCTAAAAAGTCTTTGGTGCCTATATACTCGAAGAGTTGATCCCGATCGATAAGTTGAATGCTTTGGTCGGCCTTTTGTTCCAGGATCCAGTTGAAGACGTCCTCGTTGCTGGCGATGTTTCCTGGTTTTAAATGACAAGCATGGAAGCCCATTAAAAAAAGTTTTACCTTTCAAATCTTAAGATTTAATCCATTATCTGGCACATACCTGGTGGCTGCAGTTTGTCAATCAATCAAGTTAAATGCTAGAGTAAAAGAGGACTTTTTATTGAGACCCAAGCACCCAAAATCTACAATTGTCATTGGGGATCCCTATGTATTTTCTTAGAAACTATCGTTTTTTTCAGTTTTATTTGTTTGAAATTATTAAAGCATGTATGGCTTTGCTTTGACTATATATTAAATAATAGAACCTATTTTGTTTGATTTTTCCGGTTTTATTGCATATTTTTACAAATTATTTGTCGGGTTTTAGTTTTACAAAAGTTGATTCGTTTATATATGAGTTTGTTGCTTAAATTCTGACAATATTCAGGTTGAAAATCGTTTGACAAAAATACATTCGATGATCTTGACTTAACAGCTGCTGTTCAACAAAAAATTGTTACATAAATGTTGGATTTAGTTACAGTTGAGTGCGGAGTAATAGTTTTAGCTTAGGAAACATAGGCGATAAAGATATATATTCGATAAATTCGATACTTTGAAAATACCGATAACAAAAACAACGGCGAGCGACACCGGATGCCGCTCCCAAAAGAAAACAAATGAAACAACATGGCGAGATACATTGTATGCGAGGCCATTGTTCAGCGAGAAATCTATAGTTTGAGTTTTCTTAAACTTACAACAAATTCCCAGGGTGTGTGGCAACCTGGCGGCGTATTGACAAAAGGCTCTTTTTACAAAATATGTATATTGACTATGGGCTCCTGGTTGCTAGTGGTGGTGGCAAGAAAACAGTTCAAAGCTCTCATCGTTTAATCGATAACGATAACGATCTCGTTAAAATAGTTAACAGTTATTGCACTGCCAAGTGTAAATTGTTTCAAAAAATATTTTATCCGTTGGTTCGTGTCGGTCGGCTTCCTTGGCTCTTGTGTAAATTAGACTAACTACATAATATAATTGTATATTTCGACAAAAAGAAGTAGTATCAAAAAGTGTACGCTCTTGTTATTGACAACAGACAGGGGCTGATCGATTTGTTAATAACAAAATGGCTAACAGCTGGCTAACAGTAAATATACAAGTGAAAGTTCTCAGAAGTTGATAGTTTGTTGTTGAAGTAATTGCTTTTAGTTTGAACAAAGTTTGTTGAAATCCGTTGGCAAATGCAACTAAGAATTAGTTTAGTTTAGTTATAGATCCCTCTCGAAAATCGTAATAGTTTAGGCGAAAATATCAACAATTTTAAGTTAGTATAGTATGCTTTTCTCTCTTGGCTTGATTAATTATAAATTATAAATTATTTAGATGTTTTTGTGATTTTTTTTTTATGTTATTGAGTTGCGTGTGATTCTTCTGCTATCGGTTGATCTTCTCAACGTGGAACAACGATCTGGTCTAGTTTTGTGGCTAAGAAAGGGTGGTGGACAATGATCGGGCACCGAGGATGTATAAGTACAAGTATCGGGAATTGCAGCAGGGCTCAGGCCCCCCTGCCAGACTTTTCGAGGTTAGTGAGGGAGGACGGACCTCATACTTATATACACACAGCCATACAAGTTCGGTTATTCAGTTGGTTCTTGTCATAGATGTTGTCTTTTGCAGTCACACAGAGATGTTGTACATCTAGTAATAGAGACCTGTCATTGAAGGTTCTTTTAAGATGGTTTTACAGGCTTGGGTTGGTTTTGGTTTGTTTGTTTTGGTATTTTGGTAGTTTATCGGTTGACAACAGTGCGTATGCGTGCTACGAGTACTTAGTATGGCATATCATTCAATCATACAATCACTATCTAACTGGCTGTGGCTTGGCGCCACACTCAGTTAAACTGTTGCCTTACTCCCACAGAGAGATATCCTGAAAAACGAGGTCATACAAATTTTTTAGTCGATTTTGGAAAAAATTAATGCCTGCAAGACACAAAGAGAAAGAAAAGAGAAGAGAAATGAACAAACAAAGTATCGACCAAATTGTGAGAGTGTCGTTTAGTGTCTGATTGTGGGCACGACATTAGCAATTAGGACAATGAGCGTGGGACAGGACAATGAATTTGGCTGGCTTTCGGATGTGTCGGATCTGTGTCTTGGCTTGTTTCTACGGATACTTGGCTGGAACACCAACTACGTACCGGTTTTGACATTCAGCTTGCCGGACTTCTTCGACGACTTCTGCTTGACCTCTCCCTCGTCGTCGTTGTCCTGGACCTTGTTGAGGGGCTTCTTGCCAGCCTGCGGCTTGTTGCTTCCTCCGCGCTTGTTGGCGTACGAGACCTTCACCAGGGGCTTGTCCTCGCCCTCCTCGTCGTCGTCGTCATCGTCGTCGTTTTCCTGGGGGCGCTTCGCCTGCTTCTTGCCGACCACCGGCTTGGTGCCGCTAGCCTTGCCCGCCGACGAGGAGGAGGCCGAGGCGAACTGGAAGTTACCGCCCTGGGAGCGCTTGCCCTGCTCGCCCTCGCTGTGTCCGATGCGCTGGGCGGTCATCTTAGGAACTTTCGTTGACTTCTCCAATTTGGTTGGACAGCATTGGAATGGTTTGTAATCGTTGGGCACATAATTGTTACCGCGCTTAGCCGAATGGCCGTCATGACCCAATCCAACATAGAAACATTCGTCATCTGTGTGAGCAAACAAACAAAAACATTTTGTCAGATTGTTTAGTTTTATAAGAATTGATGTTTTATTTTTGGTTCAATAACAACAGAAGGTTCATTACGATAAGTATCAAAAACAAAAAACTAAAAAAAAACTAAACAAGAGTGCATCGTAGAAGGCGAGAAGAAGGATTAAAAGTCCCTAGGAGGCTTTTAATACTTGGCTTCAAGGCCCCTCTGGCAAAGACCATAAAGAAAGATAAAGAGCAGTTAGTACGATTTTCGGATTCGATTCGATTCGGTTTTCATTATTTCAGACTTGAAAGATTCTTTGTTCTAAAGTAAAAGCGTGCTTTATGAATGGAAGATTTTGTAACATTACTTCGTATTTAATTTAGGTTGTATATCAAAACTAATAACTGACAAAATGCTTTTGATGCTGACTGTACAAGTTTCAGATTTTGATATTCTTGACGATCACGATTCACGTTCACTGTTTATTCACATTTCTAAATTTAAGTTTTTGTTGTTGTTCGTATACTTAAATATTTTCTAGGGCACAGCGGGATCGATATTAATTATTATAAATTAACAAACATAACGATTACTTAAAGTATTATGAGAAAATAATAATAAATCAAACAAAATAGGTATTAACACATTTTTCGAATCAATATCGAAATTTAAATATAACTTCCGGAATACAAAAAAAATCGCAATTCTTTTATTAAATAATTTCAAACATTGTGTCAGCTATGATTTGAATTTTTATTCATCGATTCTGTCTTTTTTAGGTACCATAGACTTTGAAACTAAGAACTGATTCGGTGAAAGCTTCGGGTTCGGGGTATTAATATAGACGAGGATTGGATGGGTTTTTCGGGGCGACTGTCTTCCCAATTGCGTGTGTTCCTGACATGAGAACGGCTTTAACACAGAAGCTATGCGAAAGCACCGACTACGACATAGAGTACTAGGGAAAATCGAGTGGTTACCTTGGTTAAATGCATTTCTGTCTGAACTCCTTCTCCCCAAGTCTGTAGATAGACAATGAGATTACTATAATCGAATGTATCGAGTGTTTCGCGCTTTGGCAAGTGTGCGTGAGGGGAGGAGGAACGCTTGGGAGGGATTCAAGTTGGGAGGACACAACAATCAACTGTTTCAGTTAGTGCGTCAATGGCAACTCACATTCAGGATTTACCTATTTCATCTATAAGCCGACCCGAGCAAAGGTCAGCCAAGCGATGTATCGTTCGACCTTTGGCTGTGTGCCTATATTTTGGTTTGCTTTTTGGATCTTCTTCGTCTTCCTCATCGTCGTCGTTATCATTCTCGTCGTCGTTGTCGTCGTCATTGTCATCATCGTTGTCATTGTCATCGTTATCGTCATCGTCATTGTCATCCCTAGCATTATTATCGTCATCTTCTTCATCATCTTCAATTCCCTCATCCTCATCCTCGTCCTCATCATCTTTACCGTTATCCCCATCGTTTTCATCATCTTCATCTTCGTCATCGTCCCCATTTTCTTCGTCGTCCTCCTCATCATTTCCATTACCTTCATCTTCATCTTCGTCTTCATTGTCATCTTCATTATCCTCATCTTCATCTTCATTTCCGTTCTCCTCGTCATCATCATTGTCATTACCATTATCTTCATCTTCATCCTCATCTTCATTTTCATCATCACCATCTTCATTTTCATCTTCATTTTCATCATCTTCATCTTGATTTTCATCATCATCCTCATCTTCATTATCCTTATCATTGTCATCTTCATCTTCATCTTCATTATCCTTATCATCTTCATCTTCATCTTCATTATCTTCATCTTCGTCGCCTTCATCGTCTTCCTCATCCCCGTCCTCATCGTTCTCGTCGTCATTATTGTCGTCCTGATCTTCATCGTCATCCTCGTTATCTTCGTCCCCATCGTTATCATCTTCGTCTTCGTCATCATTGCCATTATCTTCTTCATCATCGTCTTCATTATCCTCATCTTCCTCGTCATCATTATCCCCATCCCCATCCTCATCTTCCTCATCATCTTCATCTTCTTCATTTACAATATCCTCATCATCATCTTCTTCATTGTCCTCATCCTCATCCCCTTCGTCATCCCCATCCCCGTCATCATCATTATCTTCGTCCTCGTCATCTTCGATGTCTCGTCTTCTCTTCTGCAGTCTCTCTCTTCGTATCGAGCTCTGCAGACGCTTTAATCTGTCTCTCTTATCTTCGTCGCTTTCTTTTGGATACCGCAATTTAACAATTTTTTCATCATCATCGTCATCATTGCCTACATTGGAAAGTTGCATTATGTTTTGAATTTTAACGATTCGCAATAAACGAGAAGATGGAATCGGGTGCATCCACGTTTTGGGAGTAATGAAACCACATTATCTATTTTTTTTTTTTGGCTCAACTTATTGGTAGCGAGAGTTTGGCTAATGAGCGTGAGTTAGAAAGCAGAAACACATTGGAAACAAGAACGCTTACTCTTTTGATTGATCAACCACTGCAGCACACGGTTTTCGTTTTTGAGATTACCTAGAGGACCAGAAAAGTAATACATAGGTGCTTGCAACCAGGAATTTCGGCATCCAACTCACCGTCATACATGATCGGGACGCCAGTCTCGTAGTAGACCAAAGCTGGGAATGCGAAAATACCAATTTCGTGGGCTAGTTTCACATCATTCGACTTCACGAATTGGATTCCATGCTTGTCGGTGTCGTCATCGATGTTCTCCAGTTCCTCCAAAATGTCGGAGCAAGATTCGCACTCGTCATCGTCTGTGGGAGGCCAAAAGCCATTAGTTAGGGCTCTTTAATGAACCAGAGCTAACGATTCTCTTACAGAAGAAGACGGCCAGGTGTTCCACGTCGTTGATCAGCACTTGGAGGGTCTTCCTGTCGACCGACTCAATAACATCAGCAGTGGACTCGTGCAAATCAATAACCCACTCTAGGATTTCCTCTTCCTTCATCAGGTCACCTGGAGAAGCAGGAGAGATCGGTTAGTAGGCATATTGGAAGCCAATCCTTTCCAGCATTACCGGTGTAAATTGTCCTAAACTTATGTCTATAAAATGCAAGCGCCGGCAGGCCGGGCAGGTCGTATTCCTTATCAATATCGTCGTCGGATGTCTTTACGAAGTCAATGTCTTTTTCCTCGCACTCGTCGTCGATGTTCTCCAGCTCGTTGAGAATCTTCTGGGCCTTCTTGTCGCCCTCGGCATCTGTGGGGATGCGAAGATGTTGAAATATTATTAATTGAATTTAGAATATTTTTCTTATCTTACAGAAGAACACGACAACGTGATCGTTTTCGGCCAAAATCTTGTCCAGCATCTTAACGTTGACCTCCTCGATCTTGCCGGGAATTTCGAGGGTTTCGTCATCGGTGATCCAGGCCAACACTTCGTCCTCGTCGTCGAGATCTCCGGTGAAGTGCAGGGGGTCTCGGTTCCTGAAGAACACCAGGCGAGGATAGGTCTTGACGTTGTACTTCTTGGCGACGCCAGTGTCCTCAGTGGTGACAAAAATGATTCCAGCCTCGTCCAACTCGTCGTCGATGCTTTCCAGGGCGTTAAGGGTGTGATCGCAGGTCTCACCGGGCTCGCACGGGCCAGTGAAAAAGACAACAACATACTCGTGCTCATTGATCAGGTTGACCAGGATTTCGTCGGTGACCTCCTCGATGGTAGCCGTCTTCTTCTGGACCAGCAGCCACTCGAGCACCTCGTCCTCGTTCATCAGATCACCTTCGTAAAGGGCTGGTATCTTGTTCTCGAAGTAGATGAGGGCGGGCAAGTGGTCCAGACCGTACTCCTTGGCCTCGGCGGCGTTATCGATACGCACAATGACGATACCTTCCTTCTCCAACTCATCGTCAATGTTCTCCAGTTCGTTGAGAATGCGCATGTCCTGCTTATCGTCCTTGTCGTCTGCGGTCAAAAGGGAACCATTATTTCGGTCAGAAAGCAGAATCTTAAGGCACTAATGACTCACAGAAGATAACCGCCAAGTGCTCGGTGTTCTCAACCAACTTGTCCTTCATCTCATCGGTCACCTCGGGAATCTCGGAGTACCGCTTCTGATGCACCAGCCAGCCGAGCAGCTCATCCTCTTTCATCAGATCACCCTCGTAGATGTGTGGAATGCCACGTTCAAAGAGTACAATCGACGGTATCTCATCGATACCCCATTCTTTGGCCTCTTTGTCATCATCGATCTTGACAAAGGCAATATCGTTCTGATCGCACTCGTCGTCAATGTTTTCCAATTCTGCGAGGATTTTCTGTGATTTCTTTTGGTCTTTGTCGTCTGTGGAGAGTTTTTTTGGATATTATTATAGAGTTTGAAAGAATTAGTGTTAAACTATTCAAAACTCAGACTATAGGTACTATCGCTCTACTGGAACTTCAAACCTAAGGACTATACTTCAAGAACTACTCTATCTTCACCGGGATCTACTTCTTCTGGGTTTAGTTTAGGTTGATTAGTTTATGAAGCGCATTTGAAAATTAATTCTTGAAAGCATATGGAGCAGCCGGCAGATTGTTACAACTTTAGATACAACATCCCAGAGATACAACAGAAAGTCAATAATACAATATCTACAGAAACTGAGAAAACTGTGCCCACGGGTCCCGGCACAAGGCTCCAGATGAGGGGCCTGAAATCACTTACAGAAAAGAACAGCAACGTGGGGCATTTTTTCAATGATCAAATCCAACATTTCGTCGGTAATGTCCTCGATCTGATCGGAACTGGTTTGGTCTGTGAGCCACTTGAGAAGCTTCTCCTCGTCCTCCAGATTGCCCTCGTATATAGTTGGAATGCCTTTTTCAAAGTATATCAGTTTAGGAACTTTATTGATGCCGTATTCGACGGCCTCCTCGGGATTATCGATTTTCACGAAGGTAATGCCCAGGGCATCGCACTCGTCGTCAATGTTCTCGAGCTCTTCGAGCACTTTCTGAGACTTCTTGTCGTTGTTGTCGTCTGGAAAACAGCGGGTGAGCAAAATGGAGGCGACTGCTTAGGCTCTACGGGTAACAAGGTAATATTTACAGAACAACACCGCAATAACGCGTCCCTCTTTGATCATTGTGTCGAGCATTTCGTCGGTGACATCCTCGATCTCATCTCGTTCCAACTGTCCCAACAGCCACTTGAGAATCTGCTCCTCGTCCATGAGATCGCCGTCGTAGACGTTTGGAATTTCTTTTTCAAAGTAAACAATGGCCGGAATCTGCAGATCGAATAATATGCGTGAATGACGTTTCGATTCGTTTTGGGGATTCGCGATCGCGCCCTAGTCGTACCGAGTCGATTCCGTAATCACCTGCCGCCTTGGCATCATCAATCTTCACAAACTGAATGCCATGCTTGTCGCAGTCGTCGTCTATCTGCTCCAGCTCCTCCAGCACGGTCATCGAGTCGTCGTTGCCATGATCATCTGCAGATGAATAGCCCCGTTACCACCATTACACCACAGCCCTGCCGCAGCAAAGGTCACGTCTACATACAAAAGAGCACCACCAGGTTGTCGATATTGCTAATCAGAGTCGAAAGCGTCTTGGAGGTGACGTCCTCAATCACGTCGTCCTCGTCCCCCGTCGACTTGTTCTGCACCAACCACTCCAAGACGTCCTCCTCCCGCTGCAGTTCACCTGGAGACACAGTTTCGATATTAGCCACTGAAGAATCGCGTGGTGCAAGGGATTATGTCTACATATGTCGATTATGTCGATATGAATGTGGTGTGGGTGTGGAATGGGTGTGGTCTACTGGGTCTACGGCAGTACCTTCGTATATGATCGGAGTCTGGTGGCGGTAGTAGACCAGTGCTGGCAGATTGCCCAGATTGTACTCGTCGGCCAGCGCCTCGTCGTGTATCTTCACGAATCCGATGCCCAGCTGGTCGGCCTCGTCGTCGATGTTCTCCAGTTCCTGCAAGGCCTTGGCACACTTGCGGCATTGCTGCTTGTCTGGCGATTGCGGCACGTCGGCGGCATAGAATCAGGCAAACAATATATCATTAGGCTCGACTGGATCTGGGAGGCTCTACGTATCGAGACCTCTTGGATAGCGAGGGGAGACAAACAACTGTACAGTTAGGGGTAAACAAGGGACTAGAACACGGACGGTAGTACGGTCACGGCGGATGCTGCATGCTGCAGGGGGTTAGCTGATTTAGGGACATCTTAGTCGGGGTCAGAGGGAGGCAGAGTGCATGCAAGAGCCATGGAGTGCTTGCGACAGCAGTGTTACCCAATCATTTCCCAGGCGATTCGTCTATTTACACGATTTGTTTACGGCATCCCGATCGGTCTGCTTCCAACCTGTTGCAAGGTGCTTGTCTTGGTGAGAGCCCCTCTCGGTCGGCGAAAGAAAAGAAAATTACTGATCGAAAGCTCTCTCCTTCCGACCTCCCATTTCTTGTTCTAGCTTTCTGCTCTCTGGGCGAGCTTTTGCCTGGCTCTCGGCCGTGGCGTATACGTAATATTTCGACGTGTGATACCGTTAGATACATAGAGGTTAAGAAAAGAGTAATTATTTCGAGAGTAGGTACGTAAGGTGTTACGTTTTTGGCGACACCTTTGAAAGCTCTTCTGGGGGTGGGTTCTATGGGGGTGTCGCCCCGGCGACAAGGCCAATGCCCACATTTGCCCATAATTTACCGCCCACTGTGCCAATCGAACGACTTTTGGGGCTGGGATCCCGACTCTTGCGGCTTGAAGACCGTTCTCTCCGCCGCAGGCACGGCGATGCTGCACTTAACTAAAAATAGTGCAAGTCAGTCGGGGAAGAGCCGCACACACGCACACATCGGAATGGGTCGGACATCGGGCACTCGTATATTATATAAAAGTGCATTTGGCCGCGGCATCGGAGGAGCTGCCCATAACCATGTCTTGCCGGCTCGCGCTAGAGTGTGCAGCGTTGATGCATTGCTGTATGCAAAAGCAATTAAAAGTGCTGTCTGTCTGCGGCCCCCGCCCGTCGCCACGCCCCCGCCCGCCCCTTGATGGACAGGAACTCGATTGGCGGGGGCGCGGGCAGCGGGGGCCAACAATGGGCCAAAATCTCTTGTTTTGTCTCACCTACATGCTGTTTTGCGTGCCTGCAATAAAAAACCTTTTCGCATGCCGTCTGCCTTTGATAAAAATACGAACGGATAGTGCGGCAGAGCTACAGATACTACAGATACACATATGATGGATAGATACACACATCTACGATCCCCGATCTATGGTACATGGGCTGCGTTGCCCACTCTATAGTTAGTTGTTTCAGAATTAAGCAAAAATAACAGCGTCGAGAGAAGCGAAAAGCGAAGAAAATCATTTTCATTTTCTTGGCCGACCAACTGCTTGAGTTTCCTATTTTTAGCCCAAAAATTGTAGGTGGCTGTGTGGGAAGGAGATGGCCAACGGCTAACGGCTAACGGCAAATAAATAAATAAATAAAATCTCTATACTTTGTTGTTGGGCACGATATTATCGTGTGTGTAGTCGCCAGATCATATGTATATATCGTGAGCGTTATAATACGGCATTAAATTTATGATTTTGAATAGGTAGGCTCCCTCCTTTGTTCCATAACTCGTCCAAGGCCAGAATCAGTATTTTGATCTTGGGCATTCTTCTTCGAGCTGTAGATGGTTCACAGATGGACCCATCCGAGGGAAGATTAACCTCTGCTTGTCCAAGATGGGGCCCGTGACTTGGGGGGAGGGCGACATGGGACAAAACATATTCTGGCGCCGAGCCCAGACATTTGCTGGCTTCGCCCCGTTGTTGTAATGTTTATTATTATACGTATACGTAATATGTGCGCCCGCCTTAGTAAATAGTGACAGCGAAAATGTGGAATCTTGTTTGTTACCAAAAGATTACTAAGAATTACTGCGTTCGGGATAATTGCATTCCTCGCTCCTAGACATTCGCCGACTCTAAGACCTGGTAAAGATCCCCTTTCTGGTAAAGATCCCCTCTATGTACACCCAAGCACCAGAGCAACTTTTTAGTTTTATGGGTTATATATGTATACACACACAGACACACACTTGATAGATATTTACATATCGAACCATGGGCATGGGGGCGGAATCTTTCGAGTGCATTTATGGATTACTGGAATTAGGAAGATTATGTTGGAGTAGGTATTATTGTTGAAGAAGTGATTATTATGGAGAAACAGGGTTCCAAACTGGACAAAGGGCGGGAGGCAAGGCGGAGGGTCCGAAAAAGAACTTACCCATTACCCTGGGCGGGCATGTTTCATGATCTGGACCTGTAGTCGTTTGATAAAATATACAATGCTTTGATAAATTCGCGTATACAGATATTGGTCTCAGACAGGGGACGAGATACCGCCGGAAGATATCGATAGAGAGATAATAAGTTAGGTTCTCCATAGTTCGCTTGGGTTAGTCACAAGAAATAGACATACTTAAATAGTGAGAGATATAGACGTACGAGTATAAGCACTAGATTGGCAGATTATACAGTAAAGATAGATATCACTGGTGGCTATACCTAGATCGTATGATTTTAGTCACAAGAGAGCTAAACTGTTTGTGTTCGCTAAAAACTGCAACTGCTTGAAATAGAACATCGTCAAGACATCCTCCGCCAATAGAACCGGGCGGAGTGTGGTTTAAACGTTAGAAGGAGTTAGAGTAGGGCCAGCTGACTTACAGAATAGCACGGCTACGAAGTCGGTGTCCTCGATGATCTTCTGAAGAATCTTGGCGTTCACCTCCTCGATGCGGTCGGGCAGGTCCATGGCCTCCAGCGACGTGAGGAAGTCGAGCACGCCCTCCTCGTCCATGAGGTCTCCGTCGTAGATGATGGGCTCCTTCTCCCTGCAATCGAGCTCAGCATTAGCTAGGCTCGTCAGAAGAGGGAGTTACTTACCTGAAATAGGTGAGCGCGGGGAAGTTCTTGATGCCATACTGCTTGGCGAGTCGTTTGTCGTTGATTTTCACAAAGTCCACTCCGAAGGAGTCTGTGTCATCGTCGATTTTTTCGAGTTCCGCTAAAACCTTATCACAGGTCACACAGCTGCGCGCATCTAGAGTGGTAGGACCAAGGAGAGGAGCGGTAAGTACGTACTATATGTTGGACGGGCAACCAGATCTTATAGAGATACCGACATCAATTGACAACCAGCAACTGCTGCGAGTGACGCCAGAGCGGAACCACATTCACATCCACATCGCAGCCGCGGCAGAACCAAATGCCACAAAGATTATTCATTCCTATATTAGACGCAGGATGCATCATCGTCTGCCCAGAGCCCAGGGCGAATTATGGCTGAATGAATGAATGAAATGACAGCAAAGGCAGGCCAATTCGGCGCTATTAATGCAGCAGCAACTGCCAACAAATTTGCTAAAACTGCTGAATTAATTCATAAAATTCGGCTGCGGCCACTATTAGGAAAAAGAACGATATACCAGACAAAAGACCTGCCTTGGCCAACGTTTCCTCTGGCTCTCTGGGCCATTAGTCCCCGTCCCCGCGAAGAAGCCTCCGTGAAAAATTCAGTGGAATCCCCTGGGCATTGCACAATGCCCCCGAATAAACACAATTAGTTTGTAATCAATGCTCGAGAATAAATCGAAAACTCTTGAGGTCTTTATTTATCTTTCCCGAATAGGCAGCCAAATACACGGAACAGATATAGGCGTTACGCAAAATAATGAATCGCTCGATTCGATTTGTAACTTCGGCAGGAAACTGGGTAATTTTGGCAAGTATTTTCGCAATACGTTGCAATAACATAAATAGCAATTTGTTGAAACAACAAACAATCGCCCCAATCACCCCGCTGAGCGATAAAAATCAATTAGGATGCTGCATTATCTTTCATTTGATTACCTTGGGAATAAAACGAGCTGACATTTGCGTAGACGTTCCATGATTATTCTAGGCTATTTTCCGAGCATTGGGTCTGAGGCCTTTGGATTTAAAATATTTTCATTGTCAACAATTATTTTTGGATTTGCCGCCACAGAACAAGCTGTACATATAGCCCGCCGCGAGTGTATGGGTCGGTTTTCGTATAGAGAAGACTTGGAAGATATTTGTCAAGATTTTTGTCTTGTTTATTAACTTTGGCATTGGGGCATCAATTAACGATGCATCGGAGTCACAAAAAATTCATGGCAATTGCCAAAATTGTTAATTGTACCATTAGCAGCCAATTTACGAGATTTTCTACATTTTTTGGGCTAAATATTTTAATTAGATTAAATATTTCTCAAGAAAACAGGCTAAGTGGTGTCCTATAAAAAGACAGATCACATGATTCGCAAATAACTATATGATTGAAATGGGTAGAAATCAGTCACATATTACCACCTGGAGTTGAAGGAAGGGGCCTAACGGTGAAAGTTTGGTGCCAAAAATGTGGCGACACGGCGAAAACCATAGAAAGTCAGCGCTGCCACCGAATATACGACGAAAATTTCTCAATGTCAAGAGAGATTTCTCGATTCATATTGAACAAAAATAGATATAGTCGTGTATCTCGACTATACATACCCGGCACTTAAAGTAAAGATAATTTAACGATCTAAAGGTACTAGTTTGTGGCCTACTTTTTGGGGCTCAACAAATCAATATATAAAAAAAACTATAATTTTTAAACATATAAATCGAATCAGCCCAATACGCCCCCAAATACCCATGGTGCCGGGTATTAAAAGAACACAAAGATAGGACACTAACCAAAAATACACGGGGAAAGAGGAAGGCAACGCAGACTACTGGCAGCATGGCGAGGAAATTAAAAAAGAAAAGAGAAAAAATTAACCCAATGAAAATCTCGGACATTTCGAGCAACGAATTTTTCACATATTTTCATTTGTATGTGAATTTTTAGAATTTTCACTAGCGAAAATTTATATAATATGGCTTCTGTTACTATTTCGAGTCCGGTCCGTCGTCCGCATTAAAGGCTTGATGCCCGGACCGCACCGCACCGCACCGGACCGGACCGTTACTTGCTCCGGCTAGCCCTAGCACCGCTCCTAGAACACACTCTCGGGCGCTGCCGAGCACCGACTACTTACACCAGAAGACGGCAACGTAATCCTTGTCAGCCAGGAGCTTTTCCAACTGCTTGGCATTGACCTCCTCGATGACGGCCTCCGGCTCCGGCGGGGCAGCTGGCTGCGATCCTTTCTTGTTGTTAGCGCCATTTACATATCCGGGAAAACTCAGTGCCAGCAGAGCACACACGAGCAGCGTCAGAGTCTTGAGGCGAGTGAAAGTCATCTTTCGATTTCGACCCACTCAGTTACGGTTCTCTGCCTTCGGTACGGTTCTTCACTACGGTTCCTAAACCCTTAACTCGAACATGCGGGCGTGTGTCTGCTATTTGGTTAGCTATATACTTTATAAGTCGTTCTCGTCGTTTGGTACTTTCGTTATTAAAAATTATATTCCTTTCAGAATCGGGCACTATTTTTAGTTGATAATGGTATTTCTTCTTTCGCAATTTATTTTATGTATAACAACTTTTGGTACACTGATACATATATGCGTTGTTCGTATTTATACGGGCGAAAAATATATATAGGATATATATGAGAAAATTAGAATATATGTATATATTTATTCTTGCTTTCTGTGAATTGAACGTTTTCCGCGGACTGTACTCTAGGTTTTCAGATTTTGTTCCACTCCGTGCAGAGGTCCGCTCGCAACTGACGGTATTCCGTGGAAATCCGCTGCCATTCGAGAGGCCTTACCCGAGCTTTAGGGATCTTGAGTTTCGAGCTTTTCAAAATCCGTCCAATCCCCCCCTTCCAAAAAGCTTCGAAAACCGACAGCCGCACGGACCGACGCATGATCATGTGAAGAGTGTGGTGAAAAGTGTGTTGGCAGGAGAGATTTTCCGAAGTTTTCTTTACGTTCTCCGTTGCATTTCTCTCTGTTTATGCATTTTTACGATTGTGTTCTTACGTATACAATGGTGTATATGCAATGGCCAGAGATACGGTCGGTGGTATTACGAATCGCCCTATAAAAACAAAGAAGAATGAAAACCATTTTAAAACAAAATGTTTTGTTTGAAATCACTCGACAATGGGGCTGCGGAGGCTGAATACAGTTTTAATTGTACCCTGTAATTTCAGATGTATGTTCTTTCTTGAGTTTTCCAAAGAGATGTCTTTTTAACATTAGCGTTGCGAATTCCGAATCTTAAAAGGGATGTTGGCACACGAATTTCAGGATATCAGGAAAACTTCAAGAACAGTTAAATTTGCTTTAGGGATGCTGTTTGGATACAGGTAGTTGCCTAAAGTCCGATAGGGTCAAGAAATCGTAGACTCCTTTTCGCTGTCGTCCGGCAGGGGGAGTGGGAACGAACATGCTTTTTACCTTTCCACTATTCCACTTCCAATTCCACGATATAATTTGATAAAGTTTTGTGTTCGTCTCCGCTATAAAAACAAACCAAGCTTATGATCAGTGTTTTAAACGTAACCTCCACTTCGTACTTTATGATGGGGATCGTTTCTAACACTTTTTTGTGATAGTGATGGTGCTGTCGTAAACTCATCGATTACAGCCGATGCGCGCGAGATTTAAATTACAATTCTCTACACCAATAATATGCAGATAAGATGATAAGCATATTCTTTAGTAAAAGTGACCGACATTTTTCCCTTTTTCTAACTGGCCGCTACGGGTTCGTATAGAGATTTGTGGCAAGCTCATCGATGTGACCCAGTCTCACTACAGTTCGGCAAAATCGTGGAGGTCGTATACCACCGAACCACTGGTTTCCACAGCGGATTACATTTTTTCAATGCCACTTGTCTCAGAAAATTACCTTAATTTTATTTGCAATATTTTTTTATTATTATTCGGTAATACACTATTTGTTAATTTTCTTTTAAAATTGGATGCTGCCTGTTGGAGCAAAATCTTCCAATTAATAATAATAATTTATAATAATTTGTAAATATAATACAATTTTTTATTTCTTTTAAACTTTTAAACGTTGACGTTTTTTATGAAAAATTTAAATGTTAAAAAAAATGGTTCCATAAACATTAAAAAAATTTTATTACTTCCAAGAATTGTATTATACAATTTGTATTCCTTTTCTTATAGTTTCCTGTATCCAAGTATTTGTATTAATTAACTGGTCAGAATATTTTTCACTTATTATTCGCCAAAATTTGATGCTCACATGCAGGTTTCCAGGATGGGTCCTTGTTTATGAAATTAAAGGGGTTCGAAGTTAGACACTGGACAGTAGATATATGTCGTCGATAAAGGCGTATTCCTACAGTAAGCTGGCTTGGCGCCTATAGATGAATATTACATAAACGGTTATGCTTATAACTATAATTATTAAGCTTATAAATACAATCCATTTGTAGAAAATATCTAGTTTTTGTTGATTAATTAGTGATTCCTTAAGTTTTACAATTGGTATTGGTTCGTGTAAAGTAACATTGGTGCTTGATAATATAACTTTATATTTATTTATAGCTTTTGTTGTAGTGAATTGTATACTTCTTATTTCAAGAGTACATTGGCTATCAATAAGAAATAGTATTCAAATAAGAAAAAATGTCTTTCATTGCAAAATGTTTGGGGAAAAATCATAGAAGCACAAAAATAACTGTATAAAATTGGAGAATTCAACTTTGGATAAGTATTTTAAAGATTTGGTAACTGCTAGGTTGTTCTACCCTTGCATATTTAAAGTAGTATTTATAGTAGTATTTTTTTATAGTGTATTTATATTTTGGTCAAAAGCTTGCAGTGAAGGAGATATCTCCGACCCTACAAAGTATATATATTCTTGATGAGGATCACCTTCTGAGTTGATATAAGCATGTCCTTCTGTCTGTTTCTACGCAAACTAGTCTCTCAGTTTTAAAGCTATCGACTTGAAACTTTGCACACACCCTTCCTTCCTTTGCACACAGATCAATTTTTTTTTTTTTTTTTTGTAATAGCAGGGTAATGTTTATTTAAAACTGTCCATTAGGGACAACCATTAAATGTTATCACGTAAACTTCACTTATAGATAATTTTAAATATTAATATGGTAGAAATAAATTAGAGTAGTAAGGGAGGTCCAGCGGGTGTGTCCTTTTTAGTCTTCTGGGCTGCTCGCTGTTGTCCAGCAGGGAGCTGGTCAACCGGTTCGGGTGATTATGAAGCCTCTGCATGTAACGTGCGCTGCTTCTTTGTATCTCGTCCTTGACCCAAGGGAAATTGAGAACCTCGTGGATGGTGCGATTGTCATGATAGACGTGGGCCCCAGTGGCGATTCGAAGGGCTCTATTTTCAAAAGCTTGCATAGTTCGGACATTCGTCTTGCTCGCAGTGCCCCAGAGCTGTATGCCGTACGTCCAGATTGGGCGTATAATTGCCTTGTACATGAGGAGTTTAGTGGAAGTTCTCAGCTTCGATCTCCTACCCATAAGCCAGTAGAAGGATCGAAGTCTTTGATTAGCTTGTTTCCTCTTCTTAATCAGCCTCCTGTCTAGGGTGAATCCCAGGTACTTGGGATTGTCTACTTGTGGGATCAATAATCTACGCAGATCAATAACTGATTGATCGGAAATGGTATAACTTTGATTCAGATGAGAGCTATTTTTGGCAAAATACTACGACCCACCAAATTTAAGGATCGGCCGACTATATGACCTATATGATAACTGAACGATCGAAAATGGTTTTTGGTAGAAATACCAACTTTGGTATTTTTGAAGATAGAAGTTTGAGACTTTTTGTTTAGATATTTTATTGTAATTAATTGGTTTTATTGTGTTATTCTCATAAGGATCGGCCAACTATATCCGATGTTTGCAATATATGTATACCCGGTTTTAACTAAAAGGTCTCCGCCCGAAGTTAGCTTTCCATTCATAAATTTTAAAAATGAAATCCAAAATCCAAGTACCAAGTACCAATACCAAACGCAATTACACATTATATGGCATATATGTATGTATATGATAAAATTTGATCCATTTTATTACTTAGGTGTACCGCAGAAACTGTGGGTCATGGAACCTATGTCTGTTTTGGACTATAAATTATGCGGGAAGAAAAAGAAAAATTGGAAATAGTCGGCCTGTGTAATTACCGTTTGCTCCCAAAATAACAAACAATAAATTCATAATTTACTGAGATATCGGACTGTGAAGCAACAAACGCCTTGAGCTAGTGGCAGAGAAAATAATAAAATTTCCCTCAACAAATCCAGCTTCAAAAAGTATTTTATAGTGAAATAAGAAGAACAAAAATAAGAAAAAATGGCTCGGTTGAAACTTCATACAGGTACAATTTCAAATTCGGCGGGAAATAAGGATTTTTTAGTGGATTTTCAGGAACAGCCGATTGGTTTTGGGGAAAATCCATATCGGCATCTGGCAACACTGATCAACAAACTTTTTCCTTCTCGTTAGGTGCTTCGCATCAAATCTTTTTTGGACCCCATGCAAGTGCAAATCGCTCCGCGGTGCGTGTAGTGCATTCTAAATTACCTGTGAAAAGCCGGGAAATCCGGAGAAAGTCATCCTAGCCGCCCGCCCAGCCCGCTCAATGTAAAGGGAGTCGGCCGGCCAGCAAGAAACTTCCTCCAAAAATCAATAGCGGACGTGATTTAACTCAAGGTAACCGCCATGAATGAGACCAGCCTTTCAGGGCCGTTTATTCCCAATAACTGTGAGAGGCTGCAGATGTTGGCGGTTCACCTTGAACCCCAAACACTGCAGAAGGTCAGAATATCCGCCCGCACCCAAAATTTGCCTGAAAGCCCCGTGTGTGAGTACGCTTGGGCCCGTCTGCATGTGTATGTGTGCGAGTACATAAACATTTTGCCGCCCCCTTGATAACAGCTGTTCAGCCCGCCTGCTCTGCCTGCTCCAAACCGACCAAAGAGCTCTGTTCCCAATGTGGCGCATCGTGTTTCACTGCGCAGTTCCTATTCGCTTATCGGGAATTCTTGGTTTTATCCAGCTGGGGCAAGCCAGATGCGGGTGGGAGCCACCAACGGGGCAAGGCGAAGGTGAAAGTCATCTGCTGCAACCGGACGCCGCCGTTGGCTGGCTAGTGTAAAACCCGTTATGCAGAGCAGCTGTTTTAAGTCTTTCCCACTAAGTGGGCCAGAAGCGCCAAGTGCTCCGACACAGCTTTGTCCACATTTGGTGTCGGGTACTTAAGGCAGTCTGGGCTCGTGCCAATTCTGCAGTTACATCCGGATAGTCGCACCCAGCTGAAGTGGCTTTCGTAATTTAGAAGCTCGTCAACTCTAATTGAAGATTTCTTTGTTCGTTCGCAGGGTGCACGGCAAATTGAAGGCTTTTATGTGATTATTACTATGAAATTGGATGAAATTGTTGAATGGTAAGTACGTACATTGGTTGGCTGACCCCCCGCTTACCTAATATTTGCTTTGTAGGTACCAGAAGAAAATCGGCACTTATGACAAGCAAGAATGGGAAAAGACCGTCGAACAGCGGATCTTAGATGGCTTCAATAACGTCAACTTAAAGAACACAAAGCTGAAAACGGAGTTAATCGATGTTGATCTGGTGCGCGGTGAGTAGGTCAGGCTATAACTGTTAGAACTATTGATGGAAAACGATAATGGAAATTTCAGGTTCCACTTTTCCAAAGGCGAAGCCCAAGCAGTCTCTTCTCACTGTGATCCGTTTGGCCATACTACGTTATGTGTTGCTGCCGCTTTACGCCCAGTGGTGGGTCAAGCAGACCACGCCGAATGCCTTTGGCTTCATCCTGGTTCTCTATCTCACCCAGCTTCTTAACTGGGCCATCTTCGTGTTACACACCAGTCGCCTTGTGCCGCTGGGTTACGACAACGCGTCGAACGGGTCCATTTTTGCAGGCCGGCCAGCTAGGGATGGTGAAGGACTAGATGGCGACAGGACTGCGGACAAGCAGGCGGAAGAACATGCCGACCTGCTCAGTGCTTTGCTAATCCCGTGCGCCTTAAGCCTGCTAATTAGTCTGATCCACTCTCAGATCGTGGCTACCAACACGGCGACGGGAAGCGCGAGTGGAAATAGCAAAAGCAAGCTACGGCGCATTTCAATGACCAATGTTAGCGACAAGAACTCAACCCGCGAGCACAGAGTACGTCGCCGAAAGAAGTTCTTCCGGTAGGTACCTTTGGAAATTTTTTAGGAATTTCTTTTCTAATTTTTATTTATGAAATATTTTTTCAGCATTCGCCAGCCGGAAGTGGAGTTGTCGCAGCCCAGCAGTAATACCTCCCTACCAGGCCGTCGCAACGTAGCCAGTGTAATCGATGTGATCTCCCGGCCTGTCACCCCAACGCCAATAATTTCTTCTATTACAACAACCTGTGCCATAGTACCCGATCCCATCCTTCCTGCAACGCCACCGCCTGTCGTCATCAAGCGAACGCCCGCAGAGGAGACCTACCTGACCACCACTGCCATTAGCTCCCTTCCTCAGGCCGACGAAGCGGACATTGATCTCAACAGACAGGAAGGGGGAGCTGCTCCAGAAAGTCCAAAGAAACGAAACGTGAATTGGCACACCCCTATCCAGATCTGCGCCACATATGAGCCCGGCGATCAGCCTTCGTCGAGCCATATAATAGTGGATGAACCTGCGGATCACGAGATTGGTAATCGAATAGAGACACCTAAACCTGCATATCAGACGCGGCGCAGCATTGGCGAGGACGACGGCTTCGAGAGCCTGAATGGAAAGAGCTCCAGCGGCGAGGACAACAACCATTCGCCTCTGCCCAACGCGCCTTCGGCTGTGCCACCAGTGACTACTCAAAGCAGTCAGCTTCGACTGCGATTGAACGCTACCACTGGCGAAGAAAAGAAGGTTCCGACGCGTGGCAATGAGTCAACCACAAGCTGTGCAGAATCAGACGAATGTGACGATGCAGATCACGCGTCCGGCACGCCCTCCACCTGCAATCAGGATTGCACCACCTCGGCAACCGACTGGCTGGGTGTTACCACCAACAGCGAGGACTGCAGCTACACCTCGGATATGGATCACTCGGACGGAACTTTTAAGCACGCGGCGTGCAGCGATGAGGATCCCTGCGAGCTGGACATCACGCCCACCACCATACTGAATCCCCACAGCAGCTTGGATCGAAGTGAGTTCAACAGAATCCGTATTCTAAGATGATCTTCAATCTAACTCAATAATCTCTCCCCAGTTAGTTGCACCATTTGGGACCAACGAGATGCCAAGAAGGCGCAGCTGTCAGTGCTGGAAATCGCTTCGTGCATCATTGAGCGTGTCGACTCAATGGGGGAAACTAACGATTACATCTACATAGGCGTGGTATTCTCCTTTCTTCTCTCGCTCATCCCAGTTTTCTGCCGGCTCTGCGAAATGACTCTGGGAAGCGACTCGGAGAAGGCCGCTGAGATTAGCTACTTTTACGTGCCGCAACTTTTGTGGGAAAAGTCCTTGGCTTCGCCCAGCACCCTATTGGGCTTTGCCTTCGGTGAAGCTCGCTGGGAACGAACTGTGTTGGCCCTGGGATTCGTGCAGCGCCTCTGCCTGACCCTTATCCTATTCGTTATATTCGCCGTTGCTGAGCGCACCTTCAAACAGCGATTCCTCTATGCCAAACTCTTTTCCCACCTGACATCGTCTCGGCGAGCCCGCAAATCAAACTTGCCACACTTCCGCCTCAATAAGGTGCGCAACATCAAGACCTGGCTAAGTGTTCGATCGTATCTAAAGGTAAGTCGTCCCAAAGGCACGTCCAAATAATCCACTACAGTACAAATCTTGAAATTGTTTACAGAAACGAGGGCCCCAGAGGTCTGTGGATATCATTGTGTCCGCCGCATTCATAGTCACGTTACTCCTACTGGCCTTTCTGAGTGTCGAGTGGCTAAAGGATTCCGTACACTTGCACACCCACCTCACTCTGGAGGCTCTGATGTGGTCGATCACTATCGGAATCTATTTGCTGCGCTTCATGACCCTTGGGCAAAAAATCCAGCACAAGTACCGCAGCGTTTCAGTGCTAATCACCGAACAAATTAATCTATATCTGCAGATCGAGCAAAAACCCAAGAAGAAAGAGGAGCTGATGGTGTCCAATAGCGTGCTTAAGTTGGCGGCCGATCTGCTGAAGGAGCTCGAAACACCGTTCAAGATCTCTGGCCTCAGCGCCAACCCATATCTATTCACAACCATCAAGGTGGTCATTCTGTCAGCCCTTTCGGGAGTGCTTAGCGAGGTTTTGGGCTTCAAGCTGAAGCTGCACAAAATCAAGATCAAGTGAATCTTGCTGGGCTCCGGACCCAACACATTTTGTAGTACAATTTTTCGAAACGCTTTAAGAGAAATCTACAATTAGACCTATCTTTGATTAGTTAATGAATAAATTTAAGCAAGCCAATGTTTATTTTTGTCAAGTGATTGTTCAGCAGTGTACACAAGCCTACTAATGACTACGTAAATCAATATTATTAGTATTTACCACTTACCTTCTAGAGCGACCTGCACAATCACAGATCATGTTAACTATAATTGTGTAACGAATCGTATTAAAGTTCATAGAACTTTTAGCATAATGAAGTGCACCCTTCGTAGTTGCCTAATTATTTTGTTAAAAGGTCTCAAGTTTAATTCCTAAATGGTCAAAGCTAGTGAGTTGCAATTAATAAATAATATCAACCCATACAAATGTGTTATTAAACAAGTTATTGCTTTAACAGGTGAAGTCGGGAGGTTACAAAAAAATAAAGGATAAGTATCAAAGTCCAAAAGTCTACAAACATTATAGGTATGCTTAGTAATCATAATTTCTTCGCAAGATATCCGATGGAAAATGATAAATATATCATTTCATTGAAGGTTGTATATATGTCAGTAAGTACTTAAACAAAATTCATTATTGATTCATTGAAAAATTATTTGATTTGGTTAACCAATAGGCTTATTCTATTTAATTGATAATGCTCATAATTATAATCATAATTAAAATTAATAATTATTATTTATGTATTCCCTTTTATATTTATTTATAAATGTGCAATTTTTTAGGCCAATAATTTTATGCTTCTTATATAATGGTGCAAGATGCCTATTTCTTTCTTTATTGTCCCTGTATATTTCAATTTATTAGGTTTTTATGCAACAAAAGTGATTTTTGTATATTCAAAATTTTGAAAAGCAATCGATTGATCGATAGATTATTGCACGATCGATCAGCTGTTGAGTTGCGGTTATCGGTATCAACCACCAGCCACCAAAACAGAAAATTGACGTAACACCCCCACTCGCGTGGTTAATTCGGCTTCTAACTCCCAAATTCCCCCACCAAAATGATCAGGCTGAGTGCGCTGCTGCGGTTCCCGGTGGCCTCTAACCTGCTTCGCAGCCAGACCAGGTTGCTCCACGTGGGCGAGGCAAATGTCTTGCCCAGTGAGGTGGACAAGCAGTCTGCCGAGTACAAGGTATAGCACCTGTATACATATATACTGGCACCAAAGATCTAACATACTGATTCCCCCCTCCCCTTCAGGAAAATGCCACTGAAATGGGAAAATTAGTATCAGAGCTGCGAAACTTCACCAGCCAGGTGTTGACGGGAGGTGGCCAGAAGGCCATAGATCGGCACACGGCGAGGGGAAAGCTACTGGCCAGAGATCGCATTAACCTTTTGCTGGACAAAGGCTCTCCATTCTTGGAATTATCTGCTCTAGCCGGACATGAGCTGTATGGAGAGGAAGTAGTCAACTCTGGTGGAATCGTAACCGGAATAGGACGTGTGTGTGGGTAGGTACCCACCTGTTGCTTCACGAGTTGTGATATTTTTCCCAATATGGCGAGCTGGGGGAACACTTTTTAATAATTTAAAACTTTAAATAGTTATGTAGTTTCGTAGCAAAGTTGGATTTAACTTTTAATTAGTATTTAAGTATTCACTAAGCCTTTTATTAATAACCTTAATATACTTATTTTAGGACAGAGTGCGTGGTGGTTGCCAATGACGCTACTGTGAAGGGAGGCAGTTACTATCCCATTACTGTGAAGAAACATCTTCGAGCCCAGGAAATCGCTCAGGAAAACCGTCTGCCCTGCATTTACCTTGTGGATTCCGGCGGAGCCAACTTGCCGCGGCAGGCGGATGTCTTTCCGGACAAACTGCACTTTGGACGCATCTTCTACAACCAAGCTAACATGTCAGCTCAAGGGATCCCGCAAATCGCTGTGGTAATGGGCAGCTGCACAGCTGGAGGAGCCTATGTTCCGGCAATGGCCGATGAGAGCGTCATTGTGAAGAAGCAGGGAACCATTTTCCTGGCTGGTCCACCGCTAGTGAAGGCAGCTACCGGAGAGGAGGTGTCCGCCGAGGACTTGGGCGGTGCCGACCTGCACTGCAAGACTTCAGGAGTAACGGATCACTACGCGGTGGATGACGAGCACGCCTTACATCTAGCCCGGCAGATCGTCAGTAATCTGAACTTGCCGTCGACTAACCGGTACAACGACAGATTGCTGCACTCTAGCCAGCTGAATTTCCAAGATACTAGTGCACAGAACCTGGTGGAAGAGCCTCGATATGACCCCCGTGAGTTGTACGGTATTGTGGGCCCCAATCTTACGAAGAGTTTTGATGTACGCGAGGTTATTGCTCGCATCGTGGACGGCAGCCGATTCACTGAGTTCAAAAAACTCTACGGAGAAACTCTAGTATGCGGATTCGCGAAGCTATATGGAACCAGCGTGGGCATTGTCGGAAACAACGGAGTCCTATTCTCCGAGAGCGCCCTCAAGGGCGCGCACTTCATCCAACTGTGTGCCCAGCGAAAAATACCCCTAGTGTTCCTGCAAAACATTACAGGTAAGTTAGCGGAAAATTTATTCAAATAGCATTTTTAATAGCATTTTGTTTGGTCGCTTTAGGTTTCATGGTGGGACGTGACGCTGAAGCCAACGGAATTGCCAAAAACGGAGCCAAAATGGTCACTGCCGTGGCTTGTGCAAATGTGCCAAAGTTCACGGTTATCATCGGAGGCTCCTATGGCGCAGGGAACTACGGAATGTGTGGACGAGCCTACTCGCCGAGATTCCTCTATATGTGGCCAAACTCACGTATTTCCGTAATGGGCGGCACCCAGGCCGCCAATGTCCTGGCCCAGATTACTCAGGATCAGCGAAAACGTGCAGGCAAGGAGTTCACCGAGGAAGAGGCCCAGAAGCTAAAGGCGCCCATCGTGGAGATGTTTGAGGCAGAGGGCTCTCCCTACTATAGCACGGCTCGCTTGTGGGACGATGGCATCATCGATCCAGCCAATACACGCCAGGTCCTGGGACTAAGCCTGAAGGCAGCCTTGAACAACTCCGGTCACGAAACCAAGTTTGGAGTTTTCCGCATGTGATAGATACACAACAGCGTGACGAAAGCTCGGGGAGCAAGTGCATTTACGGGCATTTAATGCCAACCTTTAAATTGAAACGATTGCATTTATTAGCTTTAGGTAAATGGTTGATTTTATATTTTATTGTGTTTTTAGACTCTAAAAATGCCAAAATGTCTCGTGCTGAATGATAAAGAACGGCAATGTATGTAAGCTAAGCACAATATTATTTTTCTTGTAAGTCCCAACAAGGAAAAATTTGTTTTTAAAATATATAAATTGAGATTAAAAAAATGAATGAATCCATGGTCTAAATTATTGGGTGTTTATTTAGTTGTTAGACCCTAGATTGGTGTGATACGATCTGAAATCGAAACTTGCGCACGAACTAATAAAGCGATAATACTAATTTTTAAGCAATTCTAAAAGGGATAGAACTTATTATTACTGAAAAAGAACACATCCAATATATTATATTTTATCCGTTAGAGTTCAAATTCAAAAAGACTGTTTTCGCGCCTTCTAAATGGAATGCGCTAGTGATGTGTAGAATTACGCTATAAAAATCGAAATTTGCTATAAAACGTTTCAAAATTCTTACATCTCTATTACCCGATTCGTACACTGATATAAAATCGATACCTATATTTTTACAAATATATGGTTTCTCCTATTCCAGAGCATTCCAGTTAGATCAGAGGCTATTTGAAGGAAACAAAAAAAAAATCGTCACCCAACGTATTTGTAAGTGCTAGGATTGTTAACGGCTACCCAATATTTTTGTAGATTTTATAAATCATTGAACAGGCGAGAGCAATTGTGATTATCTAACCAATTTAGCCCAAAGCATTTTTTGTTCTAACAGAAACATAAATAAAGTCAAATTTAAATAAAAGTTAATACAATCTAGGTTCTAGAATGATCTAGGTTCTAGAGTTTTACAAACTTAATTCTTGGTCATTTTTTCTAAGTGTATATTTATTTCCGATTCGCACATGCACTTGCACAAAAGCGAATTCCTTAACCGAGCGTCAGAGAGCCGCTTCAGAGATGTGTTTTCAATTTATAAATATCGATACATCGGTGTTTCCCCATAACATTCTCCACCTCTAGCTCGCCTCGTTCGCCAGAAAAAACGCTTGTCGCAGAATCCGCATTTCTTTGTTTTAAATTTTATACATACAGGAGGAATCCAATCAACTAAACTGACTTAAACAGGAGCTAAACAATTCAACAGCCGACCAGGTGAGTGGGCGCTAGACCGGGCGGCATTCCGCATCCAGGAAAGCGTTTGTGGTATCAGCGTCCGTGCGGCTGCGACTTTAGTGTGCGTGTGTGTGGCGGCTTTTTCGCAAAAAAAGAAGAAAAAAGAGCAAGAGAAGAAATGGCAAAGTCTAGAAGTAGCGTCAGCAGAAAAGAAAGTTCACTGGGAGCCGAGTGGAGTGGATGTGGCGATTTTAAAATAACCTGCCGAAAACTTCAAGTGCGCACTTGATCCGTCGCAGGCGGAGCGGGAGCGTGCAGGGAGAGGTTTGGGAAATAGCTGTACTCGGCGGAGTCCGACGGCTATGCGGATGCATCTGTGTGCGTTAAATGTCGCCTGCTGCTGTTCCCTCCTCCAAAAATAAAATTTAGAGAGTGCGTCCTGCCGCGACTGTGTTTGTGTGGTGCGTGTGTGTTCGCTTGTCAGTCCCGGTGCGCTGGTGTGGGTAAGTGCCACAGCCGCAGCAGAGGCCGCAAAAATTCCACTGCAGAGGCTAATCTTCCCCGCCCCGCCCTCGAGTCGGCTACCCGCTGGCTCTCGCCACGCAAGGAAACCATATTTCCTAGTCCCATTCCGTTCAGGTGCGGTTTGTTTTGAGCTCTGGCTTCCAATCCGATGACGTCACCGAATGTGTCAACTCTTTTATGGGTTATCCGTCTAGCCCCCGCGCTTGGTTCTTAAATACCCACAGAGCTGCACGTAGGTGTATGTGTTTGGTGGCTGGTGCCCGTGCCTGTGTGTGTCCAGCTACCAACAATTGGTGGACTTGTTTTGTTTGTTTCTGTCTTAGATCGAGTTACTATTTTTATTGGCTTCAATAAAATCGGCGACGCCGACGCAGCCTTCTTGGTTTGTTTGTGTTGTTCCGACGACTTGCCGGTTTCGCTTAGCCTTCCTTTTCGAGCGCCCAGCCATCACAGCGCTGATGGGGATTTGGTCGCTAATATTGGCATATTTACTCTTCACTCAACCCAAGCGGCTTACTGCCGTACCGTGGCTGTTGACACACTTCCAGTGGGGGCAACATGCCTCGCGTTTGATGCTTTCAAATATGGCTAGAGGACGCCGAATGTTCCGCCGGCGAAGTGGGTTAAATGGACGCCCATTTGGGGAACTGGTCCCCCTTTCCAGCCTCGGTCTTCCTGGTTCTGCCTAATTAGTTCGCTGGCAACTTCCGCTTAACCTCCCACACACTCCGAAATCGACAGCCACAACAAACTACCAGTTCAACTTGTTGTATTTGGGGCAGGGCTATTGTGCCTCCTGCTGGCGGAGGGAGCTCTTAAATCGATAAACTAGCAGCGACCCGCTCGCAATTGAGTTGGAGTTCCGCCCTTTCGGGTCAATGCACTCGCACACTCACACAAACACACAGAAACAGGGCAATCGCACTGGCAAAAGGTAGCATGGCAGAACTACGGGAACACTCAAACTCGGGAACACACGCCGGAGCCAGTCGGGGTATTTATAGGCTGACTCTCAAATACCGGCCAATTCTTTATCTCGGAGGCCCACGATGCACTGTCGTCTTTGACTCTGCTGGCCAGGCTGAAACTGATAATGCCAGTGACGCAGCCCCAATCCCAATGACTAATCTCGGTGGGTTTCTTCGAGAAAGATGCGGCGACAGCGGCAACGGCAGCGACAGCGACGCGGGCAGCGAAGCGGCGCAACGAAAACGCGTAGCCGTCGCCCCACAGTCCAAGTTCATTGTTCGCGCGCTCCAGTCTCCGGATCGAGCTCTTCGCGCCTCCCATTTCTCCGGGCTCTTCTTGCTTACGTTCTTGTAAGTTTCCAAGATTGTTTTGCGGCAACAATCCAATCCGGTTTATCGAATAGAAAGGGACTTTGTTTTTTTATTCGGGTGCTTTAAATAGGCAAGACTGCTTTCATGCCAAATATAAACTTTTTAAAATGTGTGGCGTGCAAATTTTGGAGAAATTTTAAAATTCATTAAACCAATATCAAAGAAATTATACAATTATCTCAACCAGAATTTAAATAAAACAATGTTGAATTGTTTCCGTTTAGGATACAACTTTAAGGAAATAATAATGCAAATTTGAACTAATTTAGTGGAAGAAGCCTCAAGTTACAAATTAAAAAAAGCTGCGTTTCGTTGAAAACTGACTATTTCAAAACCAATATCCAATTAATACAAATTTATTAGGCTTGGTAAGCAATATTAGTCACGATGAGTCAATCCAACTATTTGTTTATTCAGCTGGTCGTTAACGGAATTTAAATCGCTATTAGAATCGGGTGATTATTGTGTTAACCAAGAAAATCAACAATACCTTTTCTTGAAGAAAACAAACAGGAAGGGTAGAGCAGCTGGGAAACTCGATATTGAGGATATCCAGCTGCTTCTTGAGCCCTTAGTGATTAGTTTTATACTTCAATGGGTATAGTTTTCATAAAAAAGCATTTTAGCCTAACACTGAATGCTCCAAAGCCACACTTTTTTACTAAAACATGACTAGAATTACCCTTATAAAATGTAAAAAATCACAGCCCTTTTTAAAAGTCAAAGAGTAGGCAGGAAAGCTGCCAAAATTCATAGGCAACAAGCAGGCAGTAGAAGTATTTCAGATCAGAGCATTCCTTTAGGGGCAGACGTACCATATGTACAAACGAAGCCCACAGGAAAACTAAATCATTGAGAGAATTTAAGTTTAAGGCTAGAAGGAAGGCAGAAGGCATATTTACAGAGAAAGAGCAAGGGTTTGGTAAGTGGATATTGGCTCGGGGAAAATGCATAGAGTTATGTTGGATTCGAAAGGCGTTCGTGGTGTTCTCTAGTCCATTCCAACAATCGAACATCTTCGCGACAGCGCAACCGGCCAAACAACTTTCATTCGACTAGCAATAATGTACCACAGATTCGTACACTGCAACGGCAACAATAATGACTACGGTGGCCGCTTGCCTTTTGGCGATGATTATCATGATCTTGATATTGAGCACGCACATGGCACACGCTTGAATGCACTCAGAGCCACAGCAATTACATACTCGGGCAATTAAATGCTGTTCGTGCCGGTGGCCCTCCCCCAGAGACGCGGTAATGGATTGACCACTGCAGCGGTACTACAGGTTCCCCAATTTTCCTTTCAGCGCCGCACAAGAAACCAGAGGACACCCACATCATGGCTGTTAACGTTTACTCTACAAACGTGACGTCGGAGAATCTTTCGCGCCACGACATGCTGGCCTGGGTCAACGATTGCCTCCAGTCGCAGTTCTCCAAAATCGAGGAACTGTGCACGGGTAAGTGAGCGTGCGATGATGGAGTCATCAGGGAAGTGCCCATTTATATCCGCCCTCTTCCCGTTTTAGGCGCCGCATACTGTCAGTTTATGGACATGCTGTTCCCCAATTCAGTGCCCGTGAAGCGTGTCAAATTCCGTACGAATCTGGAGCACGAGTACATACAGAACTTTAAGATTCTTCAGGCGGGCTTCAAAAAGATGTCTGTGGATAAGGTAACGTCAGCTTGGTGCTCTTAGACTTTTCTTTTGTTGACTCGCACACACCAACCGATCCAAGAATGATTTTATGTAAAGGGGCCGGTGGTGCAGTGGAAACTCTTGCTGCGGGTGGCGGGCACTTGGCAGCCGCAGTAGGAGGGTTTCGACTGCACCGCTCGAAACTTATGTGTAGTAACTAACTGGAATTTCCGTTACAAATCATCGTCGCGACCGCCACACCCCAACCGAAACAGATCATACCAGTTGACAAACTGATTAAGGGCCGTTTCCAAGACAACTTCGAGTTCCTCCAGTGGTTCAAAAAGTTCTTCGACGCAAACTATGACGGCCGAGAGTACGATCCCGTGGCGCAGCGGGGCGGACTTAAGCTGGGCAACGGCAATGGGCATGGCAGCAACGGCGGCAGCGGCGTGGGCAGCAGCAGCAACGATCTCCACATAGCACACCGCCGGCCTCTGCAGGCACCCACCACCAGTAGCCGCATGGCACCTCGCGTCACCACGAACACGGGTATGGGAAAGGACGGGGATTTGTTGCATCGAATTCCATTGTCCCTCGGTATTGGGTGCGCGCCATCTCATTGGGTTCCTGAATCGAACGAACGTGAAGCACGCAGTGGGGCTATGCCGAGTCGAGATGACACACCATGCACACCACTGTACCTACCACTCCATCACCGCACACTGTACTCGTACTGTTCCAGAGCACCACTTGCCGCACACGCATTCAGTTGCATCCCAGCACACAGCACGCGATTGGGGCTCAATCCAACCACTAATCTGAGATCCAGAGCCGCCCGGAACTTGTTGCTCTGACAATTGGGGTGGAAAAAGGGTTTTTGTTTGCGTTTATGTTGATTGTTTACCTTTAGTTTGTTCCCATTGCATTTGGTTTCACCCCACACTCTCTCACCTGTCTCTTCATATTTCTTAACCATTTTCTTTTAGATTATACCCATTGACAAGTTGATCAAGGGGCGGTTCCAAGATAATTTCGAGTTTTTGCAATGGTTCAAAAAGTTCTTCGACGCCAACTACGACGGCAGGGACTACGATGCGAGCGCTGTGCGCGAGGGCGCCCCCATGGGCTTTGGATCGGGTGCCGCGAAGCCCCTGCCCGGCGCGGGCACCAGCGGCGTGGCCGGCAGCTACCGACGGGCTGCACCGACGACGACACGCCCGGCAACGACGTCTGCAGTGAAGCCCAGTATGTCGTATTGGTTTGGTTTTCCCCGATCTCTCCTTCAGCTTATCCCTACTATCGCTCTATCGCTCCTCCCTAACCGCTCATCATACACTCAGTCCTCCTGGTCAGACAATGTACATACAAACATACACACGCTCCTTTCTGTTATGTAGCCTAATGCATGTCCAAAAACTAGAATACAGACACTGAACACGAACAGCTGCACTGGCTGCTCGAGCGTGCTTCACGTTTGTCTAGTCTCCGAGCTTGCGGATGCTAACGGTGCCCGTCAAATACTAACATCGCTATCTTCTCGCCCATTCAAGCAGTCTCCAAGGTGGTGCCTCGCACGAACAATGTGGCGCCCCCGAGCAGAATGGCGGCCGGGAACAGCACGGGCACGGTGAAGAAGAACGACGCCGGCAACTCGGTCAGCAACCAACAGATCGAAGAAATGTCTAACCAGGTGGGTGAAGATCAAGAATGTATCAAGAGTTCAGAAACTTATTTTCCGCGTCAGGTAATGGACATGCGCATTAATCTGGAGGGACTAGAAAAGGAGCGCGATTTCTACTTCTCGAAGTTACGCGACATAGAAATACTGTGAGTTGGATATGCCTTGCTAACCTGTTTGCTTAGTCTGACCCACCAATATTTTTTAGTTGCCAAGAAGCTGATGATGGCGAAGCACATCCTCTCATTCAGAAGATACTAGACATCCTGTATGCAACCGAGGTAAGATGCTTCTAAATCTGCCACGATAGCAGTTCTTAAATCCTCGTGTACTTTCAGGATGGATTTGCACCGCCCGACGATGCACCACCAGAGGATGAAGAGTATTAATTAAAACAGTAAAAACAAAACAGCCCACGAAATTAATTTGCTACATACATATTCAAAACATAAGTCACGAGCAAGAGATGGGAGTAAACAAGTTATAGTTAGTTAGTCTGGAACGAAGATGTACAGTATATGAGACGATGTGCAACCGCGTATAGAGTATGATTCCCGAATATCTAGAAAAGAGCTTTAGCGCCAGTCGATCAGATATATGACGAACTATATTTTGATTCGAAGAGGCCGCTGCACGATCGCTCCTATACGGGTACCACTTTAATATCATACAGAACTTTGGATTCAAAATTTCACCATCGCTGCTGATGTCGAGCGAAAAGCGAACGGGCATCAATATTTCATAATTAAATTGTTTGTATTTTAGCGGAATAAAATAATTTGTACACACCTTATGGAATGCTGAGTCCGTTGCTCGAGCCGAAGGCATTCTTACAAATCCTCTGACAAATTGTTCAAAAGGCCTATAATTAAAAATAAAGTTTCATTTTCTTTTTTCTGTATTATACGCTATACACAGTTAAAACCAATTAATTAGTAATCGTCACTTAGGATGCTGGCTTTAATCGTTTTGAGTGTATGTAGCGGATCAAATGCCCCGAATTTTTGTAATGTGAAAATATTTAGCAATGAGATGACATTCGACTAACGTATATTTTTACTTTCGATTCTTGAAAAATTGGCTGCATAACAAAATTATACACACATATGATAAGTGACTTTGCTCTCAACTCGATTAAGTTCTGTATTTATATGTAAAATCAGGTAGAACACGTTAAAAGTTTAAATAAAAACGAACATCTCTTTTATTTATAAACACCCCAACACTTTTATTATTTTGGATTTATCTACCCCCATCCCCGCTTTTGATCGCTGTAAATATTTTGTTAAAGCTTGTATATTCATTCAAAAATATAAGCAAAACACTATGCACAGACTTACACTAGATGTACGCTCATGGCTCATTCAATAATCGAGATTATAATTAACGTTCTATAATCTAGAATAAAAACCACGTGTTGCTTGATTCAAAATTAATGCATTTATCATTTTCACATAATTTGCCGAAGCATGAAACTATTTAACGGCCGCCTGGATGTGCGGTTGTTTGTGGGTCCCGTCGCAGAACGGCCGGTGGGTGGTTTGTTTGCAGTTACACAGCCAGTAGTCGCCCGACTTCTCTACCTTGAACCGGATAGGCCTGAAAAATACTCGAAATATTTACCTTCGAATGTATGAATAATTTGTCAACTGAACATACCTCTGTTTTATTTTAAGGAATTCGTTCTTGTGCATTCCGTCACACAGTGGCTGGGATTTGGACTTGCCGCACAGGCACCAGCTGTAGGTCTTGTCTGTGTGAAGCAAGTTGTGGTTATGTAAACAATTGCCGGTTGCCCCTGACTGGATTAGAATGGGAAACTTACCTTTGTCCAAATGAATTTTGAATGGACGCTTGTCGAAGATGGCTCCGTTCTCCTTTTGCAAAACGGCGGTTTGCTTATCTTCTAATAGATTCTTGGGAATTGTCTTTGCGGCAGCGTCTCCGGACTGAGCACTGGAGCTGTAGGCTAAGCTGGGGCATGCTTGCTTGAATGCAACTTAAATTTCAGTAAATGCTCGAATTGTACGTTATCCGGTTTCGTATTTACCTTGATGAGCCAGCACGACCGTAAGTTTTGTCTCAATATTATTGACATGTTTTAGATGTTTTTCTAGTTTGACCTCCTACAGCTGTTTCTTGCTACCTCTATCGGTATATCGATATATATTTCAAAAGCTTTAAATTGATAGTTCGATAGGCATCGATCGGCGCTACCGCTTTGCTTCAACTATCGCAGTCCAAGGTCGACTTTTTTGAAATGCTATTTCGCCATTCCGAAATCTGCTCCTCCGATAAGGAAAGAGATAAGACTCGGATGCGCCTGGAAGCTTCATTCGTGCCCGCAGGTAGCCACATACCTTCGGCAATCGCCTCCCCTGATCTGAGTGAAAACTCTGAATTCTGAACCGTAATGACTGGCAGACACCCGCAAGATACTCCAGATAAGACGATTTATCAAGCGGCCCCGTTAGACAAGCTGATTAGTCCCACCGCCTAAAGATTTCTCTACGTAATACGCTTTATTTTACAAATACTAGGGGTTTGGGTGCGGAGAACTAGAACTCGTCGTTGAAGGGATAGTACTTGTGTCCCGACATTCCAGAAAATGGTACCGTGCGCTGTCCCGTGTGGTACTGCTCCATGCTCTGGAAGTCCTCTGGCTCCAGCTCAAAGTCGAAGACCCGGAAGTTCTCCTCGATGCGTGCCTTGTTGGAGGACTTGGGCAGTGGAATGACGCCCAGTTGAACTAGATATCGAAGGCAAATCTGGGCTGTTGTGCGTCCGTACTTCTTGGCCAGCTTCTGGGCGTGATCATCGTAGAGGAAAGGAGGCCATTGGCGGGCGGGTTGAGGGCGGGCCAGCGGGCAGTAGGCGCAGATGACCAGGCCGTGCTTCTTTGCGTGCTCGCGCAACTGCCTCTGCTGGAAGCCAGGATGGCACTCCACTTGGTTAACGACTGGGCGAATGCGGCAGTTGGCCAGCACCCGCTCTGTCTGCGCGGCGTTAAAGTTGGAGAGGCCGATACTGCGCGCCAGGCCCAGGTCCACCAGCTTCTCCATCTCCCGCCAGGTATCCAGGTAGTCGACGTCTGTCAGCTCGAGGGTGCCGTGGACATTGCTGTCGTTGTGGAACTTCTGTCCGACGGGCATGTGCATCAGGTAGAGATCGACGTAGTCCAGGCCCAGGTTGCTCAAGCTGAGACGGCAGGCGCGCTCCACCAGCGTGGGGTCGTGGTGGATGCCTCCTAGCTTGGTGGTCACAAAGACGTCGCCGCGAGATACAACTCCCTCCTGGATTTTCTCGGCGATGGCTTGGCCGACCTCCGCCTCGTTCTCGTAGACGAAGGCGGTGTCGAGGTGCCGGTAGCCCACGTCGAGGGCATGACGCGTGGAGTGGTAGGCGTCCGACTCAAACGACTTCCAGGTGCCCAGGCCGAAGATCGGCATCTCGCGGCCGTTGCTCAGCTTGATAGTGGGAGCTAAATTTGTCATCTCGGTTCGGTGGAACTGATAATTAGTGCAGTGTAAATTAAACGCTATGTTTCTATGGTTTTCGAGTGTTCGGAGCGGTCTGATCCGGCAGTTCGAAGTCTTCGCGAGCAACTGGTGTTGATTTTCAACAGACTAGCAGCTGCTGTGTCATCCGATGACGGCATGGTTAGATTCAGGTTATTCCCAGTGGTTCGGAAAGCTCTTTATTAAATCGAAGCTTTTGCGCGCACAATTCAAAAGAAAAGGGAAGGCATGTTGGTTTGTAATCAAAATTAAAGGTAAAAATTATAATTTCGTTTTAAACCTTCATTTTTAAATTTGTAAAATAGATATTTAGCATAGAACTTCGTTGAGCTTGGTAAAGCGTTTTTAAATTTATCAAATTCCATATAATTATAATCGGTATGGACAAAACTTCATACGGATAAAAAAATGGCTGCTCCAAAGCCTGCGGTTTTCCGACCAATGTTATGAATCGTAACTTATTATTGAACTCAGTATATCAAATAAACTCAGCTTAGCCAAAGTGACTAAGTGCTTGGTACAAAAGGTATTCAAAAATTAAAGTTATTCCCATAAAATGAGGAAAATACTCTCCCAAATAAAAACTATAAAAATCAAATTCCCGCAAAAAACACCTTTGATTTAAAACATAAGTGGTAGCTGTGCTGGACTAAAGTGAAAGATCTGTGGGAATTGTCTTGAACGCTGAGAGCTTTTCACGGTGGGATACGCAGGTTTCATCGGAAGCAAAGTTGGTGTTTACCAAGCTGGAAATCTCCCAAACGGCATTTCCCAAACCCCGGAGTTCCTCGCCAATTAATAAAAAAAAATAACTAGCTTAAGGGGAGGTTCTTTTGGATTTTTCCGAAAATTAAGCAAACTTTGAGAATGGGTTGCGGGAAAATGAAAAGACATACGAACTTATGCTTTATTAACGATTAAAAAAAATATTCAATATTCGGGAAATTCTAAATGGCGGCTTCAAAATGGCGGATCTCGTCGACCTCTATTTTTCTGCTTTGTCTAGTGTCGGGCCGCTGGTAGTGAACGGAAATTAGAAATGTATATAATTTATTAAAATTGATGGAATTTCCTATTCCTTATACCTAACGACAATTAATTTTGGTAAAAATAAACCAATTTCATGGAAGTTTAAAAAAAAAACGACATTTTTTCATTTATTTTTTTACTTCGATTTCGTTTAAAAATTATAAATAAACAATTTTTTATGCCAATTTTAGGTATAAGGCATACAAAAGAGTATGTACTTTTAAACATTTTTTGAATGAAGGAAATCGGATCAATAGAACGAGAACTGTGCGCGAAAAGAGGTTTGAAAAAATGGTTCCGAGAAAAACGCGTTTTAAGTTTTTAGAAACTTTGCCTTTCGATAGCTTTCTTGTTATCATGGGTATGTGTGACACGCTCTAGCTCAAGAAATACGTGTCGTATCGAAACAACCCTTGAATGAACAACCCTATCGAATATTCTACACATACAGTTGCGGCAAAAAAAATAGCACTGAGATGCACAATTTTCTATAATGCATTACAAATTATGTTTTACTTTGAAATTGTTTTGATTATTTTATTTTACAATGTAGGCTTACATGTTATCTCTATGAGACAAGTGAATTAAATCTCAATTAGCCATCGGTTTGTTATATATTGGGCATTTTATCAAGTAAGATGCAAAAGAGAGCGGCAACAAAAATAGCACTAATAATGATTTTGATCAAAGATTCAAATTTTTGGAAGTTTTTTGATGTTTTTAGTTACTGATTACATTAGAGAGCATTGCAGTAACAGAGTTCTTACGAATTAGATCGGAAAAAAAATAAATATGGGTCACTAAAGGCACTGTAGTGATAACCAAAGGATAATCTTTTAAAAACTTATTGAGGAAGGCAAAACGTATGCTCAGGTGGCGAGAATTGTCGGTTTCTCAAATAAAATGATTAGCAACGCATTAAAATATGTTTCTAAGGCAGAAAGCCGCGGTAGAAAGGTCGCCATGTCAAAATTGCAGGTCAACCGACTGGTTCGTGAGAGCAAGGAGTCGCCCTTTAATCCGGCTACTAAGCTAAAAATGGAGCTAAATATTTCGGCATCAATTAGAACTGTTCGAAATTGCTTTAAAAAAAACGATTTAAGTCCCCACAGCCCCAGAAAAGTTTCCCTTTGGAGTGTGAAGCATGGGGCAAGTTGGATTTCGTTTGCCAAAGAACATCCGAATTGGCCGGCAGAAAAATGGAGAAATATTTTTTGGTCCGATGAAAGCAAAATCGTTCAATTTTGAGGAAAAGGATCTCGTTCATATGTAAGGCGACCCCAAAATTCGAAATACCGTCCCAGCTTTACGTACAATACCATTAAACCCGGTGGAACCAGTATTATGGTTTGGGCATGCTTCTCGTATTACGGAGTTGGTCCCAATATGGTATAATGGATCGACTCGTATACTCAGAAATCTCGAAAAACGTCATGCTGCCTTATGCTAAGGATGAAATGCAATTGTTAAGGGTCTTCCAACAGGATAATGACCCAAAGCATACCAGCAATAAAGCTCGAAAGTGGTAAGAAGACAGATCTCTCCATGTAATGGATTGGCCAGATCAGTCCCCAGACCTAAATCCTATAGAAAATCTGTGGTCTGATGTGAAAAAATTGGATTCAAATACAAATCCAAAAAATAATAAGGAGCTTTGAGCTTTCTGTCAAGGAGTCTTGGAGCAATATCCCACTGGAAAGGGGCCAAAGATTGGTAAATTCAATGCCGAGACATTGTGAAGCTGTCATTTCAGCCAAAGGCTTGAAAACAAATTATTAATGCATTTTTTAGATAAAGATTACAATCTAAAATAGAAATTTGAAAACTTTCCGGTTGTTTCCATGTTTTTTTTTAATTTTTTTATGTTTTCAAAAAAATAGTGCTATTTTTGTTGCCGCCCCAAATGTTCAAATTTATCATTCTTACTTAAAAATTTTCTAAAGTTTGTTAAAATTGAGGTCGAATTCGCTCTATATTGTTTAATTATAACCTAATGTTTATAAAAACTCCATTAAGAAGCCAAAAAAACAAATAGTTTTTAAAAAATATTTCAAAAAAGAAAATTGTGCATCTCAGTGCTATTTTTTTTGCCGCAGCTGTATGTAACTTTCATTTTATTAAAAAAAAATCGATTTTTTCAAAAAAATCCAAAAGAACCTCCCCTTAAGGCCTTTTAGTTGCTGTAGCTAAATTGTAAATTTAAATGAGGTGTAAATTCTTTAATAATAATAATAATACACAAAAAAACGGCCCGAAATAAGGAACTTTTAAAAAAGTTTGGTTAGTAATAATCCGTTTAAAAATCAAAGTGCCGAAAATAAAGAGATTCTTTTTAACGTAACCTAACCATGGAATTAGTTCTGGATCAGGCACAATTTTTCATCAGGGGCTTTATGTAATCTTGAAAAAGTCGACTGCCAGCGAATTAAGTCACGTAGAGAGGGAACATGCCTGGAACACCGGGACTTTAGCTTAGGACTGCACCACCAGAAGAGAAACTAAGTGGTCCTTCACCACCGCCCATTAATATTATATTAGTGTATTAGTTTCCTGGTCATGTCTAGAAAAGCAAATCAGAAACCTTGGTGGTCAGGAGTTCGCAGTCGTAGTAGGTAGCATAAAGCAAAAGTCCATTGTGTATACAGATCACCATTAAAACATCCAATTCAATGATCAAGAGGGCTGGCACATATAGCGCTGAGTCATTATGTGGTTTCAGCCCAAATTGTATAAACTTTGGGTCAGATTTCTAATCAGCATGGCCAGCATAGACAATGTCTTCTGCATGAATGTACTCATTTGTGACATAACAGATCTGTACAGTAGTGTAGTGTTTTAAAAACACTGCACTCATTCTATACTGTACAGTGTACTCTATAGGTCGGAACAAAGTAGCACAACATTTTCAGTGTACTCACTTCGAGTGAGTACAGTATATCGTTGTACTTGTCGTTAGTGAGTACTAAATTTGTGCCTTTTCCAACACACTGTACAGTTTGTCTGTTGACGTGTACAACTATTTGACGTGTACAAATATTTTTTCAAAAGTTCATAAATATGGATTTTAAGGAGAACGACGCTCATGCAATGAACTCTCAAGATAGCGTAAGTTTTTGTCCAAATATATATGTTTTGTAACATAGTCTATGTGTTGTTTTATTTGTTTGTGTTTGTCTTTTGTATGTTTGTGGCTATTTAGTGCCAGAGAACCAGGTTTTAACACATGTATTAAAACCAAATTATTTGCAATCAGGACAAAACAACGGAATCCTCTTTTAAAGAGTACGCTGCCACGCTAAAATCCAAATTATTAGCTGGTGAGCTTAAGCCTATTGGTTCACGTGGTCGGAGCAAAGTGTGGGACACATTTTCTAGACTGGTCAATACAAACGGCATAGAGGCGACTGATGCAGTAGTGTGCAACATATGCAAAAACATTTACAAATTTGAAAAAAGCACATCAAATTTAGTAAAACACAAGTGCTACATTATGGCCAATAGCCGAAAGCGCAGTAATCCAGTCGTTGATGTACCCACAGACACCAAAAAGAAGTGCACAAATCTGGCAACGGAGTGGACAATAAAGAATGGTCGACCGTTTAATTTAATTTCGGATTCTGGTTTAAAAACTTTGGCACAGTTTTTTATTTCTGTCGGTGCGAAAATAGGAGAAAACGTCAATATTGACTTCTTATTGCCGCATCCCACAACTATATCGCGAAACATTTGTGCGCTTTATGATTTTCACTTTAATGAAGTGAAAATCGAAATTAACGAGCATAAACAATACGGATATAGTATTACTTCGGATATTTATTTTTATAATAAATACATTTGAAACGAAAATACAAATAAATTTTTTAATCAGACATTACATAAACACGAGAAATATTTATGTGTATGTTCCAGTCATGAAGTTTCTCTCACTGTACAGTAAGTCAACTGAACACCAAAATACTGTACAGTAAGTTGACTACGGCACACTAATTTACCTGTACTCATTAATAGCTGTACAACTATGGAATGAGTGTGAAAACTGTCAAATAAAACAAAAAATACTACCCTACTCATTCAT